GCAAGTGTATAGCTATATAAATCGATCACCACATCAACCATTTTTATGCTATCTGTAATACTATAGAGCTCTGAGGAACTCTCAGCTGGCACTACTAAACTTAGACTACAACAGGTAGCTATTTATGCTTCTCCTTGGTCAGTGTTATGTCATTATAGTGCCCTGTTTTCGATAGCTGTATAAGGCTTGCTGTGGCAGACCTGTGCAGAGCTCTACGAATGGTCCGCAGCCTTCACTCTCTCAGTCTGAACTACTGTCATCTGGACACCAGCGCTGCCGAACCTCTTGGCTCACTCACTGCTTCCTCACAGATAAAGTCAGTCTATGTTGAATAGAACACAATGAAACCTCTGAATAATAAGGAAAACCTATAGAAAGCATCTTTTTTTCAGAGGTATTCCCTTATCCGAAGGTAAAACACTAACCCCAATTAGTATGGGGCACAACCAAGTGACTTTTGAGAGTTGCATGCTTTTATACAGACATATGTCCCTGGTGGGTAACAGCCTACACTGTGAAGGTGCCAGTGAGCTGGTTACAGCCCTAGCGACCGTCTGCGAAGGTGTGGACGAACAAACGAAGCCTCCGCTATCAAGGCTACACTTGCAAGACAACGGGATTGACGTTCTTGGAGAAAGAGGTCTGGTCGAAACTGTTGTCTTCACAAGGATGTTGAAAAGGTTCAGAGAGATTTTGGCAATTTTTGACATTCTGTGCCCAGGTAATTAGCAATAATAATGTCTGTTTAGGTGGCTTCTGAGTAGTGAAGTTGTTGAGGAGGTGGATTTAGGTGGCAACTGGATTGGTGATGCTGGTGGAAGAGAGCTTCTCACTGCACTACAAGAACGGAAAGAAGGTAATGTATCAACAGCCTTATAGCTTCACTGACAATGTGTTGATCTTCCAGCTGGGCTGAAAGCTGTGAGATTGACAGTAACACACAGAATGTCTGCAGAAAATTTTGCCGCCATTTTCGAGCTCGGGAGAGTAGGTAAAAGGAAAGGCGGAAAGAAGAGAGGAAAAGAGAAAAGTAAGTAGCTCCATTCAAGCAACATTACTAGTCGTCCTCTTTTCTATGCCTTTCAGAAGAAGTAATCATCATTTTTTCCCAAACGTGCCGCGCCACGCGTTTGGGTGTGGCTCGAAAACCGCGAAGGGGGCAGGGCTCCGTTTCGCTGCGTTTTAGTGAACTGGAAATGGCTAGACGAACGGTGGTGATTCTGGTAGCATGGCTTGGGCTCCTGACGCTGTTAGCTCTCTGCATCACTATCAAGCTAACATCCAGCTCCACTGGCGACAGCTTGCTGCGGGAGGACAGACGCAGACTACCAGATCCACCCCCTGTCAGAGACGTATTGAGGCCGGGTCTTGGAATGCTAGAAAAGTCAGAATACGTTGCCTCTGTTGTGAACACGCTGCTCAACAGCACGGAGACCCACGACCAGAGAGCCGCATTCGAACAAGTGGTAGCGCTCAGCTCTCTGCTACCTAGACTCACCAACATCTCGAGGCTAGCTACACCCTCCCCCGAGGCATTTCGCAACTACGTAGCCCCAGTCGGGCTCCCCGTCATATTCACTGACATGCTGAAAGGCTCACGCTTGCAGAAGTGGTCGTGGGACTATGTAAGAGCAAAGTGGGGTCACCACGTCTTCCACAACACTCGCCAGGGAAACTACTCCTCCAAAAAGTCCGCCTCGGGAAAGTATTCTGTGAACCGCGTCTCCATCACGCTGGGCGATTTTATCGACGTGGCGACGGGTCGCAGAGAACCCAGGGTGTCGGAGGTCGGTCTTTACATAACTAAGCAGAAGATAATTCCACCCGAGGACCTAGAAACCGAGTTTGTGTACCCGCCGTTTTACCCAGGCCCGCACAAAACCTGCTACCTGGAACCAACGGCCTGGTAAGTCACTCAAACAACACCTGCTGCACTAATCTAGCTCCAAACCATAAGAAATGCACTGCATTGCATTCATAGCTAGTGTAGAGTAGACGTATCAATGCTACTAGCCTAGTGAGCAAATATATATTCTTCAGGATTGGAGCTCCTGGGACATTTACACAAGGACACATTGACAGCAAGGACAACTTTGCCTACCAAATCCTCGGCAGCAAGCAATGGACAATTTTCCCACCGACCGACTACAAATATCTCTACTACGTCCAGAGAGCTGGCAGCCTAGAATGGAGCACTGCTCTGAACAGCTTCACTGTGCCAGACTTGAAAAAGTTTCCGCTTTTCGCCAGGGCCACACCGATAACCTTTACTATGGAGTCGGGTGAAGTACTCTATCTTCCTCGGGGCTGGACACACACGGTTAGGAACCTCACGCCAGCTCTAATGATAAACACGTGGCGCTACGGACCAGCCGCCATAACAGAGCTTTGGTCAAAGAAAAACGGAGCAGAAATCAGACAAAAATGTTTTCCTTCACACTGACATTAGTGTTTGTTTTTCCTGCCATCACTGAAACAAAAACGTGCATCATCAATAAAACTGCATTCTTAACTAACTTTTAAAAAAACAAACTCCATAATAAACTTTGTATACAAACCTTGTGGGTGTGCAAAAGACTACTATACTCTAACTTTACAAAGTCTCTACTAGTCTCCTCTCTCAGAGTCCTCTAAACGTTGGTCAAGTGCACTTAGGACAAGATTCTCAAAGCTATCTTTCCCCGTGTAGTCGATGTTTCCCTGCTCGATATCGTGCTGGTCCTGCGATTTATCTGAAGGGTAGTAGAGCTCGCCGACAACCGTAGCTTCGTGTGTTGTTGAGTGTTCCGCTCCCTGGGAATGTGTGGGGGAAGAAGGAGGAGGAGGGGGAGAAGGGGGGTGAGTAAGGTGCACTGAATCAGTATGCATTGGGGTGTCAGTTACATCATCTTCAGTGCTACCTTCAACACAGCCCACCATAGGGGCCGGTGACGGTGAACGGAACAACACAGGGGAACTAGGAGGTGCGTGCACACTATAGTGTGAGAGTGGAGGTGGTGAGAAGGACCGAGGATGGCTCGGCTGTACAAAACCAGACTTTATGAAACTAGTCATTAGGTGATGATGAGGGGGGCATGAGTGATAATAGAGGGAGGGGGAGGAGGCAGTTGAGGCTGGAGGAGGGCGGTGAGGCAGTGGCCCAGATCCTGGAGTCGACGGCTAAAAAAAGGACAGAAAACGACTACAAAAACTCAAAAAACCTTGCCACTGACAGCATAAAAGATGTGGGGAGATGCACAATCACATCAAACACTATACTGTAAGAATCTCGCAAATGCGCCAAAGTATTTAATTCTCGTTTTCTTCACAAACATTCTCGGTTTATTTTCGCTACAATTTGCTTTTCAAAAGTTTTGTTATGTAGTGGGATAAAACTAACCTCGCATGTCCTGTTGTAGGCCTGCCACCACAGCTTGATGAAGTCATACGCTGCACTGGTGCTGCTATAGCTTCCTGGAGTCAGCACCACTGCATCCACTCCCGGGACATACTGATGATGCCAGGGTTTGACCGCACCGATGAAGTGGATGATCTTCGCATTTCGACCAAATCTATTTCGAAAATCACACAAATTTGCACCTTTTTATATATGTAGCGTACTATTTTAGGTATATAGATGATTTGCTTAATACACAGGCCAGGATGGAGAAAGAAACAGCTTTTGTTAGAATGCAAGCATCGTGAATGAAAATCTCACGTGGAACAGAAGGGCAAAAGCACGTTATTCAAACCTCAGGAAAGCTGGAGCATAGCCGTAGGCAGCATTAGGAACCATGTTGTATATGAACGGTAGATGGAACTTGATATCCTTGGTGGCCCAGTCAGGCCAATAGAGGTTCAGCAGCCCCTGGTCACCACCTGGCAAAACGAAAGTTTACATTTCTGAAGCAATCACAAGTGGCATATGATATGGAAACACACACACACTGCATACCGCCTCACTCCAGTTTGCCACACACTCTCTGCAAACACTACAGACCCACCCATTATATTGTGCCAGCCCCGAGCTCCTTCATTCTCTATTGCTAGTGTGCTAAACGCAACAATGTGTGTACATATAAGATAATATGCTTGAGTCCCTGTGCCCTTGTCGTCCTACCAAAGGTACGAGTCACTCAGTTTAAGGCAACATCAGAGACGCCAAACACTCTGCTCTCTATGCACTATATACTACATAGTTACACAGTTGAGTGCAAGCCCAGGGCCTGCCCAGTTGTTCCTCACATTTCCAGACATAATAATTATATTAGTGTGCCTCAAATATGGCTAATTGACTGACAAGTATAGGTGGGTATGCATAATTATTTGAACCCACCATCAAAACTGCCCGTCTGTTTTGCCATTTCAAGAAGATTCGTGTAAGTATCCACGGAAGGTTCGAAGACAAACACACCAGAGTTGAAGCAATCCGGCCAGCCTATATCTGGAGCCGCTGACAGCTCTTCCCGGTCAAACAACTCGTCCACGTTTTCCAACACGAGCGTGTCTGCGTCGAGGAAGACGCACTTGGAGTACTGCGTGAGTTTCCAGGCGTGGAGTTTGGAGAACGTGACACCAAGTTCTGGCCGCGTGAGCAGTGCTAGTCGATCCTCGTCTCCGCTGTCCAGTAGGTCCACAACAGTCAGTTCGTCCCATAGCACACCCAGCCTCTCTCTGCAAAAGGTTTGAAAAAACATTTTTCTGCCGAAAAGCTACAGTTTTCCGCTTGTATGTGTGCGAGGTGCAGACTTAGGGTGCTCCAAACACAAATTAAGTGAAGGATGGTTTGTTATGCAGCTATGAAAAAGTCAGAATTAATGTATACATCAGAAGTAAAGCACTATAGATAAGCCCATTAGCCCTGGGTTTGAGTATACAGCATATTATGAAGGAAGATAGAAGCTATGAATATTAGCATGTGGTTAAATGGCAGAACTGCAAGGTAGGTGGGCCAAAAGACAACTAAGATAAGACTCTTGTCTTGGCATTGCCACAGCATAGTGTGCAATACATTCAAAACTACCATATTTAGAGTCTAGTAGTATTGGAGTGGAGCTAGTGTAGGATGTGAGTGGTGCTAGTGTAGGATGTGAGTGAGCTAGTGTGTGCATTACTATGGCACTGTACACAAATAAATCCCCCAAAAGTCATAAATTGCATGACTTGGCCCTGCAGAATTTGGTGTATACCAAGAAGGTATCCAGGCCGACCTAAAAAACAGCAAAGAAAGGCTACACAGAAAACTATTGACATACTATGTGGTACAAATTGACAAGAGTAGGAGGAGGATCCACACGCACACAAGGAAAGAGCACATAAGGTTTCGTAGACATGTGAGTGGGCTAGCTTGAGTTAATTTCCCCTGCAGCAAATCAGTGTGACAGGAAACGTAACAGTCCCATGCAGGTTTCAGATAGGGGAGGTGTAGGCTGAAGGCCAATGACAATCAGGTTTCTGTAGCAACGCAGGCTTCCCTGGTGATACAACACTGCCCCTGTCAAGGTATGGCTACACAAGAAGAATGCAAGAACTAACTTCCCCCATGCAATTCCTTTATGAATAGGAACCACTCTGCAAGCATACTACAGTAGCATTTGGGAGCAAATGTGAGCACAATGCTTTACCTGTGTATGGGAAATCCATTGAAGACCACTAACAGCTGGGAAACACTCAGCTTTTTGAGATAGTGTGAACTATTACCTCATTGGGTAGGAGACTTCATCTGTGATGAGGAGTGAGAGTCTTCTGGTGGTCAGTGTGTCACGCAGAGAGCGGCCCAAGGCCAGAGCTCCCAGAGCGTAGTTGTCGTTCGTCACTAGCGTTACGTACGCCTCTGTGTGTGTGGATATGAAGGAAGAAGGGAGGGGCACTAACACGCTAACACCACCAAAGACCCGCTTTACTACAGAGGGGAGGACCTGGACGCGCAAGACGGCACAGGCACACCCGGCCCCCTATATATAACGCAGCTTCATATGTACACAGCTACATACCTTGCCCGGGCATCTCCGCTTCGATAAGGACACGCTCCAAAAGTGAATACTGTCGACCGGTGCAGTTAGACGGTCGGTATCTGCTGCTTCTTTTGTTTCTGGAGCCCAGCGATCTGTAGTACTACCTCCTCAAGTATCAGTGATTGTCAGCAATCCCCCCCACTGAAAATCGATCGATCATCACCTGGCCGGATTTTGCAGATATGTGCGCGCGCATGTTGGAATGAGGTATCGGGATCTCTGACTCGGACACCACAGATATACTTAACCCCTTTAGCACTGAGTTTTTATTGCTGAGTCAGCATAAAGATTGACCATGGATTTTTCTCTTCTCTTTGCGTATCTGGCGGTCTGCAGCCTCTGCGTGCTGTGGTGTCCGGTGGCCGGTAAGGTGTATCGAGGGACTGTATCCTCGCAGAGGGCGTGGGAAGAGAACGGGCAGTTCGTGACGAAATTCTGCTTCCACGGTTAGGACGCGTGCCCACGTGGGCGGTGGGCACTAAATAGTTACTCTACTTCTACAGCTATCAACCCAACAACTGTTGGAGAAGCTAGCACATTATGCTAAATCTACCTCTATTTTCACTAGATCAAAAGGCATTGTTCAGATTCACCAGCAATGCAACATCGGAGGGCAAATGGCACTTCTACCTGGATGAGTATTGGCACCATGCGTTCAGCGAGCCTGACTGTGAGAGAAAGATAGCCATGTCTCGATTCAGAGGTAGTTCAATAACCTTGCCAAAACAACTATAAGATTACGACTTTTCTTCTTCTTTTCTAGTGGACGTGGCGGGGATGTCAGGATCTCAGTACGTGAACCAGTGGATCAGACCTCACTTTTGGTTCGTGGTGTATGCCGACCCAGTCACCTGCCAGAGCTCTCCGCCCCTCACCAACGAGGTCATTGAATTCGAAATGGAGTTTCTGAATCCTGATTGGTCGGGAGCGGCCAACGATCAGTTTGGAGACGATCTTAGAGGTTAGCCTACCCTCACTGAACTGAATAAGTAAATATACTGTCTAGCGTATTTATTGTGTTCAATTTATCTCAATTTGCCTTTCATTCTTGCGTACATATGCAATAGAACTCACTGCGTTCTTCGTGCAGTAAAATATAAAATTCTCAGAATAAGTTTTCGCCTGGACAAACAACACTCTATATTAGTTGAAGTTCTCTAGAATAATATGTATTCTATGTAACTGCAGGTCTACTGCTGTTCTACTCTCTCCTGATGCTGCTGTACATAGCAGGTCTGTCTCTCTATGCCCATCAAGTCTGGATCACTATCAGCAAAGGAGGACCGATGCACGAAGTGCGTTCAATGGAAACCTAGGCGGGTCTTTTTAGTGAGAATGGGGTTAACGAGAAATAGCAAGTTTTTAGCAATACTAGCAGATGAGGCGTAACATCCTCCTTATGGTTATAATGTGTGTTAATCGTAGCCCTTCTGAAGTCCTATTTTCTTTTTCTTTTTGTTTCTTTCTACATAATGTATAGAGCGTGAGCTGTTCAGTTTTCATGCACAGTAAGAAATCGTAGTTTGCCTTTAATAGAAATCCAAGTGTACCATAATAATTATGCTGCGACATCACTCTCTCAAAAGGTTTTACAGATGTTGACACTGGCCATGGGACTCCATTTCATTTCTGCCATCCTCATGCTTATCCACCTGTGGAGGTACATATATATATATATATATGTATGAGATATGTGTAATATTAACTAACCACTGGTTTTCCGTTTCAATACAGATACTCTGCGAACGGTGAAGGGATTCCAATGTTTTCAGTTTTATCTGAAGGTAAGATTCCCCCCACTCCTTAAAATGTTGGCAAGATTTAAATGTGGTGTAATCATACATGGTCCCCTTATTGCAAGTAGCCACTAAATTTTGGTTTGTTTACACACCGTCAATTTTATGCATGGGCACATGGCGATTCCATAAATAAAGCAATTTAAAGCACACCACCAAATTTCCAGTTGAGGTGTAATTTGTTGCCCATGCTATATATCTATCAATACACATGCAGTTCTGGAGATGTTGGCTCAGTGTCAGATGATATGGATGCTGCTCGGCATATCAGTGGGCTGGACCGTCAGTTCGAATTCCAGTCACCCAATCAGAGACAAGAAACTGCTTCTTATCAACGTGACTGTGACCGTAATCCACGTAAGGGAAGTAATCTAACACTCCTCATTTTGCAGAACGAAGCAAAACTGACAAGAAGGAACAAATCGAAATCCTAAGTTGTCGAATTTTTTGCATTCTATTCAGGTTCTTCTTGTGTTGTGGGAGCAGTCGTATGACGAGAGTCATTATACTTACCACATTCATGAAAACCTGCCAGGCTGGTTGCTGGTGTCACTCCGGATCGGTCTAGCTTTACTGATCAGCTACAATCTGCATCGCACTACCAGCGAAGAGCGCAGTGCACTAAAGAAGGATTTCTACCACGGCTTTGCTATTGTAAGCACCAGAGAAAGAATTTTACTTTCAAATTGCGGGAGTAGACATTTGAGAAACAATGTCCCTTTTCCTCCAGGGCTGCCACCTGTGGTTTTTCGCTTTTCCTATGCTGATGGTTGTTGCTATATTTTTCTCAGAATATCACAGACTAAAGGTTAGTATCTATAATTGGGCGGGGGTTGTACAGAGAAAGATCCAACCATAGAATTTTCTATTTCTAAATGTGGGCATAACCCTCAGCATCAAAGCAACCAATCATTAAAACCACAGAATTTTCCAGAATGGCTCAGGATCAATTAATTTTAGTGCACCCCAGTTTTGATCAACATACATACTCCCAAAATAAAGAGTTTCCTTCAAGAGACCTATACATTTAGTTGTAGAAACCACTGTGTAAAAAGAGAAAACGAAAAGACTTGGTCCATGTGAGTCTCGAACTCACGACCTTGGCGTTATCAGCACCACGCTCTACCGACTGAGCTAATGGACCTTTGTGACATCTGATGCTTTCCAACACACAGGTCGTTACTGTGGGAACGACTGTGATTCAAACCGCGTCCATGGTGATTCTGAGTCGACTGTTTCTGTCTCGCAGCCTCTACTGGGAGGTGTCATCTCTGTCATCAACTACGTTACCCTTCAAAAGAGACAGAGGGGGTGGTGGATTTATGACACTTCTCAACAACCACTAGGCCTTATATTAGTCACAATCAATCTTTTCGCTTACAATTGTGTGTATAATATAGCTTAATAATTGTGTTTGATGTACATATACATATTACAATTGCACAGAATTTCATTCAATAGTTTCTATCATTTCCTTTTCTTTGGAGTGATGATTGTCTTTTTTATTGCTAGAGGCAAGTACGGAAACGGTGGTAAATGGTCCTTTTCTCTCTCAGTTGTCATTTCCTGCGGATTCGATTTGCAATCAGTTTCTATCAAATTGCTTTTTTCTTCACTCAAACTCTCCTGTAAATTTCCTTGTGCTAGTGGTTTTTGTGCTATGGGGCCAGTCGATATTGTGGCTCTAGCTGAAGCTTGCAGCCATGGAATGGTGATTTTTGGTGCCCGGCTTGATATTAAATCAGCCAGTCTTGAAAAGTAGTCCGTTTTATCATCGCTAGAGAGTTTCTGTAAATAACACAAGCTTAATTCTCGGGTTCTTAGGATATGCAGTGGAACCACTCTCAAATTAGGACACCCCTGAAATGAGGACACTTATCTACTTTATCTTTCCCCACTCTTTCAAATGAGAACACCCATCTAATAAGGATGATGCAACAACAGTTTAATTTAACAAGGACACCCCACTATTATAGCCACTTTCTTCTGTCCCGTTGGCATCTTGATTAGAGGTGTTCCACTGTACACATACGAAACAGTTGCTTACCTTCAACCCAATGGTCATGGCCCTCTTGAGCCCTAAAACTGGTGCTACTGCAGCACTGACTCCGTTGAGTGCAATACATGGGACGTTCCTGGTAGCAGACAGCACCTGCAAGTGATCGTGGAGTAGCGGTGACCTCACTGACAGACACACAACAGCAGCTCTCAGATTGTTTCTCTCCAGTCCTCTCGTGACTTCATTCACGCCCACCACTATCTGAGAACGTTTTGCCACGAGCTCCTCTGGTGGTGGTGGTGGTGGTGATGGTGGGTTTGCACTGGATGTCCCCTGTTCAGGTAAAGCTAGGAGTTCTTGTTCTGTTAGTGCTGTGCCCTCTCCTCCCTCGTCGACCCGCTGTCTCTTTGGTTGACGTCCAACATCTTCCTCTCCCTCCGTTTTTCTCTTCTTCCCACGCCTCAGCTTCTTGTTCGTCGACGTGAATTTTACTCCATTTAGTGCCCTACAAGATACTTTTGAAAACGTTTTTGATGAAAAATGTTTTTCACATACCTTGTAAGTTCGGAAAATAGTTCTGTGGCTGTTTCTTGAGGTATGGCAGGCCTGGAATAAGCAAAAACTCAAGGTATGGAGAATTTTGAGCTTTTATTCTCACCATTTCAGTTTGAAGGGAAGGTCCAGCGTGTTTTTGAACGACTTTCCCAGGCTTTTGTTCACGGTTCTAGCTGGTGTGGCCATTTTGGTTGGAGAGGGGGGCGGGGCTTGAGCAAGCGGGGGCGCAAATTAATTCACAGAGCTAGCCTTTCCCCAATGACGAAGTCTCAGAAAGTCGCCCCAAGTAGCCATGACCGGACGACATAGAGTGAGGAAGAATGGGAGACTGCTTCAGCAAAAGCACGGAGACTGCTTCATTCACGCCCCGTCGAACTGGCTCAACTACTGGCCAATCTCACTCCCCAGCGTAAGCAACTACTAGCGGCGGCGGCCCTAGCTAGAAAGTAAAGCTCCGCGTCAGTGTCAAGTAGTGCGTGTTTGTGCGCTGCTGCACGAACTAGCTTCTTGGTGCTACTTCTTAGCTTTGTGTTACGTTGCGACGAGCTAGTTGCATGTATCTACACCCCACGTGTGCGATAGCTTTTCAATCACACTCCTCGAAAGGAAATCGCTAACTAGCTAGTAAAGTGCAAGCAAAACAGAAATCTTGGCGACTGCACAGCGTGCGAGAAAACGCGTTACTGCAGCAGAACGCTGCATGGAGATATATACACACCTCCACACCAGGTTGGGAAGTTTCGGACAATTTTGCCAGCACCTATTGTTTGATGTTACATTTTTGGTTTCCCACAAATATGAGGCTATTTGGCAGGTAGTAGCTGTATACTCCACCGCCCTTCCCTGTAACCGAATGACCTACTGCCATTTTTGCAGATAAAAGATAGAGCATAGTTAATAGTAATGCAAGTATATACATATCTAAGGCATTCATTGCATTTTGTCCATACTTTACTGTTGATTCTCTGCATTACTGTCTTGTCTGCAGGAAAATCTTATGCTGGTAAAGGTGACGCTGGAAGACGGAAATCATTTTATCACCTCAATATCCCCCAAGTCACTACCACTGGTACCAACAGGTTTTGGATACTCGCGATCTCCAGCTAGAGATTTAGAAATTGACACAAACTTTGCAAGACTCCTTGGAATATCTGCTTCTTATGGGACAGAGGTGTGAAAATCAGCAGTCACTTAATCAGTAGTTGCACAGCGAATTTATTCGCACAATCGTCGAGAGCGAAACAACTAGTAAAGTGCATGCAAAACAGAAAACTGTGTGCGAGATAACGTGGTATCATTCACTGTTGCAATGCAAAGTTGCAGAGTGCATCAGTTTCTAGTCTCTCGAACAATTAGAAGGTTGTCATACGTATGTTTCCAGCAAATTTTTATTGCAAGTGTAGCCTAGATGGCCTAAGTTGCAATATTTTGCTTATGCTGTGCAAACTCTTTATTGTCACCTCATTTGGCAACAGTTACAGCAATTATTATTTCCGCTTGAAGTTGTTTTAGAGTTATTGCTCTGTACCTTAACATACCTTCCAGTGTACTGCGGTCCACTATGAAAATATCCTGTGTTTGATTACTCAACCCTTGACCTTGTAAAACTCTGCTTCACTTAATAACCTGAGCCTCTCACATGCTATGCTGTCATGACCTCTTCTGCATGTGCTGTAGATCTTAACCTTACCGCATGTAGTATAGTAGTACAGCCATTCTTGAGCTCTCCATAGGCGTGTAGTGGAACCAATGTAACCTTGGATATCATTGCTAAATGGGATTTTCCTGGCTTTAGTTACAGTTCCTACTAAGTGTTGGCCGGAATTTGTCAAGCATGTCACACCTCTGGGGTGTACAGTTGTCTGTAGTAAATCCCCTATCTCATGTAAATCAGAGTTTACTAAATAAAGGTGAGAAAGGGCAGTATAAGGGAACAGGGCTATGGGTTTAAGACTTAAGACTAGACAAAACTGTGATTTATTGTGCTGCAGGTTCTGGTGGAAGAAGTAGGTGACATTGAGAGGTGCACTCATCTCTGTCTGGAACCCTTGATCCCTGAACACCTTGACAAGCTTGTGAGTCATCTCCATAGAATGTGGCCCATGGTAAAAAGAATTTTGATTATCCATAGAATGAGGCCCAGTAATAAACATTGGATCATCTCCATAGAATGAGGCCAGATTTTGACTATGTGTAATCTCCATAGAATGAGGCCCAGTAATAAACATTGGGTCATCTCCATAGAATGAGGCCAGATTTTGACTATGTGTAATCTCCATAGAATGAGGCCCAGTAATAAACATTGGGTCATCTCTGTAATAGGTTTTGAGTCATCTCAGTAGAATGAGGTCACATAATAAGGATTTCCACTGTGGGCTATCTCCACAGAATGAAGCCCCCTAATGCAGATTTAGCGAATTTAGGTCTGGGAGGGTTTTGGAAGGCTTTTTTCGATCGAAGTAAGGGACACACAGGGACAATGTACACAGAGGTATTAGGACTAGATTGAAGTAGTAAGTGTCCTTTATAATAGAGCGGTGTTCCTTGTTCAGAGTGTCCATTGTAAGAGCTAACTGTAGCTGTTCTACAGTGAGCATATGGAGCTCCACCTACAATTAACAAGAAGAGACATTTAAAGGGAAGAGAAAGGCTTTGAATTCGTTTACGTTATGTTTTATAGCTGTTCTCATAATGTATGGTGCAAAATGGGCATACAGTTGTGTTAGTATGTGGACGACCCCCATTAGAGATGAAATGTGTACATTAACACCTTGTTAAAGGGCAACACACGTGATTCACGTACAGTGCGTTTTGTGCATGTGCTACGTGCTGTATAGTGCATTCATCCGTTGTGCTCTGTTGCGTCCAGGAGTCTAACCAAGGAAAGATAGAGTTCGAGCTGTTGAACAGAATCAGAGTAGTGTCCGGGCAATCTTTCAGGTTTCCAATCTGGATTGACAACGACATCATCCCCGTGAGAGTCGGTACGTGCCATACATAGTCACAATGATGTCATGTCTGTGACAGTACGTAGGTACGTTCTATATATTATATTTTGTGTATATAAATAGTAACACTAACATCATGCATGTGACAGTATATAGGTATTGCTACACCCCTACAAAAACTGTTCCTAAACACTTGTCATGAATATTGCATATTACCTGGCTGCTGTGTCTGAAGGTATTATTGATAATTGTTGTTTTGTATAAACAGGGCAGAAACCTGTTTGACTGCTTTTCACTATGCCCACTTGTGTATGTAGGTACATGGAAATCCCCTCCAATTCCAGTCGAGCATAGTACCCATCCCTACTACTATTTTCCACCACAGAAATGATATGCTGCAAAACTAGAGCCATCCATTTAGACTAAGTAATGTTGAAACAAGGCCACACCCCTATACACAGAGTACCGGTGATACTTTTGAACAACCCTATGCACCAAGTACTAGTGATAATGTTGACCCTTTGGACGCCATGGGTATCGGCTTGAATAAGCAGAAATTGGTGTATAAAGTATTAGCTCCTAGTATTGTAACCACTATATAAATTACTTATGGAGGCTCTGGACACATTTATGTATCAGCGGCTGGTTAAGCCTGATAATGTTGAAGGTGGTATTCATTGGGTGGTGTTGCTGTGTGTACGCCGCAGTTTCCTCTGATCCTGCGGCCACCTGGGTCCTCCTCGGATCTGAGCTAACTGGAGTACGAGGCGAGGCCGCAACCGTCATAACATTCAAGAGGCCGAACGAGCTCTCCCCGGTCAGCTCCTCGGGCTCCTACCAATCTCCCCCGACACCTGGTCCAGCTGTTAGTGATTCTCCCCACAGTCCTGCCTGGGGACAAGGGCAGGGAAACTCAGCTGAGACCTCGCCCGACGGTGACATTGAAAACGCTAGTATCACAAGTAGCGCCAGCAGCAGATTGTTTGGGTACTTATTACGCCCGATCATCTCGGCGATAAACTCGCAGGGCGTGATTCAGGCAGACGCGGGTTCCGAAAGGTCGTCTGGAACCAGAACGCCGGAACCGTCCGGGCAATCAGCACCCTCTACCGTCACCTTCCCGAAAAAGTCTCATCATCATATGCACCGGAAAGCAAAGTCGTTGTCTCAGATCTCGGATTCCGAATCTTCGCCGCGGAGGCTTCCCAAATACGTCGATACACCCGAAATGAACGCCGTGCTCAGAGTACAACCTCATGCAATCAGGGGGCCCAGTAAAATACCCCCGGGGGACAGAAAATCGGCCCCCTACTGGGACTACTCACATGCATTTGACGTGTACATTCACCCAGCAACGTTCCCAGAGATATCGAACCATTATTACACCTCCAAAAACCTGGACTCCTTTCTTGTCCAGATTAAGCCTGCAAAAGCTGCGACGACCAACAACAAATCGAATTCTCAAAACCAGAGCAAAAACGAGAGCACGAATAATCCATCTTCTTCCTCCGTGGCCTTATCTGATGCACTGTCGAGTCTCACTGAAAACGATAGCGTTAGTTCGCCTGTGAATGAAACTGGGTTCGAGTTGCGACAGATAATGTCGGTGGTGGCTTCATCTTTTCAAGACGCGCATTCGGATGCGAGCGACGGTCCAAGCAGCGTGAAATCGGAAAAACCCATCAATCTAGTCTTCCCTGAATCGCTCGTTGTTCGTCTCTGTTTTGCCACGACACTCGTTACCTGCACAGACGGAAGAGTGCGCCCCCTCCCCCACCCCCTACCCTCACCCATCCCAAAACTGTTTGCCCAGTCCAGCAGTGTACTAACTGTCGCCCCTGGCCACATTGTGATGAGCGACCTAGTCCGCCGACAGCTGAGAATCCCGTCTTGCTCTCTGGTGAGCGGTGAGCGGTGTGAGGGAAGAGGGGCGGCTGCCCGCTGGTTTGAGATCAGTCACACTCCATCTCAGACCACTGAATGAACAGTCTTCCCTCATGAAAATGGTAAATTTCCCCTTCTCTCCTTCCTGCCTCCCTCCTTTTTCTCTCTCTCTCTTCGCTCTCCTTTTACCTATTCTTTGGGAAAAGAATGTTGTGTATGTCAAAGTTCGATAATAGAAAATTTTTGCCCTGTGTCCTATGCTTACCCCTTGTGTGTTTGTGCATGTGTGTGCGCGTATATGACAAAGTAGTACACTTTAATGGACGCAGAAACCTCTCTATAAAAGACACTTGTTTTAATCTGTGCTTATACGTTAGTGTGTTGTTCAAACCATTTCAGAAACTTCTGATAGTTGTAGAATGATGATTTGTACCCCAGCATAGGGACGGTGTGGAGGAAGGAGTGAAGGACTGGGTGCAGGAAGTCGGCAAATATAACCCATTTGGCGCCATTCTTGTCCACAATCAAATCATCAGTACCTACAACCGCAATGGTACGTACAGCCTTCCCTGGGAAAGTTATGGCGGGGAAGCTTTTGCTATCAAAAAATAAGGAATGGTATTTCAATGCCACAAGGTTTCATATTTGGAGTCTGGCAACTGAAAGACCTCCTAGTATAGTTGCTGGGCCTCATTCTATGATCCAATCCTTATTAGCCGGACCTTATTCTATGGAGATGATAGTAACTACACACCTCCATTGCACAGGAGGCAGTGACTACTGCAGTGTTAAGGTAGCAGCAAGCAGCAGAACCAGTACTAGCAGCAGCAAAGGCTCGCAGCAACAGTTGGTCCAATACGTGATGATCACTCCGCAAGAAATGGCTCCCCCTCACCGTTCGCCGAGGGTTAGGTTCGTGGTGGAGAAGACGAAATGGAGCTCGGGGAGTGTCGTGGGTCTACCGTCTCTCCTTGATTTGGATCCTCCTGCTGTCAGCCTCAATCCTAGTCACTTTGGGTGAGCCTTCTCTCTCTCTCTCTCTCTCTATCTCTCTATCTCTCTCTATCTCTTCTTCTCTCTCTCTCTCTTCTTCTTTTCGTCTCCCTCCAGGTGTTGCTTAATAAATCTTTCAAAAAACTACCTCGCTAAAAAGAACACCTTTTCATGCCCCAACAACAGTTCTTTGCAATCAATGCCCGCCTCAATAATAGTATGGGAGACTTTGTTTTGTCCCATTGGTGTCCGGAAAAGAGTGGTTTAACTCTAATTCCACGGGATTCTCAGCTTTAAGCGGGATTCATTGTATAGGGGTTTTACAGAGCTGGTGAGGAGAGGCAGAGACTATTTGAGATCGGCTCTGCTCCGTCGCGGCCGTCATCAGTGTACCGGGAGGCTCCTCATTGGTGGCAGTACGGGAGATGCCGGTCTCTCCTGTGGAAAGACGAGCCTCGCTCGACTCGTAGTTCAGGACTTCGTCTCGCATCCAACATATGCTCACGTCCAGTACATCAACTGTACCACATTCAGAGGTATCGTTAAGTATGATAGTACTTTATTAGTAGGGATGGGCATTCAATTTTATATAGTCAGTATATCGTCTGGGTCCGTCGAACCAGAGCAGTGTCCTTTATTGCGGAGGTCCTTTTTCTGAGGCTCTGCTGTATACCATTGATGTATGATCTTTGCTGTAGGTATGGAGATTAGGTTGAGTCACATGGATTACTGAGCACGATGAAATTCTTTTTAGCATTCTAATGGGCCAAATGGCCGGATTAGCAGCAAGACATAGCGCTCTACATTGTCCAAAGGGTCGGGCGGAATTTTCTATTTTCATCATCTGTGTTTTGGTACACGTGTGTGTGTGTGTGTGTGTGTGTGTGTGCTCAGCTCAGACTGCTGTAAGGGTTGCCAAGAGACTGCGGGATATTTTCGAGACCGCTGTCGAGTGCGAACCGTCGATTGTGATACTGGATGATCTCCACAATGCCGTACCTAACTTCAGTGATGAAGAAGAACATACATCTCCGAGAGGCAGCTCTGGCCACCAGAAACGCCCAAGGTGTGTATATGTTATAGGTCCCTGATTTTAGGTATTATTTAGACGTCGGCAGATTCAAATTGACCAATCAGATTGCGTAAAACGATGGGGGTGTGGCAAGCTTCCGCGCAAAGAAACTCGCTCTGTCGCTGAGAGCTCGCCGCGACGACTTCAAACTCGCTATATCCGATGCTTCTTCGATGAAAGGCCTCTCTAAGATGCAAAAAGAAACTAAACTGAAGACCTTTTTAGCTTCCCCCGGCAAGAGCGAGTCTTTCGGAAGACGGCGGACCTGGACGATTTTGAAGGCCGGCACGGCCTCCGTCTAAACAGGTTATACTGCTTGTCAATGGAAATACACGATTTAGACGGCCTCGGAGCCCTTAGTAGCGTATTCGCTGCGCTCAGACAGCTACAGCTCAGGGCCCCTCGTGCCGTCTAAATCGCGTATTTCCATTGACGCGCAGTATAACCTATATTGCTTGTATGCACTCTGCTGCAGCAAATAATTATTTCTGCCTCTCACAGCATTTTTCCAGTTGGTTATTGTGTGTCCCTCTTTATCTCTTTCCCTCCCTTCTCTCCTCCCTCTCCTTCTCTTCTCATTCTCCTTCTCTTCCTTCTCTCCTCCCTCTCCACTCCCCTTTCTCCTTCTCTCCTCCCTCTCCTTCTCTCCCCTTTCTCTTCCTTCCTCTCTCTCTCTCTCTCTCTCCATGTCCTTCCTTCCTTCTCTCCCTCAGCCTTAATAGACCAACTCAGTCTGTTAGATCAATCTCCAGCACAAGTCACAGTTATAGGAACCACTAGATGTAACCAGGACCTACATCCAATGCTACAGCAGTCCAGAGGCTGTCACATTTTCGAGGAAATACTAGAGATTCAACCACCTGACTTGGCAAGTACTAGTTGAACCTCCTAAGGATATATGGAGACAATTAAAAATTTACAGAGTTTTTCTTTAACCTTTATCTACCAGTTTCTTTGAATATAGAGCATTTCTCACGCGGAACTCTGCATGACACGTTCTAAAGATAGACTCAATGCTCTACACCAAGTCATACACTGGAACCCATTATGATAAACACTCTGAGCAGTTCTCCCTATATCTTTGATCTATTTCTCCCTCTTTGATCTACAGTTCTATATACAGTACCACATCGGTGTATTTTATGCCCTGTCTATTTATAGGCTGCTCGTGAGTCTATTCTTAGAGCAGTGATGGAGTCAAGGGACGTGTATTTGGAAGGCGACCTGAAGTAAGCAAGTAACTTTCAAGAGAGAGTGCATTTCGGTGTAAATATACACACAAAGCCATTTGTAATAAGAATGCAAAGTGTCAAACTATGTAATTCAGGTCTTGCTTATAATTATAACTTTTCCAGTGCTCTGGGAGCATGGTATGTGACCCTCGTGCTATTACTAAATCATTTTATGGTCACGAATTAGTTATTCTATTGTTCTTGTGGTGTGTATCAGGCACGTTGCCCTCCGTACTGAGGGTGCCAGGTCGGTGACCTGAACAGCCTCGTGGACAGAGCAATCAGCAGCTCCCACATCAGACACACGTGCCCGGACTCCGTCAGACTTCGACTGGGTAGCCCACTCAAGAAACAAGGGAGTACCCGGGTTTCGTTCACTCTGACGACTTGGAGATGGTTCAAGAATCGTTGGGCGAGGTTAGGAGCCCGCTAATTACCAGGAGTCTCCCCTCTTCGCCGCTGAAGGAGCGAAAGAGGCTCAAAGCCGCCACGAAATCTCTGAGTTTCGTGGAATCTCATCGTCGTCCGCAGTCGACGGAAAACGTCAATCTCTCCGTCCAAACGCTCACCGAGCGAGTTGAGAGTCGATTCGGGACGTACGAGGCGGGGAAACTGAGACTCTGCGATCGAGATTTCGAAGAGGGACTGGCTGGTTTCGCACCACTGGCTCTGCGGAGTCTCTCTCTGCATTCGTCAGGGACGGTGGATTTCTCCCACGTCGGGGGAATGGATGAAACTAAGAAGACACTCCGCGAGACCATCCAATGGCCAAGCATGGTAAAGAACTTTCTGTCGTTCTCTGCTACACTTTTTTCCCCATGTGACAACCTCACGCAGGACACTTGGTTCTGCCCTGTATGTACTAATGCATTAGTGCAGTACTACTAGAACAAAGCAACACATTTTTGGCAATCGAAGGGAACTTAAAACTTCTTTACGTGATGTTTGTGTATGTGGATTGTCGTTGTTGCAGATTCAGTTCTACTGACTCTTTCTTCCATGTTTAACTTCTGTCACAGCACAATGTATGCTTCACGTACCTTTGTGCCTTACATCAACTACTGTATATATACCACATTCAGAGGTGCCTTTTTGCTTGTACCTAGAGAAAACTCTAGTTGCGAACCCGTCTAATTGTACATAGTATGGAGAAATATCACTGAGAAGAACTGCGTTTTCTCCCTTAAATCTGCTATAAACTTTTGCGATGATATGTGATGTTTATTTGCAGTATCCCAAGTTGTACAGTCAGTGTCCAATCAGAATGTGTCGCGGCACCTTGCTCTACGGTCCGCCCGGTACCGGCAAGACCCTCCTTGCCGGCTCCATCGCTAGAGAGTTCAGCCTCAACTTTGTCAGCATAAAGGTACGTATATATGTACATACACTGCGAGCTACTTCAGTGGAACCCCTCTAATCCAGACACCAACGCGGCACTTTCTAATCTTTAAGGGTAAAAGGAAAGGTGTCCTTTTTAGGGAGGTGTTCCCTTTTTTGGTGTCTCCTTTCATTGTGTTGACTTGTTTGCCTTGCCTTGCCTTTCTACCTCGCTACCAAGTTGTTGAGACATGTTTGGTCGTGCAGGGACCGGAAATCCTTAGCAAATATATAGGAGCCAGTGAACAAGCTGTAAGGGACCTCTTTGTAAGGTTAGTATAGCTCCCTACACTATTATAACATACGTGTGAGTGTAAGTTTGTATTACCGTCAGAGCTCAAGCTGCCAAGCCATGCGTTCTCTTCTTTGATGAATTTGACTCACTGGCACCAAAGTAAGTTCAATCAAAGTGTTCTAACACAATACTGAGCAACTGTATACACACCAAGTGCATTAGTTGGAGTATTATGGTGTTTTGATTGATGTCTGCTGCAGACGAGGGCAGGACAGAACTGGCGTTACCGACCGAGTCGTTAACCAGCTACTCACACAAATGGACGGAGTGGAGTCACTAGAGGGTTAAATTGATTATTGATTGACTTGTTTTTCGGTCCACAATACCGCACTACCAATGTTCATGTTCTGTAGCTATTATTCAATTTTGTCAAATGTGTAGCTGTATGGGTATGATGCATACTTAATTGAATATGACTTGTTGCATGGACAATTCACTCCCATAGTACATTGCAGTTGCATGAGCACGCAGCAGTTGCAGTTGCTCCGCGTGTATATTTGTTGGATATCCCTAGGCAACCGACATGTATGAAGCTAGGTACTGGGGGATTGTATCAGCCTATACAATCCTACGTGTGCAAGCAGGGTTCGTACATGTCATTTGCCTAGGGATATCCAACAAATCTGTTGCAGTACCCAGACAGGACAGCATTCCAACAAATAAATATGCTGGGTAGCACCCGTACACTCTATGTAGACTGTTGACACACGCAAGGCTAGTCGTGCCACACCAGTGAAGTAATGCACGTGGCTTGAAATTTGTCACTCTACATTGCCTACGTATATAATATGCGTGTATCTTCTGTTCCAGGTGTGTATATAGTGGCAGCTACCAGTAGGCCTGATATGATAGACCCTGCCCTGCTGCGACCTGGTCGCATCGACAAGTCAATCCTATGTGACTATCCTAATGAGGTACATATTTGAAAATCTGTCGCTCGTAATGAGGCGTCCTCTCTCTATTCAGATATTGTAGTTGATCCATGCACCACATGGGACAGAAGAAAGTGTCCGTATTAGTGAGACGGGGGAAAGAAAGGGTGTCCTGATTAGAGAGGTGTCCTCATTTCAGGGATGTCCTTAGAGAGGGGTTCCACTGTCTTGTTGCACCATATTATCACTCAGCACTTGATCAAAAATAAGCGTCCCTATTCAACCACAGTGTCCATTACTGCATTCCACAGGAAGAAAGACTCGATATTCTGAAGGCACTCACAAGAAGCATGCACCTGGAGAGCAGGGCCAGCCTGGCGCAGATCGCTCAGAGCACGCCACACTACACTGGTGCCGACCTCAAGGCAGTTCTATATAGTGCCCAGCTACGGGCGGCCCACAGGGTTCTAGACATGGAGAAGATGAACGAGAAGAAGAGAGAAGTGTCCCCGTCGGAGAAAGATGCCAGTGGGACTACTGTGGAGGGAGGGGCCTCTGTGAAGGTCTATAAACTCAGCTCAGGCCAATGCACAGAACAACTACCACAACCCGAGCTTCAAAAACAGGTATAATTATACATAATGGCCTTTCACTAAAAATTTTTGAGGCTCTTTATTTTCGCAGTTTGCAAAAATTTTTGAGGTATGTATGTATAATTTTTTCAATGTCTAAACCAATATTATCGGTTACGGAACTTGACATTGGTGAAAATTTTAACCGCATGGTAATTTATTTTTGTTTCTTTAGGTAGAGACATTACATGAGCTATCGAGAGGGTCCACCCAGAAATGGAACAACAATCACGTGAGAACTAATTAACCCTTTACGGACCGGAGAATAACCGATTTAACCTTTTTTATATAATAAGCAGGGAGGTGGAGAGAGGAAGAGGAGGAGGGTGAAGATAACGTTGGAAGACCTGACAGTGGCCTTGGAAGACGTGAAGCCTTCGTTGTTGGTGAAAGAGAGACAGAGACTGGCTGACATGTGAGAACCAAACTGTTCGTGCATGGAAATGCCATTTTCCAGAGGATATACAGGGGAACCTCTGAACAAGGGACACTATGGGGCCAACGATTTTGTCCCTTGTAGAGAGGTTGTCCCTATCTCGGAGGTCAAATTAATAATGCACTAAAGTATTATCATGGGGTTGAAACGAGTGTTCTTTGTAGAGAGGTCGTCCCTATCTCGGAGGGTCCCTTGTCGGAGGTTCCACTGTATACATACATGAGTCACACCTGGGTCACAGGGTGATCAACTCTTATACTTGCAACACAGACCTAGCAGTGTCTTTGCTGTATAGCTATTATATGCATGTGCAGTATACTTGCCTTCCAGCAATACTTTATAGCTACATCCCCACTCTTTGTCCATCCGTCAAACACCGAAGATTTCAAGCTTATTATTCTGCAATACAAAAGTGTGACTTGTACACTAGAAAATACTAGGGCACTAGATACTCTGGAGAAGTTATGAACCTACTACATTTGTTTTTCTGCTCTATTGCAGTTATGACAAATTCGCAGGGAAGATACCCCAGACACTGAAAGCAGTCGTCAACCAAAGGGCCACTATGGCGTAATAGGAACCAAGCTAATCTTTATGCACACCACCTCCATCTTATAGTTATACAAACCTAGGCTCATATAATATTATATCACCATCTACAGTTTGGCAATAGCATTATACTCACATTTCAAAACACACTTCATTAGTTTTTGCGTTCTTCATATTTCGTAAGTACAGTTTGCCATTCGTGGTTACTTCCCCCACCCCCACAAGACACATGTTGACAAATAGGAATATCACAATTGTATGCATTTAGAGAAAAATTTCAAGGAAAATTTTAATTTGGCAAGCAATCTACATGAACTATACAGTAATACACGGCAAATTTTCAACGGTGCTTTGAAGTACGTATTCGGATTACTGTAGCTTCATTTTGACGTGATAGTACACAGCCTAGCGGATCGTATTGCGGAGAGCAACTACGATGAAGAGGAAGGGTTGCTGCCATTTGCACCAGCCAATTGCTCCGACTCCTGCATGGCGGCGTACTGACCCTGCGAACAACAGGTCTGGAACCCAAGAAACCACCATTTCTTCTCCTCGCCGCTCGCCTGCTGCCCCACCTGGAAAACCTGCGGGAGACGATGCAACAGACTCTCCAAGTACACGCCCGAGACCGCGGGGTTGTATCTGTTGAAGTAGGCCGCGATTTCGTCCATGGTGGCTCCAAGAGGGTTAACAGTGAGATAGGTACTGAGGACGGTTATGATGGCGATTTCTGCTTCGGAGAATTCGGACAATTTTGCTTCGTCTGTTGTCGAGCCTAGAACGGAGCGTAGTTTGGCGTAAACTGCAGCTTCAGCAGCCAGGGAGTCGCCTTTAGAGTCTCCACCATCTTCCATCCCAATTTCCACCTTCACTTCCATCTACGGTCAACAAACTCGTTAACAACACCTCACACTATTATACAGATATATACAGCTGTCACAGTGACCGATTTGATGCTTACATTGCTGGCACCTCCTTCGCCGCCAATAGCTTTCTCCCACTCTTCCGGAAATTTCTGCAGAAAAAACAAACATCTTTGAAGCTATAATACATAAAGGATGAAGCAACTGCATGAAAAAACAAGCCCAAAATCTCAAGAGGCAGCAACTAGGGCCCTATATCTGGTTTACACCATCATTTCATACCTCATGTACTTATATAATCACAGCTACACACGTATATTATAATAATTTATGGCCAACAAAAAATACCTGTTTGAACTGACTGATGAGTGTGTTCAACTGCATAATCTGTGCAATAAAAGAATCAACAGTGAAAGAAAGAAGACCACATGGAGAGCTCTGTACGAACCTGCGTCTCTTTCTTCCTGAGAGCTGCAGCGTGCTCTGTTTTCATGTCTTCCATCATTACCTCGTACGCTGTGTTTCGAAATTACTCTGGCATACATTGTTTATAGGGAATATAGTGGAACCTCCATAATATGGACATAGGAAGGTCAGTGAGGTGTCCTTGTTGAATTAGATGGGTATAGTTTACTTGTTTGCTTTGCCCTTTCTATCTCATAGTGTACACAGACTAAGTTCTGTTCTTGGGGGTCAAATGGTGTCTCCATGTATTGACGTAAAGGGTGTCCTAAGAGAAGGGTTCCACTGTAATTCCATATACCTGGGGTTGGTTCAGGGGTAGCTACTCTGACTTTCTTGGCGGCAGGTTCCTCTCCACCCGATGTGTCTTTTTCTCCGTCCAGTGCAGTCTGCATCTCCTCCGAAAGACTCTGACAGTTACACAGCAGAAAGGGAAAACTAGCGGTTATGTTGTACGGCAATGACCGGCTTACTGCTGCAGCATCTTTCCACTGGTTGATTGATTTGCGTTGTGGTTTAGTGAACCCATCCCATGCAGTCCTCTGCGCACAGGCAGCCATTAGAACCTCTTTCACCACTTTACCTAAAAAAGAAAAATATTTATGCAAGTCTATACACGTACAAGTGTCTAAAAAGGTCTTACTTTCTTTCAGGAGACGTTCGCACTTGGTTTTGCGAATGGCGGCAAATTCTTTTTCTTCTTTCTCGAGCTCTTTGACTTTCTTGGCGATCTTGCGTGAGTGTGTGTTGCAGCTGCTGATGAGCCCGAAGAACATGTTTGTCGTGCTGGCGTTACAGTTGCCCCGCTCGATCCAAGTCTTCACGTTCTTAGCCGCCACCCAGAACGTGTCTTCGCCGTGTAGATCGGCCGAAATCATCCCGGCGTTTGTCCCATTGTAGGGCAGTGGCTCCGACGATTCTGCTCTTTTACTCATTTCGCTTTCGGAGCGTGGCTGGGCATAGTCGACGTGAATTCTCCCCGTGTCCGTGAGCGAGCTTGAAGGCCCAATACGGATCCTACAACCACTCAGTTGCAGAGCTCTCTCCACGTCCTCTTCCTGCTCGAACTGAACGTGTCCGAAATTCCTCCCCTTTGACACCCGGACGTCAATCACCTTTCCACACCGACTGAACATGTCCTGCAGATGCTTATTGGTGGCGTTGTCTGGCAGGCTCCCCACAAACACTGTTTTGCAAACACCATGTTTCGTGCGAACATTCGGTTTCTTGTCGAACGGAGAAGTCGGGATGAGAATGACAGAGCCGCACACGACCACACCGGTCGTGGGGTCCTGGTTCGTTTCGTCACCGGACATGGCAGGGAGGGGGGGTAAGGGGGGCAGGGGGTCCACGGGGACGACCCCTACGAGGGGGCTCCAGATCATCAAACGGGTGTCGGTAGTAAGGGTCATCAAGAGGGAGTGCATAGCGTTTTCGATCAATGTCATCGTAATCGCCGTAGCTCCGCTCACGAACTCGGTCGTCGTAGTAAAGGTCTCGCGGAGGTGGGAGGTAGCGAGGGGAGTCAAGGTCACGTGACAAGTCCTCACGACGGTCGCGAAAATCCTCCCTGAACATTGTGACAGAGCCTATGGAAACCCCAAAACATGGCTATAAAACGCACTCTGTTGATTACTCCCTCCCCCCTCCCGCATATATACAATATCATAGAACAACAGTTGCGTGTGTATGCTGTTGAGTTAGAGCGCATGCGTACAACACACAACACGCTTACGTAATACATGTGGATACGAGGTGGTAAAAAGCTTCTGCTTGGCTATTCATGCAGACGGGAAGTAAGGGGAATTTGTAGGTGAAGGCCCGCTCTTGCCATGTACAAATCGGGGTAGTAGAGCTTTATAGGCAAATGAAAATACGCTTCTAAGCATGCATCTTGTATAAGGTTCAACCTGGGCGCTAAAACCTACTTTCTCTGTTCCCTAAACCTTCACTATATCGTCCTTTCTTACCTTGTAACTTCCGGACCCGACTAAGCACCTCGAAAAAGCCAAACTTGAAGCTTCTACTCGCCTGTGCTTGTGTAAAAAACCACGAGGGACGACGACGAGGGGGACACTTCTGGATCGTGTTGCTTCTGCGCATGCGTCGATAAGCTCTGTCCTTTGACCCCTCAACCTTCGCGCGCAGTTCCAAACCAGTTCAATGTCAAAACAGACACTTTCTGAAGCTGTGGAGGCTCTACAGGGAGGTATGAACGTGCCTGTACCTTATAAACGCCGTGGTTTATCTGTCATTAGGTGGAATAAACCAGAGTGAGGTGAAAAACTGCCTGAAAGTCGTGGAAGATGCAGCCAGAACTGATGGACTACTGCCGGAACATATCCTCTCTCTTTCAGAGTACATAGCATCTCGAAGCACCAGTTAGTCCCAATTCTTTACAGTAAAGTCTCCGTAAAAGGACCCTCCAAATAAGGACACCTACACAGGACACTTGGTTCTGCCCTGTATGTACTAATGCATTAGTGCAGTACTACTAGCAACACATTTTTGGCAATCAAAACTTCTTTACATGATGTTTGTGTATGTGGATTGTCATTGTTGCAGATTCAGTTCTACTGACTCGAGCCGTGCGGTGTCTCATTCCCAGGGATTCAGTCCCCTGCGTTTCCGTTCTACGGCTCCTGGGTTCCCTGAAGGGGCACACCCTCTCGTTACAGCTGCTGGTTATCAGGTGGATCATATTAGTCTATGACACCATTGACGACCGTTCCAGTCTACATGGAATCTATGGGGTTCTATTCTACTACCTACAGTTCGACGACCTGGTACAGTAATCTTTGACCTGGTGCAGTATCTATGTTTATAGCACTCTGCTTGTGTGCATTATACAGCGTCCAGTCGTGTGTCAACTTCTCTGTTATATGACAAGAAGATGCGATGGTAAGTGTTGCCTGTATGTGTCTATTATACATGCTCTAAGGTTGGAGGGAAACTGGAGGCACCACTGTATGTTTTATATGGGTTCCCTACCCCACAAAAGTCCCATACACATTCACAAAGGTTCCACTCCCTTTTTCATTTTGGGACCACACACACACACACACACACACACACACGCCCACATACACACACACTAAGATGCGAATAGACTTCATAACGTTATTCTTACTATATACCCTCCCTCCTTGCCCAGTGATACACTATAGAGTTCAGCGGCTCACGGAGCTGTCTAAAAGAGTAGACAGCTACAGAGGAGCAGAGGGTGGGCTGTTAGCTCTGCTGGTCCTCTACCACTCTCTGTGTCCTCACATGCTCACCAATCCTCAGCGAATGCGCAGGAAGGTGAGTTTGTATGTACAATCGTTAGTGACCTATGTATCTAGTCATCTACATAGCATGAAGGGGTTTAGTTAGTTTCAAATGGCATAGGTTAATATCCTATGGACATTATATCTGAGGAGTTACTTACTTTCTTTGTGTGTGTGTGTTTATGTCCCTAGGTATGGTTTAGACCGTTTGAAAAACAGCTTGCAGCCAACATCATGCGACTGCAGAAGGCAAGTATTCCACAAAACATGCAGACTATTGTAAAACGTGTGTGTTTGTGTGTTTGAAGGCCAGACGGTCCGGCGCCAGCAGACCAGGAAAGACCGCTACTGAAGAGGCGCTACACGAGCAGCTAACAGCAGCACCTCCAGTAACACATCTCCTCACATACTCCTCCATACATTTTCTACTATTGTAACACAGCCCCTCAAGAGGCCCAAGAAACAATATACGACTGTTCACGTGGCAGATCTATCGAGAAACGCTACAAGAGGAGAGAGGGGTGGGGGGAGTGTTACTTTTGAAGCTGTGACTACTCACCAGCAGCTTTGCAATGACATCACTGATATTGAGGTCTGCATTTGCCCGTTTGTCTGGTGATATATGGAACCTCTGAACAAGGCCCCTCTGAATATAGGACACTTTGGTCCTGCCTTGTACAAATATATACACTTGGTTCTCCCCAATGCATTAATTACCTCTGATAAATTTTGAAGGTGTCCCTTACTAAGAGGTTCACTGTACCCATATTTCAATTCCCACGTTTCAGTTCCCAGTCCAGGCTGCGAGAGTTCTAAACTCGCACTCTCTCCGGCACATGTTCGCTGTCTGTGCTGAGCCGTCAGCTGCCCTACGTTTCACCTACTGGCTGGAGCACAGCCTCGGCTACGGTATATTATATCAACATTGAAGCTATTCAGTGAAATGTGCTTAAAACAATACGCCGGAAAACATTCATAATGGCTCTAAACCTATGATATTTTCTGACTGTACAGTGTTCCATAGTTCTTAAAGCATTCGCTACGCTAACTATGGTTTTTGACTTGCTGGCTGGCATTTTCTCCTTCAGAACTACTGTATATAGTTTCCGACTATGCACTGTTCCACAGTTTATATATAGAGCATTCAGTAAGCTATGATTTTTCACCTGCGTGCAGAGCTGGACTCCTACTCGCCGGGCAGTGTGAATCCTGATCTCAAGTCTCTTTTGGGTGACCTCCGCAAACTGACTCAGTTCGTTATGGTATATACTACATACGTACAATGTTTTGCTTTCTGATTATTCTTTCAGCCAGTGTTTTTATTTCCATTCAGGAACCAATTCCAACTGTAGAGAGCTTCCTCCACATTCTGCTCGAGGAATGGAATGGAGACGACTGTAGGAACGAGATCTTGGACCTCCTCTCACACCTCTCCTTGCAACCTTTTGACGGTAATATTTTGTAGTCACTCACAAATTATAATGTACATTTGCCTATGTATTGCTCTGGGGTGAGTGGTCTCTGTTTTGGTCTTATGTTTCTTCAGATTTCGAGAAAGGGTTCCTGGAACCTATAAAGAAGCACTTTGTTTTAAAAGACAGAGATTTCAAGGTCTCGAGTCTACAGAAACGTCCTACTGTTGATAGATAGCGTTTTAACTCTCTTCCAGTGTCAGTGTTTGAGTTGTTTTTCTCGACTGCTGAAAAACATGGCTGCATTCGAGTGGCCAAGACATCAGAAACAGCAACCAGGACCGGTAGAAACGGACACACACAGGTTTTTGCTTATTGTTCATGGACGCTACGAAGGTACACCAGTAGCCAATTTAATTTGACAGATTTTCCTCGAGCAGGCTATTAGGTAGCTTTTGAAAGTTTTTCGTGCATTAAATTTACCAACTTTTAAATTTAGTAGTAATAGCCCGCATCAATGGGTGTACTTACACGTGTTTGTAGTTTTTTTAAGAGTAAATTTACAATGCATAGCCAAGCCTATCATTTTGTGGTACCGTGCATGTGTATAGGTTCGACATTTCTAGTGCACCGAGGGTTTGCACTTCAGTGCTTTTCATTGTCATTATGGATAGGTTGTCTCTGTTCTCGCCTGTTACTGACGAAGAAGTTGATGATTTTAACCCCCTCACCACTATAAATCTGTTCATCAAGTATGTGGATTACCTCGTCACGATCGGATTGGAGGTAAGATCATCACTGTTTGTTTGATGTCCACGTGATTATCTCTGGCTACTAGCAAGAGAAGCGGCATGTTCTTCTGTATCATGCAGCCATGGAGTTCTACAGTGTGGTGAGTGATACCATTTTGACTCATCAAGTTCTGAATATAGCACAATCAATCCAGAATTACTAAAAATGCTTTTTGACATTCGCAATTGTGCTTTGAATGCTGTCGGCCGACATACATGACACGCTAAAGAACCAATTTGCAGGGAAAACTTTGCAGTTAATACGGTATTTCTTCCGTCCAATGTTGAAACCCCATTCATTGATTTCCAGGTTGCTGATCTACCAGGAGTGTATGATGTCCCACATCTCTTACTGCCCTCAACCTCAGTTCTCATTACTGGGCTACTGGGACACTCCCCCATCTTCATATCTACTGCCTGCTCCCACCTTGTCAGGTTAGTCCACATCTCTCATACTATCTACTTCAGCAGCTATCACTGACTTCCGTACAGAGTCAAAGAAAATCTGTCTGCATTGAGTAAGGTATGATGTAAGATGTGCATTTTACAGTGAACAGTCTTGCTGCATAAACATGTAATAGAGAAGGCCGCAGTAAGTGATCCCTGTTTTGTCAAAATCCTTGTACAATCTCTGGTGTTTAGTGAAAGCCACTCTACACTGAACTCTATTGGTCTGTGTTAGCTCATTGTCCACTTTGTTCCATCAGAACCAGAGAAGCCTCAAGCTCACCCAAACCTTCAATAGCGTAGTGCTGGATTTCTGCAATGCTCTCTGGCGAAACATGATCTTTAAGAAGACCTCTAAGAACAGTGAATACCCAACACTGGCTTTCGACCTGCCCAGGTAAGGCAGCCATACTTTCAGTCATCTTCTGTGATTCTCTCTCTCTTTCTCTCCACCTCCCTCCATCTCTATCCTTCGATTCCTGCCTCCCTCTTTCCCTGTCGTCCTAGAGAGGAGCTTCAAATGTGTGCCATCACTCAGCCTCACAAGCGACTGAATCTGGTGCACCATCCAGCACTGGTTGGCCTCACTCTACAGTTTCTTACAGAGGTCAGTTTTATTCCCTTGTTTTAAATTTGTTTACCTCAAATGTCCAGCATGTGCGGTGGGATTCTCTAACCCAGACACCAATGGGACAGAAGAAAGTGTCCATAGTAGTTAAGTTTCCTTTTCTCAGAGGTTAAATTGCATGCAAGATCTGGGAAATAAATAGTGTCCTTATCAGGGATGCCCTTAGAGAGAGTTTCTGTTATACTATTCTCTTCCACGTAGACTCAAGATGCTAACAAGCTTGACCAGTTGTCACCTTCAGCTATCTGGCAAGAAACCCGTTTCAAACAGGTTTACTTGCAGTTTCTGACCCAGAATCACCAGTCTGGCATCTGTGACTTTATTCGGACATTTGTCCATACAAACTGACTGGTAGAGCCCCTGATGCACACACACACACACCTTAATAGTAGTGCAGTTTGGACATAGGGTAAAAGTATAATGTCAGCTGTGTTTGTGTGCCTTAGTGCTGCTGTATAGTGTTTGTATGGGATCGCAGATGTTGTGTCATTTGGGTCTTCTTGCAGTGCTGGCTGCACTACTTGCTCTGGAAGATGCTCGTGAGCTTGCCAGCGACGACGCGCGTGAGCTGGCCTTTGAGCTGGCTCTACTGCCAGTCACAGACCCACGAGGTGACATGCCTGTGGGGCAAGGTGTTATCAATAGAGCCCCTGTGATAATGCGATATTGCTCACCAGCTCCTGGTGTAGGAGATCCGCTAGTGGCTAGAACTGTAGCATCCAACTCTATGGATTTGGTAGCTAGTGGAGTGGACGACGCTGCAAACCCTCTTGAAGACCCACCCCTGCAAAAATGTTGGGTCTCAATTGAACGCAGAAGATAAAGCGGAATGGTTTCACGGTTTGGTTTGAGAACTATCTGTGAAAGTTTGGTATGGGTATGGGTCTATATTATTCATACATTTGGGCCAATATACTGTGAACTTTCAAAGTCTTTTTCCTTCGAAAGTTTCCCGGTATAATATAAGAACGTAACAATAGAGGTGTTACCTGGAGCCAATGTTACTGGTGGAACTTCTGGCTGAGGAGAGGACTGAGCTACTGCGACTGGAGCCAGGTGAGGGGGGTGGAGGAAGACTGGCCTGGGGAGGGGAGATACCGCAATCTCAATGAGGGCTATAACACTTAACTATAGACAATATAAGAAAATCATCTATCATCTCTATGTAAAAGCAAGAAAACAACACTATATACACAGGCTCAGATACGTGCTGTAAATGAAGGCAAGGTGGTGTAAAGCTCAGATCTATGTAGGCTATGATGTGTGGTGTAAAGTAAGACTATGATGGTATACATGTGGTTCCTTCGGGCTAAGGGAAGTAGGTATCTATGACTCAAACCTGTGAGAAGAGTAGCTGTAGAGTTGGCTGTAGCTCAGGGTGTTTGGTCGCCAGGTTTCCCACCCTCTGCACCATTGACTGCCCAAACTCCTGCAACTCTCTCACGGCCACATCTTGCTGTTAGGTGGTGGGGGTAAATTAGTTTAGTCAGTGTGTGTGTGTTTGGATACATACAGTATGCATGTATCGTGATTTTACCTCAATCTCAGAAGCAGCAGAGCCTTTCTTTGCCCTCAACTCCCGCATCACTTTAGCCATCTTTACCAGTAAAAAAGTTTGAACAGATTTTACACACGCTTAACCATCAATTTTTACCTGTTTGTTGATCCGTTCTCTCTTGGCTTTCAAGTCAGTCAATTCTTTCTGGAGCGAGGTCATCGTAGCTTGCCGCTCATCCAGGCGTGTCTCCAGACCAGTCCGCTCGGACTCCAGACTCCCTAGTCTCCTTTGCATTGCCTGTATGGACACAATTCCCCCTAAACATCCAGGGATGGTTGTATTTGAATCCCGCATCATGCGGGAATGAATTTGTATAGCTACGTGTATACCTGCATATCCTCCTGAAGCTGTTGCACCTGCTTCTTCTTGTGTCTCTGCTTGTTAAGAGCTGCCCTCCACTGTCCCTCCAACGTCTCCACTTTATCAGCTTCTTCACCTTCATAAAGAATGTCATACGTTGTCCCACTGGCATCGTCAATGTTCTTACTCGAAGCATCGGCTCTTTGTAGAGTATGGCGAAACTTTTCGTTCTTGCCATTCATCACTTGAAGAGTGTTCTCCATTGCCCTGTACATACGCAACAAGCCCTGGCTATATTGCTACATATCTCATTGTACTAGAATGCATTCAACTAATATTTGGTGAGAAACACAAGTAACTCCATAGAGGACAACTTTTGAACTGCTGTGGTGTGACTTACCGTATTTCTTTCTCAGCTTTCCTGATCTTACTATCGTAGTCATCCCCTTTTCTCTGCAGTTCCTCGCGTTCCTGTGCAGCCTGTTTTGAATACCAGACAAACAGGTTTGAATCTCGACTCTGGACGATCGGTGTGGTAGTGCTGACCTTGATGACGTAATAGGCTTGCGAGTGTTCTTCTTCTCCTTCTGGTGGCATCATGGCAACTGTGATGATCTCATAACGTTTGCGAAGCTTGTCAATCTTTGATATGCGCTCGTGAACCTCAGAGCTATGTAAAAGAGGATGACCAGGTTAATGAGAAGGATTTATGAATTCACCTGGTCGCTTGTCTTTCTGCTTCCAGAGCCTTACACTGTGCCCTGAGCATTGCCTTGTGCTGTCCAACCTCCCTATTACGCTCGGTCATTGCCTAAATCATTAGCATCATAGTGACACCATCATAGAAGATTTCATCACAGTGACGTCATTAGATATGTGATTCCCCACCGTTTGTAGCTCTAGTTGTCTCCTCTCGAGTGAATGTACTTCACCAGCATGGGAGAAAAGGGTGTCCCTCAACCTGTGTGTACATATGAACCAAAGATGTTTCTACTGTGGTTTGGACAGGCATGCATTCAAACGCACCTCCTGACTTCAAGTTTCACAATGTTCTCGTTAACCATTTGATCCTACAGCGCAACAGACTAGTAAACATTGCACTCCTAGTGTGGGTACTAGTAAACATTATGCATACTAAAACGAATGCAAATAGACTGATAGACTGACCTCCTTGGCTGCTACCAATCTCCTCAGCTCCCTCTGCGTGGTGTCAATGTGTAGATTGATGTCATCTGAAACCACAGCAATGAGCGTCAGTTTGAGTGTACAAGATTCCACTGACCGATCTTCTCGTCGAGTGAGGCCTTCTCTTTCTGTCCCTGCTCCAGTGTGGTGTTGACTCTCCGCAGGTCGTCCTGAAGTCTCTTCAGCTGTCCTGATAACATGGACTCGTCCCCCTGCTGTCTCACCCACTCTTCTTCCAGCTCCTGTACAATACATTGTATGGGGCATCCTAGTAAATCTAGCTGTGCACCTAAGGGTTGTTTGATAGTGAGTTGACCGTAGCTGAAACTGACCTTTATTCTGGCATTTAGAGCAACTTTCTCGTCGTCTGTTCGCTCGCCATCGAGTCTGCTCATTTTTCGTTGCAGTTGCTGAAGCTGGAGGTCCTGTAAGTTAAAAAAAACCTGAGGTAATAATATACACATGTAAAAGAGAAAACGGAAAAGTAGTGACTGGAAGTCCAGGGTACTGTGCACGGTGACACTGCAGAAAACTGAGCTATACTACTGCCAGGCAGAAATCAAAACTGAGCAAGATGGAGAGGACCTGTGTGTAGAGTATCTCCTGTTGCTTCAGTGTCTCCTCGTCGAGCTTGTTCTGTTTGGAGCTCAGGTTCCTGTGCGTTGCTCGGCCTCCCTGTATGTCTGCCAGCATGTTCATCTCCTTGCCCTTCAGCTCAAACATCTCCTGGGCTGCCTTGAACTGTATACAATACAGCAGAAACTCTCTTATAATGGACACCTCGTTAATTCTGGTGCAAAACAATGAAACCTCTGTTTAAAGGACAGTTGTTTGTGGTGTTCTTTGGTTGGACTCTGTACAAAAAGGCGAAACTGACCTGTTTTTCTCTCATTTTGGCAATGTCTTTCTCGAGCTGCTGAAGGTGCTCTTCTTCCTCGGTCAGCCGGCTGTCGATTTCTTGAGCTCTCTCTTCAGCCGATAGAACCTTCTGTGTCGATCTCTTTAGCTCCTCTTGCATCAGCTCTCGCTGCCTCTGGACTGTTTCATGTCTATGCGTGTATAGGAGAGGGAGTGAGGGTTGTGTGTTGGTGGTGCCCGTGTTTCTTACTTTCTGCGGCTGTCTTTGATCTGTCGAGTGAGGTGGCTACTCTCGTAGCGAACCTTCTCCAGATCTGAGCCAGCTCTATCCACCGAATACTTCAATGTTTCCAGCTACACACAAGACAGAAATGATTCCATAGTGAGTGTGGATGTGCATCATCCCCCAAAGCGGCAAGGCAATGATACATTAAGGGTGAGTCTAGGGAACTGTTTCATGGCATCCTAGGGTTCCCTCACTGACCTCATTCTTGAATGCAAGCCTGCCGGACTCTGACTCCTGGTAGGTGAGTCTTGTCTTTGCCACTTTTCTCTCCATCACTCCCAGCGACTTCTCCTTCTCCTCGTTGTTTCTCTTCTCACCATCCAGAAATTCCTGCAAAAAGTCGAGCAGTCTTGAACATGTCTGCCCACAGATTTACGCACGAATGCCGCGTATAACTGGCAGCATCGGCAGCATTAGGTTTGGTGATATATTATGTGACATCATCAAATGTGTAGCACGTTATGTGCTAAGCAAGGCGATTTCAAATGTGACTGCATGCCGCCAATCTTATGAACGCTGTCAATTTTCCAGCTTCACAGTAGTACTTGTTTACCTGCTTCTCTCTAATGGCATCATTCTTAGTTCGTATTTCTGCCCTCAACTGAGCCAACTCCTGGAAGATAGCAGAAAGAAGATTATGCCAAAGAGGGTGAATGGGCGACGGGCTTACGGTTGCACATCTGTCCATGTCGGCGTCACGTCTCTTCATCTGGTCGATGGTGTGTTCCCATTGCTGAATCAGCTCCTCTCTCTCGTGTGAGCCTGTCGAAATGCCATTGCTGTATTGTCCAACTCAATCTGCAGGAGAAGAAGATTGACCAGACACATACATCATGGGTGTCAAGTGTGCATCGAACAATTACTAAACCTGGAAAACCAGGGTGAACTTCAAACCCACAACACTATACTCTATGAGCAGAATGCACCTCATACCCAGCGACAGTGGCAGGCTGGCTGGCAAAGTAATGCAAGGCACATTTCACTAAGTATCAGAGGAAGGCAAGGAAAGGAAAACTTCCCCTTGTAGCTTTGTAGGAGTACATTATGGTGAGGCTGGCAGCCACCTGGTGCTGGTGAGTAGCTGACCTACAAATTGTCCAAACCTATTACAAGTCATGTTAGTCTCTCGTCTGTTATGTGTTTTCAGTTTTGTCAGAGTATTGTCAGTTGACCACGATCAGGACCACTGCCTCATGCTCAGCCTTATAAAATGAGCCACAGAGGCCATTTTACACTGAGCCAAGAGCACTGTTAGATAGTCCAGTTGCCATGTGAGAAGACTGCTTACACTTAGTCTGAAGGGCAAGCAAAACTGCTTGCACTTAGTCTGAAGGTGCTACAGTATAGCTATAGATAGACCTCTGTGTCGAAGAACAAGACAAAACCTCTGCTGTACTCAAGATGGTGTCACTCTTTTGCAGTATATTTATATACTCCTGATGGTTTCTCTCTCTAATCCCTCCACCAACTGACCTGAGCTGCCACTGTCTCAGTGGACTCAGTGTCCAGAAGCCGGTTCTTTCTCACGGCTGTCTCCTGCAGTTGCTCCAGACGAAGGCTGAGTGCCTTGATCTTGTCTTCGTCCACACATGAGTACTTGGCCAAGATCATTGCATCGTCATCTCTGTGAGCCGATTCTTCCAGCCAACTCTCAAGAGTCTATAATATGGTGTAAGTTGTGTTATGTACAATGTTGAGCATGATCTCCTCTATGTGATAGTATATACCTGGTGGTCCCACTTCATTTTTGCCTTGATCTCTTCAATTTTCTTGTTTGTTTTAAAAACTGTGTTCTGCAAAGTGTGATGTTTAGTAAAAATGTGTTGGATATGTTACTGTATATACCTCGTAGACGTTCATCTTTTCTTTTAGGTCCATTCGATCGAGATCGAAACGTTTCATCTCGTCTTTCAACCGCCCACTCTCTCGCTCGGCTGAAAAAATTGTGACCACAGTAAGGGGACAGTAGGTACACGTAAGATAGATGTGTGGAACGTACAAACTTGTCTCAAATGATGCTCAGTCCCCACATCCTTCTTTCTTGCCTCGTAGAGCCCCTATGAACAAGCAATCCGCAAAAACAAATAGCTTCCCGCGTGGCTTGAACGAGTTCTCCTACCTGCGTCTGCTGTAGCTCTTGTTGTACGTTCTTCAGGTGGTCTCCCATGGCCTGCACGCGGTCTCTGAGGTGCTCGGCCTGACGCTGTAGCTCCGCTACCTCCCGCTCCTTCCGCTGCACGTCCGCCTGCAGCTCCTTGTTCTCCGCGTTGGCGATCGGTAGCCCCATCTCGGGGTCTCTGCGTCAAACGCACTCGCAATATCTAGCGGTATTGCAGCCATTCCTCTTGTCCCTGAAACGTTGAGTCGAAAAGTCGCTGCGTAAATAATCTACTGGGTACGACAGTCCGCCATTTTGTTTGAAGTCGGTTGCCAAGCGACAGTATGCGCATGCGTTAAATTCACATAATCCTACGCATGCGTAGTTTTTTGGCTGCATTATTACTAAGCTGTGTATGAGAGTGGTCTAGAGTGAGAAAGCAAGTAGTACAGTGTGTCCATGTGGGGAGGGGAGTGGGCAGGCAGTATCTCTGCAGTAGACTCAGCCAACAGAGTCGAATAGATATCACCGTGAGGCTGTAGTGACAATAACAATATTCAGTATTTTCATGCGTTTATGGCGTACCTCGCAGCCTTCTGCCTTGTCTGTGGCAAAGTTTGCACTATCTTCAGTTAGTGCCAACCTCCAGTTGCTTTCACCACACACATACAAATAGCTGGGATCCTAGAAGCATAATGTACACCAACAACTTTATGCAACGCACACTCTGCATAATTTTACCTCCGCGTAATTGACCCTTGCACATTTTAGTATGAAATTTCCATGTCCGCTCTGACTGTTCCAATGGCTCGAACCGAACTTGAATGAGGCGACTGCCATTGAGATATGGCGGTAGACTGACACCTCAACTTCTTGATTCTGCGTTTTTTCCCATACAACTCTATTCTGTGGGGAAGAAAATTAATGCATACTTTGTCACTGACGGAGCAGTATTTGTGTCCGTCAGGCTCAGGGTCGAAATTGATCCCACACTTCTTGAGTCTCTACAATAACAATAATACCAAAGAACCCAGTGAAAGGAGAAAGGAGTGCAATATAGGGGCTTCACAGGCAAAAGTTGGCAGGCCGTCATGGGTTGGCCTATGAGATGAGAGACTGGGGAATCCTCAGAAGGTTCTAGAAGAGTACACTCCCTGTCCTGAAAAGGCACAATGACAAATGATAGATGAAAAATGATAATCTTGAGGGAGAACGGGTGCCAACTGACCTTTATATCGATGACAAGGTGAACCAATGCTCCTGCCAGTGTCAGCCGGGTGTGGTTTAACCCTTCTGGGACTACCTCCCACCTTTTGTATGGCATGTTGGCGTACTGATCCTAAACAAAGAGGTGTCATTGAAAGAACTTTGTCTTAGGATAAGATGTGCTTACGGTCATAATGGCGAGTGGTGAAAAGTAGTACGTTTGAAAGGTCACCGTATTCTCCACTGCAGATATGCATAGCAAGAGTGTTTGGTTATTAGGGGAATAGTAAAAATGTGTCAACTGACCCATGTCGAAGCTGACGTCTTTAACCCTTTCCGTCCTCCATATGTTGAGTTTGTTGTCCCACTGAGCCAACAGTGGCTCAGATGGGAAGTGAAATGGTGCTGGAAGACTTTAGAACAAGAAGGAAAAAAACCATAATTCACAGGAAAATTTTGATGCTAGTTATTGAAGTTTACTCTCTTAGTAAAACAAACAGCGTACCTCATAGTGATTTTGAGGGGCGGCCACTGGGTGCACCCGGGGACAATAGCAGGGGGCGTGGTCACTCTGCCCCCTTCAACACTCTCAGCTGATTGGTTGGGTGCAACCTGTTCAATTTTTCTAGACAGCTCTTGAGGGTAGACAAATGTCTGAGGACCATCAGGAATAACTGGAAAACAATAATTCCTTAGTTCCTATATCACAAAATATCTTTAGCACGTGACTTGACGAGGATGTGCAAATATTGGGAATTGTCACTATGTTTGCATTGTGAATTGTGCATAGTGAAAGTAGCATGTTTGTAATATGGTACTAGCATATCTCTTCTAGTGCAAATCAATGCTGATCTTCACCGAAGTGTATTATGTACTCACCTCTTCTGATGGTCCACTGCCCAGCATTCTTTGGTGGAGGTGGTAGCTCTAGCAGAGTTAGGATTATGGGTCCACCTGCAGGACAGTATCGCCGCAGGTTAACCTCGTCTTCCTCGGAATATCTCCCCTCTGCTTCAGCCTCTGCTTCCCTTGCCTCCTCCTGCTCGGTTCCTTCTGGCTCGGTCTCTCTATTTGCCTCTGAAACCGCAGAAGAAGCATAGGTTTTGCAGTAGGGATTTTCATGCAGGAATTGTTAGAGGTCTGCACAGTGTGTATACTGTCCTTGCCATGTAGCGGAAAGATTTATGCAGGCGACTGCACAGTGTTTGTGTGTCCTTGCCTTTCTCTTCATCTGCAGTTTGTTCGGTTGGGTTTGGGTTTTTCGGTTGAGAAGTGACGTCTGCCTCTCCCTCCCGTTCTGCTTCCCCTCCCCCTTCTCTCGCCTCCTCCCCTCCCTCTACCTCTTTTTCACCATTCTCTGGACCTACATCCACTTGACCTTCACCATCCGAAGCAGTTTTATCTGTCTGTGGGGTATAACTCCTGCATAGTAAAAGAAATCCAAAAAACCAGGCTAAAAGGCTTATGAATATTGACGAAGACGGTCATTTTTTGTTGCATGTGACTGCTGAAAAAACGTTAGATTTGGTGATTTGGATTGCATCATCAAAGTTAATGCCCCGAAATTTTTCCTATAATTATACCTTGCCAGTGGTGTTAGGTTGTCAAATGGAGGATAAAGTACAGAGACCAGTATGTTGGCCAGAATAAGGGGCTTCGGAAGCTCCAGGGTGAAAGAGCGCTCTTTGAAGGAGAAATCTTTCAACCTGTGTGGACAAGGAAGCATGAAAAATTTTCATGAGTCTTTTTTCGTGGCTCGCTCCCGAAGGGTGTTTTTACACATGAATATAAACTGTGAAAATTACGAATGAAAAATTTCCTCCCAACCTTGGGTTTTTGGCCACGTTGCCCCAAAGGCAGAGCACCATTTCTCTCGGCAGAGACATCTCAACTGTCATGTTGTAGGTCTCCGAGCTGATGTGGGACTCTGCGTCAAGGCTGCATTTGTGGGTGAGAATTGACAGCTTCGACAGCATCACCGACTGCATCAACTGAATGGTCTACAGAGACAAAGGGGGGTAGACATCAAGTACTAATTACTGCGAGGGGGGTTCCTTGGGTTCTGCGGAACCCCCCTTTTTGTCGTTTTGCGTGCATGCGTCGTCAGCCTCATGTGCGTGCACGAGCGCAGTCGAAAACGTTCCGGGACAGCGGAACCCCCCCTTTCAAAATGCTAGATCCGCCACTACTGCTACATGCGTATTATACATGCAAAGGAAGTTACATTTCGATAGTAGTCCATCTTGTCTTCTGGGGCAGTGGGATATCCATCTCCTTCCAGAACTTTCCTCACTTCATCACACAACTATGGACGAGGTATTAATACATTCTCACTTCTCAATCACATTTCTCAATCAATATCACAAGCTCACAGTGAGGCAGTTCCTGATGTCTTCTAGGCAGGGGGATATTCCTGAAACAGAGGAGTCTCTGTAGTCAGATATCCATGAGTTGAGGGCTTTTTCGTCTATCACCAGAGGCAGCTGGCTGCAAGACAGGTAGTGCTCCCACTGAGTGGAGAGAAAAGATGGAGACGAAAATTGAGGAAAAGTAAAAAAAGTTAACGGACCTCTTTCTTGGCTGTCTGCTCTTTTTTCCACGTCACCAGATTTTCACTCCACTTGGTTTGTAAGGCTTTCACTTTCAGGGTTTCTTCGGCTATCCTAGCATCTTGCAAAGCCTACAAGGCACAGAATATCTTGGATCGTCAGTTTGGTGTCGCTAAAGGATGCGGGATTTGCCTTCTTCCTGGCTGCTTCCTCTCTCTCTATCCTCTCCTTCTCCTGCCGTTGTCTCTCTTCCTCTTCTTCACGAGCTCGTCTCTCCTCTGAAATGAAACGCCATCTATCAGCGGTTTCTAGCTCGCTAGTTGACGGACCTTCTTCCCTGGCTTTTCTCTCGGCCTCTTCTCGTTTCAACTTCTCTCGCTCCGCTTTGCTCAGTTTGGGAGGCTAGATTAGAGGGTTTAACTAAGTAATTTTCCTTGAACTGAAGTCTAGAGTGAAGAACTTGCCATTTTTTGCAGCAGCGAGCTCTACCTCCAAATAACGCGCATCTGTTTGCGAGTACTGTAGTTTCCATAGCACCAGTTTCGCGCATGCGTGTTTGCGGGGTAGCTAGCTAGCGCTCGCGGGGTAGCTAGCTAGCGCGCTTTACGCTACGGCGTTCTTTCAACTGCAACGTTTTGGTGCACGTTTTGACATTTCGAGGGCAATTGTTAAATGATTTAGCTGATCATTGGTCATAAAGTAGGCAGCACTGTCTGTCTGGTTTGTCATTTGGAGCCCGTCCCGATATCGCGCATCGCGAAGTCCCGCGCCGCCACACCTCGCGCGCAACATCATATCCGGTGGCGCAGATTGGAGTATAAAGCAAAAGTGCCGGTCTGGACTGGGCTTAGTCCAGCACTATAAATTATTTTAGCTGCAAAATGTTTTCTCGCGGCGTTATTAGCCGCTCGTTCAACGCGCCTCACGGCATGAGGATCCAGGCTGTGCGAGACGGTGCGAGCCGCCTCTGGCGAAAATCCTTCTCGACTGGCCGTCTCCGTCACTCATCCAGCGAGGGCACACTCGCGCATCAACCAGTCATCTTGAAGGAGGGATATCTGAGCAAGCCGTCGTTTTTCAGATTTGTAAGTTCAAACTATGCAGTATTCTGGGCAACGTAGCTACGCAGCTACTGCTAGCGACGAGAAAGGGAGTTTCACTGCTGATGTTTTTTGCAGGGTGGTAAGAAACGGAGATGGTGCGTGCTAAGAAAGTTTTCTCCCTCCGAAGCGAGTATTGACCTCTACGTAGACGACACGAAGTCGCGCTACAAGGGGAGCATATCGCTGGACCGGGACGCTGCACCTCTCCTGATCGTCAAGAACGCCGACAAGAAACGGAAGGTGGCGCGCCAGTGTTACTTCATCATCAAAGTCGGAAAGGGCACCTTTCAATTCACCTGTGATTCGTTTCGCGAGCTGACGGAGTGGTGCGCCCTCATCCGTCAAGCAATGGATGTAGGTGAGTCATGAGCTAGCTATACAGAAGCCGCTGAACTTATCACTGTTGCGGGCAACGGACGGAATGTGTAGTTCTTCATGCATAACTACATTACCTTCACTCTTCATCGCAGGGAACACCTTTTCTGGCCTGATAACAGAGCCTGGAAATATCTCCGAGGGACCTGTGAACATCAAGTTCACCTCAAATTGCATTGCAGTCGTGTGTCCCATCAAGGAAGCATCCCTCAAGACGTGGCTGCTTCACAAGATAACTTCGTTCGGCCAATGTGGTGGCATTTTTACCTTCGAGGTGTGTCCACACTGCTCGGACTCTTCAGGCTCCGTGCATCGCTGCTCCATCAACTTGATCCAGGAGAAACCGACCATTATCCTCAACATACTCGAGAGGGCTATCCGCAGCAATCCGAACACGAGTGAGATTCACTACGAGCGAAGCATCCTTGGAGATATCTACCACTGCGGTCACGACTGCACCCAGCCGGGTAGACTTGTGCCGGCCTACTCCGACCCAAACATCTTCAGTAGCGGCGGGTCCTTTAGTCCTCCGAGAACCCCAAGAGCATCGGTAGAGGTCTACACTAGAGAACAGGTTGAGAGCATTGATTCGGGTCTGCCAGGAACCCCTCAGCCCGAAGAACTATCGAATGGCATTCCGTCACCGACATCCAGTTACAGGTCAAACCCGTTTCGCTCACCGCGCCACCAAGTCCACTTTCCTCCCGGGGAAGAGGAACTGGAACGACACCCCGTTTTCAGAAGAAGACAGAGCGACGAGACTCCCATGCGAAGACGAAGCGATAACCTCCCCTCATCTCCACCAGCAGAGAGCTCGCCTGTCAAACTGATGCTTCCAAACCACGGGAGGGTCCAGTATGCTCTGATAGATCACAGTGCCCCGGCAAGAATGATCCGTCCAGAAGAGTATACCATAGAGACCCAACACACAACTGAAACTTCTCCAAATCTCACTGCAACTGTTCCTTCTGGCGAAACTGCCACAGTTTACTCAACAGAGCAGGAACCAAAGGAGAGAAGAAACACTTACAACAAACTGAAAACTCTGGAAGAGTCTACAGAGGCAGTGGACGACGTCATATACGACGTCCCCAACTGTGAATTTCTCTCCGATCCATTCATGCCCTCACCTCCCTCTCCCCAGTACGACGTAGACACTACTGCAGTCACAAGGAGCCCAAATCATCACGCTTTAACGTCGCCCTCTCCAAATCATCACGCTTTAGCGTCGCCCTCTCCAAATCATCACGCTTTAGCGTCGCCCTCCCCAAATCATCACGCTTTAGCGTCGCCCTCCCCCAATCACGCCAGAACTTCTCCAATTGGATCTCCTGCAATTCTGTCGCCTTCGCACCAAAAATACACAGCAGGGACCGATGTTCAAGACAGGGAGGAAGACTATGCGGAAGCATGGATATCTGCTTTTCCCAGACGAAAGGCAGGGCCAGGGAAGAGAGAAGCCCAAGTTACACGTCTGCCCAAGAACCACGCCTTGGCAGTAAGGGACACAGGCTCCAGGAAAAGGTTCCAGAGCAGCTCTGATATACTAGATGGTCCGATGGCTACAAGCTTTGCCAATCGCACAAGAGATGTCATTCAGAATGGTGGAGTCTATCGACCCCGAACGGCATCAGTGTGTTTGAACAGTAGCGACCGTCACTTGGAAAAAGCCAGCAACGACTTCCTGAAACGACTCAATGAGGAGGAAGAGAAGCTGAGCAAAGTGCTCGCAGCCTCGCGTAAGGAGCGAAACGAAGAGATCATGGAGGAAGCCCGTGACAGGCTTGGAGATCTGAACAAGGCCTACATGTTCACCTTAGACGACCTAGATCACGAATACTCCGATCCGGACACAATTCTCGAGACTTGTTCGAATCTCGTAGACTACCAGACTCGCTCTCACCCCAGCTATCTCCCTGGTAGTGCGCTCCCGGTCCACAAAGAACCAACGAACAACATCAAGGGATATGCGTACAAAGTGACCATTCCGTTTACAAATACTCAGTATGATGTACCACGACGTGCTGCAGCCGCACCAGACCTTACCACAATGAGCCAAGATGCTCCACCAAAGCCAAAGAGACACGTATCTACTGAACACTTGTACTTCATGAACAGCTGAACGCATACACACAGATACACAGAGTCCACTCTATAAATCACATTTGCTTGCTCTTTACGTCCAATTTGTTTTGTCCAGTAAGTGTTTGTGCCAACTGTTAACTTCTTTATATTGTGTAAAGGAAATCAGATTTGGTGCTTATGTGCCACCACACATTCAACACACGTGTCATCACTTCCAGGTATGTCATCAATTGTATCATTATTCGGCCAGTTTTTTTCCGTGTATCTCATCCACCCCCATTTCGACACTATAATTATATTCAGACATCATTATTGAACTGGTATAACACAAAGAAAAGAAAATAATACTGCTGCATTGGATAGACAATACACAATAAGTGAAGCGGCTGCCAGAACATGAAAGTGAAGATACAGTTTATCAGTTATCAAGACTCATTAGGAGAGCTGTGCCTCGCTTCACCCAGTGTTCTGATGACGACTGACCGGATTTCAGATCCACTGTGACGACAAACGATGGCCTGCCACTACCTCCAGAGCGATTAGGGAAATAATAGCAGGGACAAGAGTAGATACCTGGGGGTGCGTATTATACAAGTGCATTAGTGACAAGCTAAATTGATGCTTAGTGGACTTAGCACCATGTTGAAACTAGACTAGCTGTTCATCTTTCAAACAGAAAACCTTGGCACACAAGTGCAGCTATTAGGATAGTTGCTGTAATGGTGATTCACAGATAATTGTGGCAAAGAGAGCGGACGAGAAAAGTACACGTTGATTTCAAAAGACCTCTGTTGAAAAGCAAGTGAAAACAACTGAGATAATACTTCCGGCGACATGTGATAGTACATTCTCCTGTCAGTCTCATGCTTACAACAGCAAAAACCCTTTCCCATAAGGGGACCAGAAGAAACACTATCGATGCTAACAATGTCACAGTGTGGCATCTGTTGGAAGATTGGTGTACTGTACACACTGCATGCCAGATTACTGAGAGGCTTCCGTTGAAGTGAGTAAGGAGCAAGTTGCTGAGGATATCGGTGGGTGTTGGTATGGCAGTTGCATGCAGAGTGACTGGACGAGGGGTTCTGTGGAACAAACTTTTCCCTTGCTTGTCGTTGCTCCCAATCCCCACTCCTTGTCTGTCACACACATAGACAATAATCCTTAGTTAGGTCATCGACTTACATATAAACACCACTTCAGTTCAACGCACACAAAGTGTTTCCAACAGACCTTTGGCACTTCGTCTCTTGGTCTCTGCTGGCTTGAAGTGAATGGTTGGCATCGGGCAGACGAGCTGCATTGGGCTAGCCTCAACCAGACACCCAGCCCGCTTGTCCCAGCCAGCTCCCTCCAGGAACAGTCCTTTGATCCAGACACCATCCTTAGAGAAGAGAAAGAGAGAGAAAGGAGAGTGATTAGGGAAGTGAGGGAGAAGATAGATGAAGAGCAGGGGAAAGGAGGGAGGGAGAGGAAGGAAAAAGATGTAATCTCCATTGGTGTAAAGTCCAAACCACTTTGGATTTTGAATTGCCAAAATTGTAGGAGTAATCATCCACCCATTTGCTCGACATACACCTATAACATACTGGAGAATGTTATGGGCACACATGTTTTACTGGTGTTTGGTGGGTGGGGGAAAATGTCGGACAAACACTTGGAGCCCTGCCATCCAAACTGGGAGGGGTGGGGCCCGTAAGGAGGTTTTGTGGCGAGGGTGAGTCTAAGGCTAAACCGAGTTTGTGTCATTCCCTTCTGAGTGTGTGGGAAATCACCAGACGAAAGATCTTCCCATTCAACTGGATTGTAAATAGTGTATTTTTGGCACTCATGTGGGTGAAGGGTACGGCTATGAGCATGCAGCAATGAGCTCTATAAAGAGAGGGTGGGGATGAGTGGGCGAGGGTGGAGTTAATGAGCAGATGAGGGAGAGCACGGTGATTTTTTGGTGGACTTATAGGTCCAAGGTGCGTCTTGGGTTTCAAAATTGGCATTTGATCCATACAAAATCCTACTGCTTGCTATCACCATTGCATACCATACAAATCCTTACTCCTTCCTGAGTCTAATGTTAATGGAATGCTTGTCGTGGTTTTGTACCGCGAGCGAGCGGGAGGAAGGACAAACATCTAATTATCATGAATATCTTTATTTTAGCTAGAGAGTGCATTGCAAACCATAATCACCCCCCTGTGGGAACTTGGTGGCCTAAAGTTTCCCACCACGTGAGGCGCGGTGGACAGGCCAATCAACCACCCTCAATACCTTGACTAAGTGACTACTAGCAAGCATGTTCAATACCTTGACTATAGCTGGAGAATGAAGTGACTACTAGCAATCATGTGGGGGTATAAGAATGAACTATCCAAGTGTCCTGAGTGCCTTGACTATAGCTGGAGAGTGCAATGAAAATGATATATAGGAGCTGTGTAATACCTTTGGAGGCTCGGTGAGATTGCTGTCGTCCAGATGTGACACTTGGAACTCCCATGACAGAGAATCCACCGAAACCTACACCAAAACACATCCACGACAATGCACACACGAATGCATTCATCATACAAGCAATAGTATAATTATAGTATTCAGCATGTGTTCACATAGTTGCTTAATTCGACACTTATGCAAGAGCCATTGATCCAAAGTGAGAAGAGGAACTATGCGCTATTTCTAAGATTTCCCCAATTCACAATAACGTACACATATATAGACATTATAGTGCTCATTAGCATTTATCAGGATACACACATCCAAGGCTTCAGGAGACAGAATGACAGCACCTGACACTATAGTGCACTGTAGCAGGAGACAATGTCTAGGAGACTATGGCATCTTGCACCAGTATCTAGACCCTCACTTTTGAGTCTTAGCCACCCACTTAGCTAAATGGCTTTTGATTTTAGCAGTACCATATAGTAGATTTTCTAGATAGCAATATAGACTTTTGATTTATCTAGAGCAGTATAGGTATAGACTTTCAGCCACTGACTGAACTACATTAGACCCAATTTTCAAGGTGATATCACTATCAGAAAGCAGAATAGACTTTCATGTACATAGACCAGTGTCAATTGATTTCTAGCCACTAGCTTTTATAGTTGCAGATAGAGTAGTAAAAACTTTCACTTTTCATCCTAGTCACTGGCTGAGCAGTAAGACTTTCATACATAGCTCTCACTAAGCTACAGATAGAGCGCAGGTCTTACTGTAACCACTCACTGGGCTCTACAGATACGTAGCGCGCACATGCACTAAAGACTGACGTTGTTCTTCCTGGCTGCTGTCTGGAGGACGGCTGTTAGAAACCCGGTGGGGAAGGTGAACCCTGAGAGCCAGAAGAGGACGGGAGGGTGGGTGGTTGTGGCCCACGTCGAGAACTGCTCCACTCGCTGCAGGAGGTCTCTGGTCCAGGACCCCAGGGCCTTCTGGGATGGGTATGCCTGTAGGGGAGACCACAGCAAAGCAATGAGATAGTAGGTATATCTACATGTAGAGACTTCTGGCTGGCTTGCACAAGAGAACACAAGACAGCAATGAGGTAAGTTTATCTGCCAATTGGTGAGTGAAGCTAGTTACCCTCGGCGCACATGCGCAGCGAGGGTACTGAAGTTGGGTTTGTCTGTCTGTCTGTTACTCTCAATCTCACTTCTCAAATGTTTGTTCGTCTCACAAACGATACGACCTACCAAACGGGCAATGAAGGTCAGAAATTTCGAACGGTTTTCTCTGAAAACGCTCCGTTGCAAAGCTATAGCGCTTCCACCATTGTACGGCTAATGCGTAGTCGGCCATTTTTGTCGCTGCGGAAAACGCGCATGCGCTTATATTTTCAACAGCCTCGACCGGGTCCGCTTGTTCTGTGTATCTTGAAGGCACAAGAAGTCACAACGAAGGGCGTGTATCGACTCTCGCATGCTATCTACTACTGTAGCTAGCCCGTGTCAGACTCTCTGCGAGCTACTAGCGGGAGACCACGAGTAAACGCATACTAATAGCAGCCCAGCCCATCAATCAGTGGTACCTCGCATGCCCAGTTCGCCGAGGTCTTTGCATATAAACGGCGCGGCCCGTATGCATAATATTAACGTTCACTCACAAACATTAGTTATATTAGAGAATACGGATATGGTATGGTGGATATTGTCAAGAATTAACTTGGTACCACAAGAAAGGGTTTCGTGCCAAACCAACCAAAAACCAATGCTCAATAGCCCGTATGTATGTGTAGCGAAGTTTCTTGAAATCTGCAACCCACTCTAATGTACATATATACATGGCTCTAGATATACTATAGTGTAGTGTCCTACTACGTGTGTAAGGTGGGTCCTGTGCCCAATTTGTTAGGTACATAATTCCCAGCTATGAACAGATTAAGCCCACCATTCTAATTCAACTTCCATTGTTTCTGTGCATTACTACCAATAAGTCACAGCAGTATATACCACCTACACACAACATACTAGTACGTACATACATACGTACCTTTCCCCAAAGCGGCGGTACTTGGGCATTGTGTATGCACGAAAACACTTCTTCCAATTCGGACGACATCACCACTAAGCCCTTGATGCCTTTCTCAAGCTCGACTAGCGAGCTTCGAATGGTCTTCAGGAGACTGTTGTACCGCTCAATCTGCAAGGACAAAATATGATTGCATCAAACATAAAACCTAAAAATAATGTGTATTAGATATCACAATTTTTGTTAACTGGCCAGTTTTTGGGATTGTAACCAATAATCCTGATCCTGTGTTCGTACAGGTAAGATGACAATAATGGATATGGATAGACAATAGCGTGGATTGGCTACCTGCCTGAAGAGGACAGATGGGCTAGTGGAAATTTTGCATAGTTCGGCTGTTGCCAGGAAATTTGACACCGAGGTTTACACGGCTAATGTGGACTAATAGAAATCCATTAGTCTTAGACTAGAGGTAGTCATGGCGTGGGGTTGCAATCTATGCACAATCGAACACCCCACTCTCTTGTTACATTACATCACTCAGTCTGGAGAGATTGGTAGAGCTAATGTTTGTGATGATCTAAGGCAATTCGGTTCACTGTGTCTGGCAGGTTGGATTGGACGTGCTTCAGGCACTGCCAACAAATTATCCACATCTCAAACAGTCTGCCTTTTGAGGCGGCTACCACTCGGCCAAGTATGTATTGGAGGATGCTGCCCAGGGTGTGTATGTATGTGTGTATATAACTCCCGGCTTTGTAGTATAAAGCTCGCCAGTTTGCTTGACAATAGAGCATGCCTGTACACTCAGAAATAATGTGCATAGGTGCGTGTGCGTTTGAGTATATACTGCATTGTTAAGTTGATTAGTTGAGATTATGCAGTTACAGGTATGCTCCTACTGTATGTGGGGTACTAATGCACACCTCCATAGGTGTGCGTGTGTGTGTGTGTGCTCAGTTCTAAGTTATGCTGTTATATGGTAATTATGCATGTATTCTAAGGGGTCATAAGGGTAATAAACACAGCTGTAGGTCGAGAGTGTGTGTGCATATACTACATTAGAAGTGTGCTGTCATAAGTATAATGCCTTTATTCTGAGGGTGTAACGAACACAGCCGCAGGTCGACAGCTGTTGAAAGATTACGGAGCACTTGCCGTAGCTATGCCATGATTGACGTTGCTACTCAGCCACCTATTTGTGGTCCTCAATTAGCACTGGTGGGTGCAAACGTGCTGCCAAAGGATTTAGAAGGAATTCACAAATAGCAGCTAAAAATGATTTTCGTCTCCATCCATCGTCTATGGAACTTCTTTCCATTATAGCTCGTTTCCTCAACTGCGTAAAATGCTAGGAAAAGTAGACTATAAACCACACAGTAGCTTAATTAACGCTGTACAGAAAACACCAAATAATGTTCATCATGTACGGATGCCAATTGAATTTCTAGCCTTGTACGGTATGTATATTCCATATAGGCACTAAAATGTCTACATTAGCAGTCAGTGATAGGCGAATTAGGAGTCGGGCTTCTGAATACAGTATTCATGGGCTTGGCTCTCGGTGTGGGACTGGGAACATTTGATATGACGCTAGTGAATGGATACTGTGGCCAGCCATCCCGGCAGTATATACAGGCTAGTCTGCATCCATTATAATGCCACTTTTGTAACATGCAAGGGCATTGATAATGGAAGGCCCATTCATTGATCATTTTGGAAGCTAGGTAGTCCCTATTCATGATGGAGTACGTTTGGAAGGATACAGGTATATATAGACTCCATTCATAATGTCGTTTTGGGAATGCTCTGTGGAATGCTTAATGTAGGTTGGTAGGCTCCGTTTGATGCACAGAGATTTATATTGCTCTGTTGTATACGATGAACAGGTGCAGTGCAGAGTATGCATACTTACTGCTATATAGGTATGCATAATTCATATGAAGGCCTACTGTATCCTGCCCTATCAGCTAATAGGAAATTAAGGGGTTAAGCAACTGACCTCTTGGAGAAGCACTACGTTGAGGGGGTTCATGTCATCTGACACTAGTTTGGCTGTAGCTTCGTAGTCGATGGGGTCTGGGACGTGTCGCAACACGTCTGCTGAGAGATTCAGCACCTTGTCAGGGAAGGGTGGAGGGAGAATGAGGGAGGGAGAAGGAACGAAGGGAGAGAGAAAGGGAAGGAGAAAGAGAAATCTTGAAGTAGGTTAGCAAGAAAAAGCCTATTCCAAGGGTCAGTGCACATGTGCAAAAGTTCATGTAAAGTGGTGCAAAGGTTACAGACCTTCAGGCTTGCCAAGGTTAATTTTAGTAAATACGTAGATACCCAAGGGGGAGAGTGTGCCATCCTTATTATACCTTGTCCTCTTTGCTCTCCCCTTGTGCTACTGATCTCTGAGGCTGTAGGGATACCAGCGTCTCCAGCAATGACCTATAATTATATGGAAAAAGAGGCAAGAGGTAAGACACACGTCCTTCTCTCTACTGACTGCTACTGACTGCTCAAAGTGGGGAAAAATACAATTTTATGCACATTTTGATGCTGACAATAACATAAATTTGACAGCTCAAAGAGGGAAACATTTTCAAGCACATTTTGATGCTGATAGCATAAATTGCTGTGATTTGTTAAGGAAGAAGAAGGAAAGAGGAGAAAGGGAGAGAGGGAAAGAAATAAGAAGAGGGAAGAGAGATCGTACAGACCTGGTTTCCTTAATCTGGCTGGCGATATCGGCATTGGGGTGCTGCCCGAAAGCCTCTGGGTGGTCTCCAGTTGGTAGGTGCTCTATATACTCCTATACAGAGGCAAGGGAAAACAAAACATGGCGTTAAAAGTGGGAGAGCGAGGACAATACAGCGGTATGTTTTGGGTGGTGATGTCAGTAACACTAAATGTGCATCCCTCTAAGATCGCCCACGTCACGTCGGATTTAGTCTAGAGAGTCGAGACTGTGCCCACGCAACTGTGACTGTAGCTCCCTAGTACCCAGGGAAATATGGGGTGGGACAGGGCGTGTTGTGGGAAACAGCGTGGGTATATTCAGGGGGGATATATATACAAGAAGCACTGCTCCTGTAAACAGCAGATACGTACGTACGGTGGCATATGTTTCCCGTAACTTGTACCTGAAACAAAACCAGAGGTTGAAACAATATGGAACGTTTTTTCAAAAGTGAAACCATTGCGGCTTCTCCGTAGCAGCGGGGTTGTTTACAGAGGTTTAAATTGGCAAAGTGAAAGTGTATGTGGTTCATATCTTGGCAGAACTTATACTATGTGTTACATTGCACCAGTGTGTGAAAACACCACTGGGTGTGTTTGGTGTAACGGCAAGGGACTACATTCATTATGAAGCACGTATGCCACAATTCCCGGCATAGCCTATTATGGTTAACACCAATAACAGTTTTTGACCGCGCAGCAAATTGAAACTTCCTCCTGGTACTTACCTTATAGGATTGAAGGGACCCATCCTTTGGTACATAATAGGTGTCCAGAGTTGACAATCTGTGGGAAAGCATGTGTGCTTAATATCGTACATAGTATATGTAGTACAACGGAGAGTTTCTCTGGAAACAAACTCTTTCAGGGGAAGCATTATGTACCATTACGTCATGATTGTCAGGTGCACAATATGAGCATAATAAGGCATTCTAAAAACCAATTTGTTCGTGGTGTGGCACAAATAGTAGTCGGGTATATGCCTTCAAAAATAGGGTGTTTTTTAAAGTACTAGTAAAAGTTTCTGAGTGGTTTACTTGTGGTAAGGTTGCTCTAGAATTTCGTCGTTGAACATCTCTGAAATGTAGGTGTAGAGGACTCGTCTATCAAAATCGTCGGTCACGTGACCGCCATAGTTCACACCGGCAATCTGTGCGCGAAAGAGAGATAGAGGAGTGGGAGAGGAGATAAGATGAGATAATTGTGCCCTGTACAGTGAGAAGGGCTTTTAATAGCCATCTAGGGCATGTTTACTCTTTGAAACTTAGTGGGTGGGGGGACTTTTTATACTAAAACTTATTTCCCCAAACTTCTAGTTTGTAACAGAATCACAACAGTTTCATGCTGTAGAGTGGCAAGGAAAAGCAAGGCATAGGTGGGTGCATGCATGTGCGTAGGTGGCTCAAATGTCATGCTAGACCACACACGATAAAAATTAAGTCTAAACACATGCACTCTACTGTGCATGCACCCACCACGTGCCATATATGTGTTGCAGATATCAGGCAAAACAATGGGCATGTTGGCAGCACACGGCGATCAGGGCTAGACACTATAATAATTATACGCCTCACCAGGTATTTGAGTGCGTCCCACGGAGTATCCCCATACTCGTCCAAATAGATGCTCAGAAGGTGCTCCGATACCTGTGTATACGTACACCATTTATACCCATAACCATGCAATGAGCATTAAGAATGTTTTTGGATAGCTCTCATATTACAAAATCCATGAATGTTTCTCCCTTAAAATTCAACTGCACAATTGAAAAAATTTTCACCTCAAAATCGGAGTCATTGAAGCCGTAGATGATGTTCCAGCCCAGCATGAGGAACTTTCTCCTCTCGATGAGCAGGGAGTGGAAGAAGCAGAGGGTGAAGAGGAGTTTCTTGTACTTGTGGTCGCACTGACAGCGAGGGAACGACCCCTCGTCCACCATCTGGTAGAGTCGCTTCATGTTTGCCTTCAGACCCTGTGTATAGGTGGGCAGGTATACAGTGGAACCTCCGATGGGGACACATTTGGACCAGGCATATTGTCCTTTATAGGGAGGTTGTCCTCACTTCGGAGGTTAAACGTGAAAGAAAACGTTTGGAACCTCAAAGTGTGTCCTTTATTGCTGGGGTTTTTTCTATTGTGTCCTTTGTTCAGAGTGTAGTTTGTTTATCAGAGGTTTACTGTAGTAGGCACAGAGCAAGGTAGGTGAGTCGTGATAGTGGAGTAAACCAGGAAGTGTAGCAGGAAGTGTGGGTGCAATTAGTGCTGGGGATTCTTCCTGGGGTTGTACTGTGTTGCACAATCTGGCATCATATAATAATAGTGATTCTTTGTGAGCATGAATCATGCATGTATGGTCTTCCTGTTACTATTTATGTATAGACCTTGGGCGGTTCCGTTGTCATTTTGATGCCGGCTTGAAGGATGGCAATTGGAAAGCCAGGGTGAGGGGTGCTGCTCAGCCACAGGCGGAAATCTTTGTGGGGAGTGTGAACCTGGGGTTAGAGAAAGGGGGTGGGGGAGAGGGTGAAACAGAGAAGGGGAAGGAAAGTGTGTGTGTGAGAGAGAGAGAGAGAGAGAGAGAGGGAAGGGATATGAGGAACACAAACATTTAGGCTGGAGAGAATGAGAGAGGGGAGGGAGAGAGGGAGCAAGGGGGGACTACAGTTGGCAAGATGTGGGGTTTAATGCCTTGTGTATATCTACTTGGCAGCATATGAATTGACTACAGTTCTCTTAAGGCAGGAGATATGGCAGGTTAATCAGGTATTAATAGTTCGATAAGGGCCAATCAGAACCCTGTGTTTATAGCAACGTACACCATTGGTTAGAAACTTAGTCAAGTAATATAGGATCAATGATACCTGCAGCTCCTCCTCCACAAGTTTGTCTAGTTGAGGCATCCAGGACAGAGAGAGGTGGCAGTTGGCCAGAAACACCCAGTGACCCTGTGCAAAAACAATGTCCTTAAAACTAGGACTCCTCAAATATGATGATTACTGTACTTTGTACTCTCAAGCACAAGGAAAGGTTGGAGGGAGTGGGGAAGCTGGGAAGAAAGAAGGGAAGTGAAAAGAGAGAGCGAGATGGAGTGAGTTAGGGAAGGTAGGGAAGGAGCGAGGCAGTGCGGAAAGCGAGGAAGGAGGCATGGGAAGGTGCTAGCAGTGTTTGCCCTGGTACCAAGGCTGTATATAAACAGAGAAGCTGTACCGTTGGGAATGTTTGCCCTAGCCACTCCCAACACGTAGCATACCATATAAACACACTTGCATCCATACTATCGAATTATACCAATCCAACACTAGATCAGAGCATATCAAGCTGGGATAAGCATTGCAGCCACTTCAAATCAGACAGACACACACACACACATGCATTCGACAAGCACACAGGACAGTTCTGACATCACAATTGCAAAAGGAGCCCTGAGGATAGCTCAGAATCAACACTGCTTATCCACAGTCAACCCAACTCCTTTAAAAGGTCAATATTCGACTTTTGCACACTGCATGTGTGCACTAGAGAGCAGACAAATCACAAACGTAGTATCTTTGAAGGATGGAGGAGTGTTTACATGGAGTTAAGTGATTGTTTTAGACGGTGGCATGGCAGCCGTGGGCAAGATTATGACGGGCAGGGTTGGTATGCGATGGTGTGGCCACCTCAAAGGAAGGTGAAGGATGGTTCCCAAGAGGATCGCATTCTACAGAAACTATAATGGCTGTACACCTGCTCATACTGCATTCAGTTGATCAAATATGCTTACATTATAATTGCATACATAGTATAGATATGTGCATGTTGTTATACCTCTTTCACTCCGTTTTCTATCATTCTCTTGGCGATGGGGGCCTGCCCTTGGCCAAGAGAGAGAGCCTGGAAGCGTTTGTCCATGCCCGACTGTTCGGCTAGTGTCAGCAATGCATTAGTGGGGTCCTGAGTAAGAGAGAAATGGAGTAATAAAGAAGGACTAGCAAGTGTTTATAGATAGAGCTTACCACTCCAGTGGACAGGACGAAGATAAGTGGAATCTTACAAGTTGAGTCTTCAACCACCTCCGACATGCGGAGAACTGGCGGCTCCACAAACCTATACATACACAAACCATCAACACAATCGTAATACAGACAGTTAGCCTCATAAGAAACTGGAGGAAAGAGCAGTGACTACAAAGATGCAGATTTTATGGAATTAGTACACCTGCAAAGAGAAGAATGCTAAAGAACGCCGGGTAAGTATAGAATGAAGGTAAGGCAGTGATAGGGAAAGTTTACGAAACAATGGAAGTTTTGCCGCCCGACTGTATCACATTAGAGTTAACTGGGATGTTCTGAGAAGAAGGAGTTACACTGACTTTGATCCGAGGTTGTTGATGATGAAGGTTGTGACACAGAAGGGGACACGGTCGGGTCGCATGGAGCGAACTATCAACATTCGCTGCAGCTCATTGCAGGAGTTCTCCCATTCACCTGCGGGAGGTGAGTTCAAAGTGAGGAAGAGGAGAAGGAAGAGAAGAGAGAGAATGTGCGTCTGTGCGTGTATCGTACCTGGAAGCGGTGTGTTTTCTGGCTCGGCTGAGGTGAACCACTGGTGCCAGTCGCGAGGGTACTGCTCGAACGAGTTGGCTATACCCATGAAGCTTGCCAGTCTAGTCAGAGAACAAGTACACACAAGTGGAGTACAATAGTTGATTAAAAGAGAGCTTTCTTACTTGTCAAGTTCAGTGATGTTGTCCCACGCCACAGCACTCAGCCACTTGCAAGGGTTATCCATCTGTGCCTCTCTATCCAAGACCTATGTAAGGAGAAACTAATCAATATGGAGCAATACAACAAGAAAAGTGACCAGCTAATATTGAAATCTTAAATTTTGAAGCACCTCTTTTTTGGAAGATTGGGTTGAAAACCACCAAATTTTCACACCATACACTTCACACAATGTAATGCAATTTCACAGACTTACAATTCCTCCACGAAGAAAGAAGTTGTACTCGTCCAAGTTGAGTTTTCCCGCAGATTCAAGGATCTTGGCACACATCTGGAACGAGAATAAGAGCTTGTGTCGCTCGAACAGTCCCCTGCAGGTGTACTGGTAGACTGCGAAGGTGTGGTAATCATTTAGGTTCTGGATGCGATCCTCGAGGCGAGGGTGCTTCAGGCTCTTGTCAATGGAGTTTGAGAAGAGCTCGATATACGCGTCAAGAGAGAACTGGTACATGGGGTCGATCCGGCCCATATCGTTCATCACAAAGAAGAGAATAGCTGCTCGCCTCGAACATGGACGATAACCCTGGAGAGCAGAGACACAGCAAGAATGTAAAAAGAGATGGCTGTATGTAAGAGAAAGAGTGAGGAAAGGTAAGAGTATAATGCAGTAAAGTGGACGGATGAACTATAGTTGGAGTAGCTGGAAACATTAACCAGTAAGTGATTGATACCAATTCTGTGACTAGCGGGAAAAAAAGAAAAAAAAGAAAAAAATTAAAACAACAGTGTAGATGGGTTACCCCCTACTCAACGTAGTGTTTGAACACACACCTCTCTTGCAGCGTCAATCTTTGCCTCCGTCTGTTGAGCCACCACCAATTGCTCCGAGACGTCCTCAGACGTCTTCTTACTGGACTGTAGAGTGTTGACCAGCACTTCATCGTCCAGCAGAGATCCCTGTGCTGTGCTCAGCAGTCTGCAGGAGGCAGAAAGAGTGAGTGTTGGTTGGAGAGTGTGCAACAGAGCCGGGCTTTTAGTACAGAAAGCACACGAGGTGTTCAGTGGGCTTCAGCTAATTGAAGAGCATCAACGTAGTACAGAAAGTATAATGCTTGTTCGATGCTGCGTACTCGTACCTCAAAATTTCATCCTCCAAGTCTGCAAGCTTCTTCTTACTCGAAGCAATGTTTACCACTAGCTTGTCTTTGCTCTCCTCCAGTTCGGGCCTCTCTTTTCTCACCACTATACCCAGCAGCTGATCTTCCAGGCCCTGTTCCTTCACGGCAAAGTTGACGATGGTGGTTTTGGTGGAGATCTCGGGAGCATAGTGAGGGTTGCTGAGTTTGGTTGTGATGTAGAACTTGAAGTCGGCATTATAGTCAACTTCCTTGTCCCCGAGACGAATTATCAGTCGGTTACCTTCAAAGAAAAGGCACAAGTTTCAGTGATTCTAGGACGCTAAAAACTTTTATCATGGACCCTCGAATTTTTTATGTTTTACGGCTCAACCAGTGAAAAAGAATGTGTGCCGTGACTGCCACAGGTAATAAATTGTACCTTTCTTGATGAGAGATTTGTTGAGGATTGGCCCAAGAGAAGGGTCTAGCTCCTCTCCAACGTTCTGCAAGAGCACAGGGCTTCCGAATTGGACAGCATTCTCCAGCGTCCGTAGGAAGTCAGGCTGCTGCAGATCTATCACCTTCAGGCTCTGTGTATATAACACACGCTGACTTTCGATTTTTATCGTGGCTTTCTAGGGTGATAGTCGATACCTTTGACTTTTCCATATTCTTGATCCACTTGATCGCTTGTCCTTGTGGATCAACCATCAACGGCCATCTGAAGAGAGAGAAAGAAAGAGAACTCGACAAAAGAACTTGCAAATAGGAAATCCATGTCAATACAGATTGCGAGTTAGAAAATCAGATTGCGAGTGTGAATGCTGCCGACCATACCGACTGCTCTTTGTGACAATGACGCCGTTCTCTGTGGAGAAGGGATCAGAGGGTAGGCCCTGGATGTTCCAGTCTCGGACGACGGTAGGTTTGGAGAGAAAGGTGACAAAGGAATACGATGGGTTGCAGGGAATGTTCAGCTCTCGAATCTGCAAACAACATCGCACACCGTGGACATTGATTCCATAGGCAAGAGAAGAGACTAAACCCGAATTAACACTGCACACTAACAACTGGACAATTGGACAACAAACTCTTTGGAGGAGGTCTATTATCTGGAGAGTACTATGTACGTATTTCGCTCAAACCTGTTTTAGCCAGGTTTCCTGAACTAGCTCGTCTCGATAGTCAGACAGGAATGGGCCGGCATAGGACATGAAAGCCGCACCCACCAGACAGTCTCCCACCAGATACCCCATCATCTCCTCCAGATTCTGCACAAAGAATGGCAACATACGTGCTGAATCAGTACGTAGGTTCTATTGGTGTGTGGGACAATAACCATGATCCTAAACTAAGGTGCTCCATTTGCTTTATAGTTAAACTAAGCCCACAGACATGCAGTGATGGATGCTAACAACAATGTTCAACAGTCAGTGAATTGTAGGGAGACAAACCTTGACACTAGCCTCCCAGCGGACCCGCTCTCCACCAAGACCCTGCACCAGTTTGGCGGCTCGATCCAGTCGCTGCTCCGTCAGCTCTGCCTTCTTCCTCAGCTCCTCTTTCTGGACCAGCTTCTCCTCATACTGGTTCTGAAGGGACTCCAGCTTCTCCTTCACTGCCTGGAGCTTGGCTCGGGCCTCGGCGAGAGACGCTTGCTTCTCTGCCAGTTTTGTGTTGGCATCATTCAGCCTCTGTTGTATAATATTAAACAGAGATCACAAGGTTGAACACGGACTCTTACACAGAGCCTATGCTTTTCCTAGGGGTTGCGTGGGGAGTGAAATTTGCCCCACATTCACTAAGCACTGGGTGCTATTTTCAATGCCTCTACTGACACTCTCTACAGATATGTATCTTGCCTTTTTCTTGGGTTCCACAACTTTAAATATGCGGCCATAGACTTCCATTGCTCTGACCCACATGCAGAGACTCTTGGCTGCGAAAGACACGCGACCGACGACGTCGGGCTTGAAATCGGGCTTCGAGCAGAACTGCCCGATTCTCTTGAGCGTCTTGTCGCTGATGTTGTCCTTGTCAAAATTAACCAGACTCTTGATGAAGTTTGGGTCTCCAAGTTGGCGTTTCGCCTCGGCCCACGTGGGCTCTGACAAGCGGAGAATCATCACTGCAATCAGCACCGTTTCGACCAGCTCGGGTGGCTTTGTGTAGGCCTTAATCTCTCCCACATCTTGCTTTCTGAGAGCTTCCAGCGACTGTGTGAACATAACAAATTGAAGGGGAAAACAGTCAAAACTGTGAAATGTGTGCGGACACAATGAGTTGGAGAAAAGCAAAGGTGGAATTGCTTTCCCATGCTCTCTGTGCAAGTTTTTAACACGAGGGACCTTTTATATAATTCTCACAGATTCTCAAAGGTCACACACAATGGTACAGTTTTACTCATGTGGATGGAGGGTCTGGGTACTAGGCAATTGTTCTCCCATCTCCTGAAAAAAAGATTTTCCCCACCTTCATGGCCTCCTCGAGAGCAGGCAGAGCTTCGTCCAGGTCTTTCTGTGCTGCGTCGGCCAACACCTTACACTTGGCCTCCTCCTCGGCGATCTTCACGCTGTGAGCAGCGACTGTCTTCTCCTGCTCCTCGGCATCTCTCTTCTGCTGGACGATGATGATGAGGTAGTCGTCGCACTCCTTCTGGAAGGTGGCCAGCTGGACTTTCGTCTCTTCCAACTCCACGGACATCTGCTCCACTTTCAGTTTCGTGTCCACCAGCTTTTCGAGCCCGTTGCGGAGCTTGTTAGCAGCATCGCCCAGCTCCTTTCGTTTATCATCTAGCAAACTGTACAATACAACAAGTAAATAAAAAATCCTGTGGCATATAGGGATGGTATAAAAAGAAAGGGAGACATAGCCCCATCTATTGGGTCGTCTTTGTTTCCGCTCATGTTCCTACAAAAAATGCGAAATCGTTGACACCCTTATATAGGGAAGGCAGCAAAATTTGGGCAAGATAGGGATAGGTGCAGCGAGATTGAAGACATTATCATTCCATACTCCAACTTTAGTCAAAGCATTAAGGATAGTTCGCTCGTCTCTTTTTCCGCTCATGTGCCTACAAAAAATGCGGAATCGTTGACACCCTTATATAGGGGAGACAACCAAATTTGGGCAAGATAGGGATAGGTGCAGCGAGATAGAAGACATTTGTATTCCATACTCCAACTTTAGTCAAAGCAGTAAGGATAGTTGGGTCGTCTCTTTTTCCGCTCATGTGCCTACAAAAAATGCGGAATCGTTGACACCCTTATATAGGGGAGGCAGCCAAATTTGGGCAAGATAGGGATAGGTGCAGCGAGATTGAAGACATTATCATTCCATACTCCAACTTTAGTCAAAGCATTAAGGATAGTTCGCTCGTCTCTTTTTCCGCTCATGTGCCTACAAAAAATGCGGAATCGTTGACACCCTTATCAGCCAAATTTGGGCAAGATAGGGATTGGTGCAGCGAGATTGAAGACATTACCATTCCATACTCCAACTTTAGTCAAAGCATTAAGGATAGTTGGGTCGTCTCTTTTTCCGCTCATGTGCCTACAAAAAATGCGGAATCGTTGACACCCTTATATAGGGAGACACCAAATTTGGGCAAGATAGGGATAGGTGCAGCGAGATAGAAGACATTTCCATTCCATACTCCAACTTTAGTCAAAGCATTAAGGATAGTTGGGTCGTCTCTTTTTCCGCTCATGTGCCTACAAAAAATGCGAAATCGTTGACACCCTTATATAGGGGGACAGCAAAATTTGGGCAAGATAGGGATAGGTGCAGCGAGATGAAGACATTACCATTCCATACTCCAACTTTAGTCAAAGCATTAAGGATAGTTGGGTCATCTCTTTTTCTGGTCATGTGCCTACAAAAAATGCGGAATCGTTGACACCCTTATGGGGGCAGCCAAATTTGGGCAAGATAGGATAGGTGCAGCGAGATTGAAGACATTACCATTCCATACTCCAACTTTAGTCAAAGCATTAAGGATAGTTGGGTCGTCTCTTTTTCCGCTCATGTGCCTACAAAAAATGCGACATCGTTGACACCCTTATATAGGGGGGGTAGCAAAATTTGGGCGAGATAGGGATAGGTGCAGCGAGATTGAAGACATTCCATTCCATACTCCAACTTTTCTCAAAGCATTAAGGATAGTTGGGTCATCTCTTTTTCTGCTCATGTGCCTACAAAAAATGCGAAATCGTTGACACCCTTATATAGGGGGGATAGCAAAATTTGGGCGAGATAGGGATAGGTGCAGCGAGATAGAAGACATTACCATTCCATACTCCAACTTTAGTCAAAGCATTAAGGATAGTTGGGTCGTCTCTTTTTCCGCTCATGTGCCTACAAAAAATGCGAAATCGTTGACACTTATATAGGGGAGACATCCAAATTTGGGCAAGATAGGGATAGGTGCAGCGAGATAGAAGACAGGTCTATCAGTTTCTCCTACTTTTGGGGCTACTGGAAGATGTGATGAGACGAGGTTGCATGTGTCCTTACTGCAGGGTCCCACAGACAGCACTCCCTGCACATCTGGGACAAGGCCACGGGGTCTCTGGTGAAGATACTCACTGGACACAAGGGAGAGACTCTCCTGGACATTGTGGTGGGTTCATGGACATGTAACACCATTCATCTAGAGCCCCTTCTCTATTTTGCTCATGCATGAGGTATTACTTGTTCCACTCTTGCCTAAAAATTCACAGAGAAACCGTAACTTTTCTGTTTCTGCTCTCGCAATTACCAGAATCCTCCCCAGCACCATCACCCATTCCTCCACCCCCCATCAACAATGTTCATGTTGCTGCTGGTTGCGTACTGTACATGTTGATGCCGACACCAACTCTGTTATACGTTCAACAGATTGTTGGCATCAACATAGCCACGTGAACTCTGTTATTCCCCCATGTCCCCAGTGGCACCCAGTGCGGCCGGTGATCCTGTCCATCTCTACTGGGGTGGTAAATGTCTGGTCCCAGGCCCACGTGGAGCTGTGGAGTGCCTACGCCCCAAACTTCAAGGAACTGGACGAGAATGAGGAGTACGAGGAGAAGGAAGACGAGTTTGATATCGTGAGGGGCTGTGGTTATTGTGCTTCTGGTTTAACTGTTACCACCACTAGCTTGTACCATAATCGAATTTGTGATTCAATGGACTTCGCTGATAGTTTGCCCCACTGTAAAAACAGTCCCTGCCCTATTATAGTCACAATAGTTTCGTGTGAAATCCACAAAAGTTTAATTTTCCTGTATTTGTGTTAGTGATGTGTGTGTGTGTGTGTGTGTGTGTGTGTTGTGTGACAGCTGCCACCATTACGGTACCCTAGGAAGACGAGGATATGGTTCTGAAGAGAGATGGACTCCATGAGGAGGGTGGAGAGCTCATTGATGTTACAAGGTTTGCCCCCATCCCTGCCTTCTGTAGCAGGTGAGGTGAACCAGGGTCAGCTAGGGGGGGGGCTTCAATTCAAAGCCCAGAAAACCAAATTTGCCCAACCAGTCATTCAGCTGTAGTGTGTCTCATATCCCTACTGTATATATAGTAGAAAACGTTGAGGTTTGAAACCTTGGGAAGCTCGTGTATGCCTCTAATGAGGTGTATGTAATGTGTCCTCTAGTGAGAAGGGTACATACTACATGTGTGTCCAGCGAGGTGCATGATTGCAAGTGTGTCCACTGCAGTGAGGAGGACGAGGAGGAGCCACTGGACTGGCTGCCCATAGCTCCAGAGATTGAGGAACCAGAGGACACTGGCTGGGGTCAGCTAGAGGTCAGCGATCCAAAGACATTAGTGTGTGGCAAACTAAGGTTCATGAGTATTTCAAGTTTTGCCGCCAAAGTTTCCTTCCTCTGATGTTGTAGCTCAAACCCACTTCTTTTCTTAGATGGCTGGCACTGAAGTCTGCACGAATATTAGTCCTTATGAGCTCTTGAGGGAGGCTTTAGTTGTCAATGTGTCCTCAGTTGTTAGCCCCTTCTCTCTCTCCCTGATTCAGCCCAAGTTGAACGAGCAGCCAGTGGCAGAGTCAGGAGGTAGAAAGAGACCAGCAGAGAATGATGAAAACCTTGAGCCTGTCGTCCCGTCTGACATGGTGCCTCCTCCCAAACAGCCTCGCACCATCGACATCAACCTGCCCAACCGCTGGGAGGACTTTGCCAGCTCCGAGAACACCCCAAAAGGTATATATAATTTTATATGCATATCTGAGGTAATCACATCTAATAGTATCAATGGTGGGAAATATGTCTGAATTGCAAGGTTTGGTGGCCTAACTGGTTGCCTGAATTGCGAATGCAGCAATGTGCATAATTTACAGCCCTGCCGAGTATTATTATTATTCTGCACCCCACCATAGAGAGCAAACCAAAGTCCAGCAAACAGAGCAAGAAGAAGTCTGGCGGCACGAAGAACAGCTCTAAGCCACCACCACCACCACCTACCAACAGTGGAGCCAGCAACTCAACATCCAAGACCGAGACTAAACAACTGTCACCAAACAGCCCTTCTACTAACACTGCTCCTGCCCCTATCACCACTACTTCTGATAGTCTCACTACCAGTTCTCCTAGTCCCGGAGTTACTGCTGTTACTACTGGTCCTCCTACTAGTCGTAGTGTCACTACTGTTACTGCTGTCTCTAGTGATAGAGACTCTGGGAATAGTGGAGTGGCCAGGCCTGGTGGTGGTGACACTGAGGATGGTGGACTCGGGAAGACGGAGGGTGATTATGAGATACCTGACAGTAAAGACAAGGAGGCAGCAGGAACGAGCAGTGTGCTTGAGGGAGGAGAAGGAGGAAGAGAGGGAGGCGGGGAGGGAGGTGGAGGGGGAGGAGGAAGAGAGGGAGAGGGAAGAGAGGAAGAAGCAATGGAGGTCGTCGCCGAAGAAATGACAGAACGAACTAATGATAAAACATGAACTTTCCCCTACATTCCCTTATACTTTACACATTATGGATGCCCCATTGCCCAGTCTAAGTCAATCAAGAAAATGTAAAAATTTCTACACATGTGATTGGAGTCAGTGGTTCAGTAATAATGACTAGACATGGGCTAAGAGTCGGTCGACAGCAGTGAATGAATTGTGAATGCAGTCATTGACACTGACTCCGTGATAAGACATCCCTACCAGTGACAGAGGGACCGCCTTCTCCTGAATGAGGTCACTGATGGTATCTGGAGTGAAGGTGATAGACATTATAGGTGAGGTATTATGTCAGACCTTTACTGGGAATGTGGAGAAACTGACGCTAAGGACGGCTCCTCAGCCAACATTTCTTCGCATGCATAGCTTATTCGCAAGAACCTCAGTACGTAGTTCCCAGAAGTGACTGTTGTAACCTTGGCTCACACACTGAGGGTCACAGTACTTTGGTTTTTGTGTGTTTCTCTCTGTCTGTCGAGTCTGTTGCAGTGGCTAAAAAGTTCGTACTTTTAGCATGCAAGTGTGGAAAAGGTGAGAGTGCAGTGCAATAATTCTCAGTGGCCCCAGGCATTAAGCAAGCGAGAGGACACTAAGAGCAAGAGAGGGAGGCGGTCTTCGAGTTCCTCGAGATGGCCCACAAGGCCGGAGTCAACCTTGTAGCAGGATCGGACATCCCGAATCCTGGCACCTACCCGCGGAGCAGTCTTCACAATGAAATCGAACGGCTGTCTGATCGGGATGGTAGGGGCCATCAAAGCTGGCGGCGACCGACTATTGTGACTTAAGACCGGTCTCCATAATAGTCTTACGACTTGCGGTCTGTACTGTATAAAAACACACACTGACAAAATCATCACGACCACTACGCAAGTCTGGGTCTTGGAAATAAAAACGTAGTAGTCCATCCCCCAGACAGCTGCAGACCACACAATACTGAGTAAGACTATTATGGAGACCAGCCTTTAGTTTCAGCTACAGTATATTAGTACTCACCAAGTTTCTGGCTGTGTCCAAGCTGGTACTGTGGAATACAGTTCTGTGTATATATGACGTGAGCATAGTTTGAAGTGTTGGACACCACAGGTTATATAGTGGGAGAGGGTCACACCTGGTGTATCCTGGCCACCATGTTGGACGGTTCGTCTGTGACACCCAAATGATCTCTCATTGAGTCGAGGGCTATTCTGATGATGTCATCAGTCCCGATATTACCGGGGTCATCCCCGAGTGTGTCAAACCACTCCCCTCCCAACATCACCTAGAGACAGGAGAGCGTGATTACACCAATACAACCGTAGGGAGCCAGCATTTCTCTCACACACAATGTACTGCGTGCATTGTGTGTGATGTGTGTAGCAAAGTACATGCTTTTGCACTGATCCCGGCAAAATCACTAGTTACTGGAGAGCGAGATTTTTACCACGTGCTCCTTTTAACTGCTAGAATCCAATCAGGGTACACGCATGCATGGAGTTCATGCCCTGAGCATGTGCAGGCAGGCTCGTCAGAGATGCATGAGAGACTCACAGTACATCTGGTGGAGGGTAGGTCGGGTCTGTTGTGTTGGGGGAAGGTGGAGGAATCAAACACCACTCCCAGAATGGAGGCTGGCTGGTGACTCGGCACCAGGTACCCAAACGCCTGTGGAACATTGTATTGTATCAATCAACATGGACACAGTCAATAGATTCTGTACACAAACAGTACACATCTGTGCCCATTCCATAAATGGAGATGAGAAACAGGCTGGGTACAACTGTTGACACACTACATAACACAGCAAGGCAAACAACTAACTATGAAACAAGCCTATGTAAACACTTTCTGTTTTTGTCGTACAGTTGCACATAGAGAGAAAAGGCGCACCTCCTCATACTGTGGTGGTAGCACACGACCTTTGAACTCCAGGCAGACCACACCCACAGTGACAGTGGGGATGGTGAGGAGGTGATGGGAGAGAGGGGAGAGGTCCTCAGACAGCAGTCCAGACAGAGCTGCAACACAAGAGTGCACCACCCACACTGTATGAGCTATCCAACCCAGACTGGGTCATAAGAGGTTGGTACATGCTTGGCATACTTATGGCCCGAGATTATGTGATTGCTATATACAACTGAACACCAAATTGCAGACAAATGGGGTTAGTGGGGATGCACAGTACAAAACACAGAGCAACACACTTAGGATGCAAAAATATAAGCTCCTGTAATGCGTTCAGTGACTACACGCACCATGTGAAGGAATGGCTGATATAACATGGTCAGTGTCCAGCACTGAGTCTCCACACACCACCTGTATAAATAGAAGAGGTTTGTACACAGACAGAGTAACCCAGCTGTACCTGGGCTGACTGGTCCCTGAAGTTTATGGCAGTGCAGGGCGTTCCGAGATGTACTTTGACCCCTCTCTCCTCCAGAGTGGACAGCAGGGCGAGAGGGAGGGACTGGAGACCAGAGCGGAGAGTGTAGATGGCCCATTTCTCTCTCACTGCCTGCTTCACCAGCTCAGGGGCCGAGTCTGGCAGGGGATCTGCAGATACCGGGCCATGGGGGAACTGTGAATGAGTCATCAACAAACAGCAGGAACACCACACACTAGGGTGGGCTGGCTGGTGTAAGCTAACCAAGGAACATCTTTTCATCTTGAGTTTCCCAGAAATATTGCTGCCCTTGCCAGCCCACCCTCTATGTACAACTGCATGCTGTTGTGTGCCTTGTTAGCTTCAGAAGAACAGGGTTCCCTGTAGGTGGCCCCTCCTTTGCCATTTACCCAACATACACATCTGTCTCTGCTACATACAACACCTTTAGCCCAGGAAATGTATTGCACTAACTGCATGCTGCTTGTGGTTCGTTGTTAGACTCTCTGGGACATGTTTCCCCATAGTCACACCTCCCTTCCTGCCCCTCCCTTGGGACACTATGAGGGCAACGATTTTGTCCCTTGTAGAGAGGTCGGAGGTCGAATAACACACTATTAAGTATCAGCATGGGGTTAAAACAAGTTTCTTTTATAGAGAGGTCCTCCCTATCGCGGAGGATCCCTTATCAGAGGTTCCACTGTAAATGGTGTTTCAACTCACCAGGTTTGGTCATGAGAGCCCCGCCCACTACAGTCCCGTGGCTGGCCTCATATTGGTGGACGGCAGGGAACGCAGACCGCATGCTCAGGGTGCGGGCAGAGCCTGCAAATATCCCTCGACACATTGGGTCTATCACATAGTCTGCGATCTGGTGGGGAACACTAACATTACACCAGTGACCACCACTTCATTCAAAACATGGTTTGTCTGGCCTAGTATTATTAGTTGTTGTGTGTGCATGAAGCATACACAGCACATTTGTGTATAGTCATTCTTGACATGGGAGGAACATTTTTGCTCCTGCTATGAGCTACTTATGCCAGGTGGTGCTACTGGTATATAGTAATGGTCACACCTCACTTCCAAGTCTCCGACTGATGAAATCATACACACTCTCATCCTCTGTGCCCTTGCGCCTCGGTCTATGATGGAGATATTACAATGTACACAGCATGTGTAGAAGGTACATGGACGTATGTACTGATAGAATGAGCACATAATTTTTAGTTTGGAGGCAATCCTTGAAAAGCGGCAACCTCAAGTTTTTTTTATGCACTTGAAGAGATACAGCTGAGGCAGTTGTTGTCCATTCTGGTCATATAGAGCTACAGGCAAGAGCAGGTCCACAGACACATTGAGGATCTTGACATAGGAGAGGAGGACTTGAATAAGGAAGTATACCGCTAATTCTTCTCAAATTCTACTACTGAGTCGAGGAATAAAGTTTCCCTGTTGTTTGAGTGATCGCATGGTAAGTGTGGTACCTGAATATCTCTGCGAGAACAGTCGGGAGCAGAGGTCCTGAGAAGGGCAGTCTGGTACGGAACAGCCAGGAGAGGGAGGAGGGGAGCTCCACCAGGCCGTGAGCCGAGGTGAAGATGAGACGACGGCTCACTCCCTTGTGGGAGGTAGGCACGGCCAGAACCTCTCCACCCAGCCCCACCTCACTCACCTGCAGGGGTCACACTTCACTTATACAGCCTCACTCACAGGTTCCAATTAGTCTTTAGGTGGACCCTGGGTGATTTATTATCCACCTTGACCGGAGCTATAGCTTGATAGGGACCTAGACCTCAGTTATAGCTTTGCTCCTATGAGGCTGATCCTGGATGTCATTGAACAGAACACCCCAACACAATGTTAGCAAGAGGGGGGCTGTATACAGTAGAAGCTCTGAATAATAAAAGGCATTGAAAGTAACCTTGACTCTGAGGAGTCTCTGTGGAGCATGTGGTATATCCAGAGAGGTGTACTCACTAGGGAGAGAGTGTTTCTGCCAGCAGGTCCGGCAGTCCGCAGACTGCGCGGGCCCAGCTCCAGCACTGCTCCCTCGTCTGTCCTCACACTCTGCATCCATCCCCCAACTCTACCACTCCCCTCCACCAACACCACCTGCAGCAACAGTGAACCATGCATTCTCAGCACATTCATTACACTGGATAAGGTCATACATTATACTGCTACTTCTGTGAGGCTACTGGTTAGTTGTCAACATTAGTATTAGCTCACATTGAGGCCCTTGGCACGATGACTTAGTCTCCAGGCAGCCGCTAGACCCGAAATCCCACCTCCCAACACCACCACCGTCTTCATCCTGAGACTATACACCTTTTCGCGCACGCGCACGTTAATAATACGCGCACGCGCGTTTTTTATGGTGGTTAAAATACCAAAAAAAACGGGGGTTAAACTTCTGTGCTAGGAGTCTTCCATTTCCTCAGTAATGGCCGCCAGTTGTGCCTTCAGTTCCTCCATCTTTAGACCTATGGTTGCCACTACACTCCGACTCTGGGTCTCACTGAGCATGCTCAGTAGGTTGTTGTACTGTCCAACAGCTTCCTCCACAGCTATCCTGGCATCTTGCATGTCTTCATTGAAATACACTGTGTTGGCTGATGCCCTCTGCAGAAAATGTATGAAACTTGTGAAGGACTACTAGAGATCAGAGCTCTTACAGCATCGCCCAGTAGTTCCCGAGCCTCAAAGAAGAGAGCAGATATATCCTCCACTCTCCTCCTCACTTCACTCTCTGTTATACTACAGTAGAACCTCGCCTGGCTAGGCCTACACCACCACCGCACCACCTTCAGACGGCAGGTAGTGCGGACAGGAGCCGTGGTTCTTGATCTGTGATGGTTGTATGATGATGACCAGAGGTGTATGCTACCAGCAGAGAGGCATGGGACGCTGACTCTGCGTCGTGCTGCTAGTGCAGCTGAGCTGAGGAACAGTTTGTTTCCCAGCAATCGTCTTCCTGACATCCACAATCCCTGCCATCTGTGGTGGACCAGCATAATCTCAAATCTGCAGGCACAGTGCAAAGGTCACCCGTAGTGACACCCACCTGCGCGTCTAGCGATCGTACGAGAGGTGGGTGGGGCTGCGCTGATCGGGTGGTGGCCGTGGAAACGACGACATCACGCTATTGTTGCAGCAGAGAATCCAGACTGTGATGTCCGTGGTGACGACAGGTCTATTTTGAGGTATGGATCTCGTCCTAGACGTGTGTGACCGTTATCTCCTGACGCCGTACGTGTACCCGGCGGCCTGGCCAGAGCAGAGTCTTCTGCGGCAGTTTCTCAGCCTGTTCACCATCACAACGGTTGGAGGGTGGCTCCTCTACATGTCCTTTGCCACGCTCAGCTACGTCTTCGTGTTCGACCACCGCCTCAGAAAACACCCTCTCTTCCTCCCGAACCAAGTGAGACGAGAGATCGTCCACGCCTCGAAGTCCATCCCTTGGATGACGCTTATGACTACGCCCATCTTTGTACTGGAGGTCCGCGGCTACTCCCGGCTCTACGAGGGTGTCTCCGGCGTGCGGGGATGGATGTTTAACGCGGCGAGCATGCTACTGTTCCTAATGTTCACGGACGCACTTATCTACTGGATTCACCGCTGGCTGCATCACCGACTGGTGTACAAGCACATTCACAAGGGTCACCACACTTGGAAGGTCCCTACTCCCTTTGCCAGCCATGCCTTTCACCCCATCGATGGTTTTCTGCAGGGCCTCCCCTACCACATATACCCTCTGCTCTTTCCATTGCACAAGATCGTCTACCTCGTCTTGTTTGTCTTTGTCAACCTGTGGACTATATCCATTCACGACGGCGACTACCGAGTCCCGGGTATCCTCCAGCCATTGATAAATGGCTCAGCTCACCACACAGACCACCACCTGTTCTACAACTACAACTATGGACAGTACTTTACTCTCTGGGACAGGATCGGAGGCTCATTTCGGATGCCGACAGCATTTGAAGGGAAGCTTCTGGTTGACGATGTTAGCAAGGGTAGTTGATATTGCGTTTTGTCTGCTCTTCTTGAATGTTTTTCATTCAATACTGCTACACAAAAGTTTATGGAATGAGAAAAAAGGCAAGGCTACATATTAGGAAAACAAACATACGGACGGGGGCGTTGAAACTGTGCGCATGCGCAATGGATGGAGGTCCGCAAGACAACACGCGGGTCAGAAGACTGGAAGAGATGGCTTCTGCCTTAGAGCTCCTGAATGAACTGGCGTCACCGAGTGTTCTGTTGGCTTGTCCTCTGGTGATGTTAAATCCATTGATATGGAACTTGATCGTCCGCCACGAGTACAATACCCGCTCCGTATCCCGACTCTGCGGAGGGCCTCGTGCTGGTGTGGTTCTCGTAGCGTGCATCGTGATGGTAAACAATTCCATACGGACTTCATTCTTTCACTACATCGTCGGGAAGAACTCCAAATTGCAATTCCTGGAGGATAATGTTGGGGCAACGATTGCGGGTTATGTGATAATCGGAGTGGGTGTGTTGCTGGTCCTGAGCTCTACCTGGAGGCTGGGTTTCTTCTGCACTTTCCTTGGAGACTATTTCGGTATCTTACTGGACGCCAGAGTCACTGGATTTCCGTTCAACATATTAAACCATCCCATGTTCTGGGGCTCATTCCTGATCTATGTTGGTGACTCGGTTTTGTGCGCCAGTGCTGTTGCTTTTCTCTTGTCACTGTTCATTGGACTCAGCTATGTCTTAGCTGCAGCATTTGAAGTTCCATTTACAGCCAAGATATATGCTCAAAAGGAAACCAAAAAGATATAAACTTCATTCATTATGGTTTGTTCATTTGTTGTGCCTTTGTGCGAAACGAAATAGGTGACAATGACAACAGTAGTGTAAGCTGACAGTTGGAGGCTCTCATGATCAGTAGCACATACCAGTGGAAAAGCCTTGTGGGGATGAATCTCATTTAGTGCAGAACCGCAAGTGCTGCGCTCATGTCAGCCTTTATAAACTCGTGATGCCAGAGAGAGAAGTTGTGGTATGCTCTGCTGATGAGGCCTGTCCAGAGCTCCGCATCTTTTTTCTCTTGGCATCGCATGGTTTTTTCTACATGGTATGCATTACTGTAGGGTTCCACTATATTTCTCCATCTTCATTCACTACTAGTAGTGCTCTACCCCCCAGCCTCTTCCTGTTGGTAATCGACAGTCTGCTGCAAACACGAAAGTAGTTATTATTGTCTCCCATTATTTTTCTCTACCAACCATCGTGGGTATACAATTATTTCTCTTGGTGGTTTTTTTGTCAGTAAGATACGTAACAGGAATCTGTTGTAGCCTTCGGCATTTCCAACTCCTCCAGAGAGTAGGATGTGCGCGCGACCACCCCCCCCATACTTCTACGCATGCCCGGGTCGGTAAATTGATTTTTCGCCGTGCTGAGAGAAAACATTTTCAGGCTGTTTCACAGATGGTTAAAACCCGTAGCTAATCGTGTATGAGAATTGCTTTATAAACGCGCATCTCGCTCCCGAAGTGTGACCCTGAGGAGCAATCTTGGCTCTGACTGTGATCCATTAATTCTTGGAATCCGTATATATGGTGACGTTGCTACATAGATAGGACCGTTCGAGATGGTCATGGCATCGGGGTTGATCCTCAGTGAACTGGCGTCACTCAGTGTTCTGGTCGCCTGTTCTCTAGTGATGCTGAATCCATTGATATGGACTTTGATCAACCGCTTCGAGTACAAGACACACGCCATATCCCGACTGTGCAGGGGGCCTCGCGCCGGGACGACGGTGTGGGCCTCTCTCATTATGGGAATGAATGTATTTCGGACTTCGGTTTTCCACTACATGGCTGTAAAGGGCACTAAATTGCATTTCTTTGAGGCCAATGTCGGCGCAACGACTGCAGGCTATCTGATAATCGTGTTGGGTGTTTCACTTGTCCTGAGCACTCATTGGAGACTGGGATTCTTTGGCAGTTTCTACGGAGACTGTTTCGGGATTCTACTACATGCCAAAGTTACTGAATTCCCGTACAACATATTGGACCATCCGATGTACTGGGGTAGTTTCATGATACACTTCGGAGGTGCAATTGTATGTGCCAGTGCCGTTGGCTTTCTTCTGTCATTGGCGATTGGACTGAGCTACGCCATGGTTGCTGTTGTTGAAGCACCATTAACGGCCGAAATATACGCAGCCAAAAAGGCGTAAGATTGTTTACAGCATATATAGCCTACTGTAGATACACTTATGGTTGGTTGGGACAGCCCACCAAGTAGTTTCTTCGGTCTAATTTCATAATTTTACATACCTACGTCCTTCTAATGCGCATGCCTTGATAAAACAATTCCCACCAGACAACGAAGTCTGTAGGTAGGCGGCACAGAGCTAGGTAGATAGATATCACCCTCACTGTCTCTCGAGGATTTTGCGTCATTGTGAAACCACTTGCTCACCTAGTGAAATCTCTGTAGGCGTGCTCGTAAAGCTAGGTTGGTAGCACATAGTCTCGGGCGGGCTACTTGCACCGGGTAAGGCACTTACTGTAGCCGCGACTGTAGCTCGCTCTCCCCACTCGTTTACTTTGTGCGTCTGCGCTCGCGCCGCCCCCGGTGTGTGTAGTGGCATGGCCCGCCCGACACACACACACCCTGCACCCGCCCCGCCCCCCCCGCCCTTCGTTCGTGCGAGCGGCGCCGGCGCGGGCGCGGGCGCGGAACTATATAAAAACACGTGGCCCTCGCGTGATCGTGTGAGTGACCGATCTGGCGGAAAGAGGAGAGCAGCTAGAGGAGAGGGGGATATAGGACTGTAGGCAATGGAGCCAGCTATGGACGCTTTCGTTGATACTTTACAGGACTTTGTTCAGAACAAGAAAGCTCTGGTGGCGTGTGTGATCGTCATGATAAACCCCCTCTTCTGGAACGTCGTATCGCGCTACGAGTACAAGACGCAGAAGCTGTCCCGGACGCTCGGCGGCCCGAAGCGCGGCTGTGCCACTCTCGCGGCCTGTATACTGACGCTCAACTACGTCCGGACAGCCACCTTCCACAAGACGGTGGACGAATTCGGCTACTGGGAACCGCTCCACAACGGTATGGTACAGGCGCTGGGTTACCTGATTGTGACGGCCGGATCCGTCCTCGTCGTCGCCAGCGCCTGGAAGCTGGGGTTCTTTGTCAGTTTCATGGGCGATTATTTCGGGATTTTACTCACTGATAAAGTAACTGGATTTCCGTTCAACGTTGTCAGAGACCCTATGTATTTTGGGTCTGGTCTCGTCTACCTGGGTCTGTCGCTGGAGCACGCCAGCGTAGTCGGGCTCGTGCTGACGTCGTGTATAGCCTTCAGTTACGCCGTTGCCGTGCGGTTTGAGGGACCGTTCACCTGTCAGATATACGAGGAGAGGAATAAGAAGTCGGACTAATTCATGCGTGAAACCATAGTGAAAGGGCTACGACAAGACATGATCTCTTCTTTGGCAAAACACATTGGCACTTGTGTAACACGCGCGCGAGCGGGAAATTCGAAAGTAGCGCATGCGTAGGATTACTCGCTGTAATGATACTTGGGGAATTTTTTGCCGGTGCCTGACCGAGGCTGTAACTCTATCCACTCCGGATCAACTGGAGTGTACGGACCCAGCGCGTAGCGACTTCCGGCGACTCGCAAATCACTCGCAATCGTGCGCGCCTGTCCAAATAAGGCCACGCCCACTCGATGCCGCGTCAGCAAGCCAAGAAAAAGGAAAGATGGCAGGGTCGGCTGTGGGTACATTTGCCCTAGTACGAGAAAGAGCGCCGGCCTACATTCCGCTCTGGTTAGTTCGACTGTGCTCCCCCCCAGCACAACGACAGTTGATCTTCAGTCGAACTAACCAGAGCGGAATGTAGGCCGGCGCTCTTTCTCGTACTAGGGCAAATGTACACTTACTAGGGTAAAGTCGGTGCTGTTACAAACCAAGGCGGCGTTGGTCCAGGGCTAGGTTCCGACTAGCTCAATGTACTTCTCTCGCTACGCTCGGTGACTTCACAGCACAACGACACTGTTCCACGGAGGTCTAAGTCCACGGAAGTCGGGGACATTTTGGGGAACAGTAGGCTGCGTAGACAGCGGAGCCTTCGCGGTCATCCAACCCTGCATGCTTTTTCTTGGCTTGCTGACGCGGCATCGAGTGGGCGTGGCCTTACTTGGACAGGCGCACACGATTGCGAGTGATTTGCGAGTCGCCGGAAGTCGCTACGCGCTGGGTCCGTACACTCCAGTTGATCCGTAACTCTTTTCCAATCTTCGTGGTTCCAAGGTGCAAGTTGTAAACTGGCTAATGCAGATAGTATAGTCACATTGTTAGTCTCGTGCCCAGACCCCGCCCTCAAGGCCTATTTTGGTTGTGCCACATCATTGTCGAGTGCATGCGCAGAAAATCCGTTTTCCTTCGTGGACGAATCGACCACGGAGCTGCGTTACGATCTATTACATAACATCATGTGATATTTCACGGTCGTGGCAAATACTGCAATCTGATTCGGTGTCTCAAAAAGTAATACTGTCGAGTCAGCACAACCAAGAAAACGCCTTTTCCTCTCTTGAGGGCGGGGTCTCGATTGTTGGTCGTCGGCCGGGTGTACTTTGACCCTATTTCTATGGCAACGCGCACCAACGAGTGAGCCAGCAGCAGGGACCTGGGAACATGCAGTCGACGGAGCCTCTGCTGCAAGAGCTCCTGCGTGACGTCCTGGGGCACCAGAGGGCGGGGAAGAAGAGAGCTCAGTGGAGTGGATTACATCCAGTGCCAGACGACCTGAATGCAGAGACTGACGCCAAGATTGCAAAGGCAGTTATTTTTATGTCTTACTATACATAGCTGTTAGCCATTCCCTCACACCTGGCCAGCAAGACCATTCCTACATAAACACTTCATTTCAAAAAGCACAGCGATACTCCATGTCACCTGTACATTCTTGTCGCAGTGCCCACAATCACAAGCAAAACAGTGCCTCGTTTAACATTGAAACTGTGGGTTGTACATATAAGCACAGCATGTCCTCATTCAGTTCATGCCCACCACCTGTCACCTGACAGGCCTGCCAGCAGTATGAGGAGATGGTCCAGGAGCTGGTGTCAGTGGAGAGACATCTCCTGCAGGCCAAGGCCAGGGCCCTCACTGAGGAGGAGAGGAGACTGGGGGAGAGGAAGCAGGCTCTCTGTGGATACGACAGGCTCATCAGCCTTCCCTCCACTGGTATAACAGACTGTAACATAGATGACTTTGGCCCACGTCAAAATTTCAGGCCTAGGGTCAGTATGAGTGCTGCTATATAACTTTTTGAGATAGTCCTGAAACTGAAGATCACACAAATGGAAAGACCCCTCCTTGAAAAGGACACCTGGTTGTTCCCCAACACCTCTGAATAAACGTCCAGTTTCACTTTGGCATTGCAAAATGTGCCGCACCACTGTATGTTGCCTGAAGCAATAGCTAATTACGATCCCGAGGACGTATAATTATGGGAATGAACTGTGTTCACAGACCTCTGGCCAATGGGTGTAGACCACTATGCGATGATGCCTTTGCTGTATATACTACCCAGATGTCAATGGTTTTCTGTTTTCCTGTTGCCAGTAACCCCCTCTTCCTCTGAAACACTCAATGTTTATGCTTCCCTTGTGTATCCTTTCACTGATGGCTTGTTTCCTGTGTTGCTGAGTACATAGGTGAGTCTTCACTGGGATCCTTCCTGGACAGGCAGCTACTGGAGAGAAACAGTCTCCTGCATCCTGCCCACTACCTTCCTGGACCATCATCTCCCAACTCCTCACACACCCTCCAACCTCCTCTCGGTAAATTGGGGTGACCCCTGCACTGATGACTCCACACACAGGGGGGACTGGCAATGTTTTGAGGAATTTCCCAACATAGCATCTGGTAGTCTCCAGTGTTTGTATGTACACACAGCATAGGTCTTGTGAACTACATATGGCAGCTGGTCCAATAGAAACACACCGCCCACAATTAGCATTAGCACTGAAGCTAATACATGACAAATGTGTCTTTTGTCAGTACTGTGTCGTGCTTGTAGACTAGTTTTCTTGGGTGTGAAAGTGTGTGTGTGGGTGAATTTGTGTTGCAACCACATGTATATCCAGTTTGTACGTACATATGTACTCAAGATTCAGATTCAATTACGTGGCATACGTTGAAATTATGGGTAATTGTGAACCAGTCTCCACCCCTCGTATGTGTGTGTGTGTGTGTGTGTGTGTGTGTGCTACCATTATGTGTGATGCAGAAGAGGCACCCACCTACCTGCGTCCTACCTTCACCTCAAACCAGCACACTGCCACCTCCCAACACTCCTCAGTCCTCAAACCCTCCTCTGTAAGTGTATACGTATATGTACACACTTCATTACTGCGGATGATGCAGATCCACAGAGCATGCTTCGGTCAAACCACCATATTTGTGTGTAGTGTGTAGCACACTAAAAAAAAAAGAAACATCGCATTAGAACCATCTCACTGTATCATTCCAAGCATGACTGTGCTGTTGATTGTGTGCACACATGCCTGCCTTCCTCCCTTCCTTCCTTCCTTCCACTTCCTGGTGTGTTACTGTATGTGTGTGGCTCTCTGCCATGTCTTCTCTCTCTCTCTGTGCTGGATAATAGCATCTGCCAAAACCTTTTGGACCTGTTACTGCTGGTATATGTTTGTGACAATGGAAAAAGCTGATCCTCCCTGAACACTGAGACCAAAATGCATACTGAGAGCCATAACACTTGGCTGCCTACAGTTGATCTGTATATTATACATAGCCTTATAGATCTCTGGTGTACAGAAGTCACTGACTACAGTGGAACCTCCGATAAGGGACCCTCCGAGATAGGGACTCCTCTCTACAAAGTTCACTCGTTTCAACCCCTATGCTAATTAGCACTTTAGTGTAGTATTAAACCTCCGAGATAGTAGGAACAACCTTCTACAAGGGACAAAATCGTGTCCCTTGTTCGGAGGTTCCACTATATGTGACGGATCATCTCTGTTTAGACTGGGCAGACAAAGAGGCCGTTGAGGTGGAGGGATCAGCTGCTCTCTCCGGCTGTGCAAGAGGCTGGAGTGAGGACACTGGCTCGCCTGAGGCAGCGAGGGAGCTCCTCCCACCACCCTGGGCCTCTCCTCCACTACTGAAGGAGAGGCCAGTAGCAGTGGGGCTCTCAGGAGGAGGAGGGCAACCAGCAGGGACCCTGGGAAGAACGACTCACCCACCAGGTTATATATACATACACCACAGAGATGTACATACGTTTGTGTGCTCACTCCCTACTTACTTAGGTATTTGTGAGCTTTATATAGCCTTATGGCCTTAGGCCTGGTTGACAATATTACAGTAATATATACTTTTCTGGAAATTTGATAGCTAGTACTACAGAGGATATTTTATGCTTATGTGACAAGTAACATTAGCTCTGGCATCACAGGAAGTTTTCTATTCCCAGTGAGGTTGCAAAGGTCATACAATTGTACACTGGAACACACATGTTGACAAGTGTGTTGTGTGGTGATTTGTTGGATATCCCTAGGCAACCGACATGTATGAAGCTAGGTACTGGGGGATTTTATCAGCCTATACAATCCTACATGTGCAAGCAGGGTTCATACATGTCATTTGCCTATATTGGGATATCCAACAAATCTGTCGCAGTACTGCAACATATATGTACATTACAGACTGCTCCACCAGGTGATGCATGTTCACACTTTCTCTCTCTATGATAGTGTCAGCTATACATACAGTGCTGAAGACATTATGGTTAAAGACATTGCTGTGTGTACAAATACATGTACTACTCTCTCACATGTGCATCACATGGTTTTTTCTACATGGTATATACTACAAAGCACCACTAGAGTATACTAGTTTTCTTTTTGTGTGTGTGTACATGTGCAATAGGGACCATCAGTTGTTTGCCGCAGAGCCAAACAAAGTGGTGTTCAAAGACTACCAAGTGGGACACACCTATCAGGTGGGTGGGTGGGGACGCTATCAACATACACATATATACTCCTATCCATTGAATAGCCTGCTCAGGTAAGCAGCCATTCCCACAGTAAATAAAGGTATGCCACTGAAAGCCATTCACTAAAAGACACATAGGGAATAGGTCTAGACATGAAGCTAGACTTGGGCTTTTCGTGAACCACAGACTGACCTGGTGTGTATACACACATATATATATATATATACATTGTGTGAACAGGACGCTCTCCATCACACTAGGTATTGCTTTAAAAGCTGCACACATTTTCTCATCATATGACTCTAACAATCATGTATATAGCATGGGATAAACACACACATATACACACACACACACACACACACAAATAAGCAATGGTGGGAAAGGATGATGTGATAAAAGATAAAGAAAGCTTGTGTCCTACCTTCCAAACAGTATGTCGCTAATGTCGTATCTAAAGGCCAGGTCCCTGATGAGGGTGCTGCTGGCGTAGTGGTTCCTGGCAAACGACAGGAACTTGACCTGTAGCTCTGTGGTGCTGCTCCACGCCTCGTACATCATGGTGAAGTGGTGGGAAGTAAAGTTGTTCTGACTCAAGTCTATAGTCATCCTGGGTAGCTTGGGCAGGCCAAACAGGGCCTCGAAGAACGCCTGGACCCTCTTGTCCTCCGCCATACCGATCCCGTTCTTGGAGAGGTTGAGGGAGCGCAGTGAGCCCATCTGGATGCCCGAGTAGGCCTGGAGACCGTGGGTGAGTGCAGTGGTGAGCCCACCGGGGCCCAGGTTGCAGCAGGAGAGGTCAAGCTCTGCCAGCGTCCGCTGCCGAAACAGACTCTGGAAGTTGTCCTTCATGGTTGGGCAGGACACGAGGTGTATGTGGAAGTGGAGACTAGGGATATGGAGCGTGGGGTTCATGGCGCAGAGTTCGAGAGCCAGCTTGTTGTGCATGCTGGAGCTGGCGCTCACTCCGTCCGGCGGGACATTGTGGTGCCACTGCTCCAGCAGCACCTCGAGTAGACGGAGCTGGAACCGAGGACGACTCAGCAGTCGCTCGAGGATGCGCGGCTGGAGGTTCATGGCGTTGAACTTGAGCTCCTTGTGCTTGTGGGCGCAGTAGGGGAGACTGAACTGCGGGAACACGGTCAACCCGCAGTAGTTGAACTGGATCCTGCTCAGGACCAGTCGCTGCTTCCCCGCACAGTGCATGCTCAGGAAAGACGCAATGATCTTGGGCACCATCACTTCGTCGCGGAACAGCATGCCCTCCAGGATGAGGCTGTGGAAGTGCCGTGATTTGAACAGGTCTGTGAACGTGAATAGCGTGTTCTCGGACCTGCTGGCCATGATCTCCTGCTCCGTGAGTCTGTCTATGGAGAGTGCCAGGGATTGGAGCGTGGTGATCTCGTTGTACGACGAGTTCATGATGACACTGAAGATGCGTGGGATGAAGAGGTTGAGGGCCGTCGCATTCTCAAACTTGATCCTCAGCTTCTCCAGCGAGCAGAGGGCCGTTGGGAACACACCCTTGATGAAGTTGTTGCAGTCTGCCACCTGGTCCTGGTTGAACTCGGTCTGCACAATCAGACAGAGGTAGCGGATGTTCTTGAAGATGGATGCCACCTCCTCGATGCTGCAGTCTTTCCACAGCTTGGTACGGAGGAAGTCTCTTGTTTTCAGCTGGAGTGCCTGAGGTCTGTAGTCACACGTCTTGAGGAGCACAGTCGCCATGCTCGGGTGAGTTGACGAGAGGGAGGCCCTGCTTGTTAGCGTCATTGTGGCCCGGTGCCACTGGACCCCGGGGCTGCTGTGCGGCCGCCAGTTGTGCTGGGGGAGTTTCTGGTACTTGTGGAACCTGCGGGGGATGTAGGGGTCTTTGAGTACCGTTGGGAGTCTCAGGAGACTCTGAAATATGCTGTCGTAGTCCTCAATGTCGGCTGCCCCACGCAGCGAGAGGAGAATGCCGCAGAAGTTCTGGAAGCCTTCGGTGGACGAGCCAGAGTCGAGAAGCATCCCACGGGTCTGGGCATTGTGCCAGTTGTGGAGGACCTGGGTCCGCGTACGGATGCGGTGCACCACCGGGACCTGCTCAATCACGGCCAGGTGCCAGACAAACGTAAAGAAGTAGTCCTTCATCGACTCGTAGCCTATCATGCTCCGGAAGTGTTCGTCGGGGAAGGTGTGTGGCATGGGGTGGTGCATGCAGATCTTGTCCCAGATGGCGGGGAAGTCTACCTTGTCGGCCAGTCGTGTCTTCTCCAGGAGACACACGTCGGCCACCGTCACGCTGCGCACAACCTGCGTGAGGATGGAGGGCGGGAGGAGCGCAAGTGTGTCGGCTGGAAACTCCTCCAGGTGGCAGACCACGTAGAGGAGGCACTGCTTTTCTAGTGACACCGGGGCTGCCATGACTGCTGCTGCTGCTGTTGACAGTGGAGACTGGTGGAGGGTGGCTCATGTGCTGTCATGCACTTCTCTGCTGTTAGAGGACCTCCTGCGGACCAGACATGAGTTTAAGTGGACTGGTATGGACATCAGGGAGCCTAGCATACACTTCTTATAGTTGGCAGTTGGAGTGAATTATTTTGACCGTGTCTCACACACTTGTACTGAACCTACTTGCGCCTACTGGTGCCAAAATTCATTAAACTCCCTTACTCTGGGCATAATTATGTGGTCAGGTGTGCATCAAAATTATGGGCTAAACGAACTCCTTGATTACCCTTAGGGGCTTGCAAATGTCACAAGACATGATACTGAGAACGGAGCATGGTGTGAGTTTTCCCTGTAGGCCAAGGTAATTAGCTATGAGCTATGAGCTACAGACAATTCCTTCCTGGCAAATTTGGGGTCTGTCCAGTTTCAATATGATCTGCTGTGCTTCTAGGGGAAGAGCAGTCGGCTAATGTGTAACCAGACAAGCGTGTAAAACGTTCTGCAGTCTACCATAAACTTCGGCTGGATCACTCACCGGTATCCCTACGCTATTGCATGCACCTCAGCCCAACCCAGCCTTCCCCCAGTCGCCGGCCGGCCCTGGACTTGATGGCAAGTCTGGGGTTTCACGAAAAATTTAAACACGGCATACTCTGACGCTGCACACGTGAAACGCTATGCAGCAGTGTCGCTTTTACAGCCAAAACACCGTGCCAGCATACAGCGGTGGATCGACAGAGTAGGCCGGTACTCTCGATCGGGTACTGGCGATCTCACACGACCGGCCCCACACGTACTTTTATTCTACAACGAATATACATGCCCACCTTATCTTGTGCGGCAGTCGTGCTTTTCTGCGATCATCTCCACTCCGGCCAGAGACGCCCGCAGAGCGCGCGACGGCGAAGTTTACCCGGTAGCGAAGCGCTTCGTTGTTTTGGTGGCCAGCAGGGGAACTATTAGTGTATTCATTGCATATTTTAACGTACTACTGATCTGCGCATGTGCAGATAAACGTGGACATCCAGAACATCAGTGGGTGCAGCAGGAAGATGAGGCTAGTTCCACTGAATTCTCCTTACTTCACCATTACAAGAGGTCTGTAATTACTGGAATTGACGTATTTACGTACCTAGCTAATGAATGCTTTCTCCTGGATGGTCTCTGGCTCGGGAGACTCGTAATTACCCACTTACCCCTTCCCTACTTGGTGCTAGGTGTTAGCAATCACCCCGAGGGACTGATAGCCCCTGGAATGCACGTGACCTGTACCGTCACCTTTACCCCTCCATCCCTCTGCAATTATCAAGAGGAAATAAAGGTCTGTGTTCAATTACTGAGTTCTCAAGACACGTGAAACAAATTTGTACTGTAAATTTTTAAGTTAGTAACTACAATTATTGCACACCTATGTAATAAAAGTAAGAGTATGTGCTGTAACTGTCGCTTTTGAGTATGGTGTCGACAATGATAGAATGTGCCGTAAATGTTGCTCAATATCCGAGTATGATAAATCCCCCTTCTAAAGTCACACCCTAATGTGATATGTCAGGTCCAAAGTGACAGTGGATACTGTTTGACCATCCCAGTACTGGCAGTCAGACCAGCTCCCTGTCTATCTCGTGAGTTACACACTGGCTTATTCCTAGGTAGCTCTCCACTTTCTCCTTTTCACATAGGACTTTGTCTTGCATTCAGCTGGTGTCTCACTGGTTGTTGAAAATGTGGTATATAGCTAGGAGATCACAGCTGGTGCCCTTGTCCATACTGTTTACTTCCTGGATTCATGTTTGCTTTCGGTTTACTCTTCAAAACATTCTGTTGCTGCGAGACCCCATACAATGATACTGTCTGGTCTCTCAAAGTTTTACCCCTGGGTCATTGTGAGGACATGTAGGATAATAGCTAGAGCCTTGACTTCCCATACAAAATTGCCTTGTGACCCCACCCTCATGCACGTTACCATTATTATAACATCAGTCAACTTACCTACGTATGTGCAATGAGGGTTCAAAGATGTTGGTAGCTTATAATACAAGTCACGTTGTGTCTAAGGTGTCTAGTTTACCAGATTATACATGAGTTAATTGAGTAAAGTAAATCGTACATAAGTCAATTGAGTGTTATGACGCCCTATATATACCGCAGTGCCAGAGGTGATAGAGTGTGGGAGTTGTCTGGCAGGAGGGAGGATGGATGTGGACTTGGAGGTCAAGAACTCTGGAGGAGAAGGCAGGTTCTCTGTCAGAGCCACGACCCACCACCAACATCACCAACAGGTCTGTCTTCCCACCACCGGCTCCTCCTTCTGTGTGGAGGGAGACTTTCCAGGAGAAGACAATTTTTTTAACAGTTGCATTTCTCTGTGATTTTGGCCATTCTGTTGTGATTCACACCAATTTTGAATCCCTTGGAATAGTGCTGCTCCTGTGTTTATGCATGATGGGACCTGATAGGTACAATATACATGTACACTATGTAAAGCTGACATGTACACTATGTGATGACAGTATATCCTGGTACAGACCCTGGGTATTACTCCATATGTGGCTACTTCTTAGACCACACAGTGCTGATGTATTAGGGACTATTGTGTTGCATACTTTGAGCCGATATGGAAATGGGGATTGACATAGTACCTACGTTAAATATACACTAAAAAAATATTGTACAGCTATGGTATGAGTGCAAACTTGAGCCATGTTTGATATGGAAACACAACAGTATGATGTACGTATGGTGTTGTTTCTTGTCACGCAGTCTCCTACCCAGTCAGAGGGTGTGTTGATTCTGGGACCGTTCACAGTCTCCCCCACTGAGTTCCATCTCCCTCCTCTCCACTCCACCACTCTGCAGGTTATACACTGTCTATATAGCAGTCTCAACTACAGAACAACATACAATACTTCCTATAGTGAGGTATAGAAGCGAGACAACTGCAAAACTAAAGAGACACAGGTTGACAATTTTAGAAAAAGAGCTGGGTTAGGTTGGACCCGAAGAACCAGTGTTTTACTCTGTGCTCTAAACAGAGCGCTCAAGCATGATCTTTACTGTGTGTGCATGTGTGAGGCACATACCAGGAAATGTTGAACACCTGCTCTCAACGAGGCAATGTAGGGAATGCCAGTAATCAACGTGTTGGTTTGTGTAGGTAACATTCTCGCCGGCTGCAGAAGGCCAATATGGGGAACAGTTTGTAATAGAGTGTGACAACGGAGAGACACTTTCCTTCAGTTTGACTGGTGAGTGAGTGCAGTACCTCAATCACACACACACACACACACACATACTGATAGCACCTTGAATATGGGGCCCACCTTAGTCGATACATGTACATGGACGTTCATAAAGGTACGTACATACCTTTTTATGGCCATGTGTCAAAAGGCAAAGGAAACTCTAACAAATCAACTACAACTCCAAGGACCACGACACTGGGAGAGGCCATCATGAAGTCCTATTATTATAGTGGAACTTATTTACTGCAGTGAAAGCATTTGTGGTGGGAGTGAACAACAGGATGTTACATGTAGCATACTTCCCTGTGAGCGTGGCAGCCCAGGTTATGTGATCTGCAACAGAAATGGCCATAGCTTCAAGCTTAGGCAAAATGGATTTTAGTACTACACGACTGGTACTTACCGACCAATTATAGGCTAGCGCGCTGTCCTGGGTGTTGTTGCCTTTGTTATTGCTGTGTCTGCACGTACATAAATACTCTTTAACCCACCGCCCCAGTTCTCAAGGGCGGGCACCTGATGTCCTACCTTTTTATGTGCAAGTGTGTTGTTTGTCTTGTGTGTGTGTATATACATAACTGGGTGGAGGGTTGAGGGTTGAGGGTGACTTCTGGTTTTCCTTTCTCTATTCTCTATGGCTAGTATGCTATAAAAACATACTTTTCATGCAGGTAGTGGAGATGTGGTGTCAGTGGGGTGTGTGTCTATTGGAGACAGCTCATTACAGGAGATCTCCCAGTTCACCTCCGATGGCAATGATGCCGACAGGTCCAACCAGAGAGGGGTGGACCCTGTAATGAGTGCCGTTGATTACGACCTGTACACAGAGCAGCTGGAGGAGTGTAGTGTGGTGTTTGACGTGGTCAATCCTCGCAGCCCAGCATACAAGACAGTGGTCATCAGAAACTACTGGTACTTAAGTGATTCGCTAGTACACAATGTGTGTCCTCGGCGGGTGGGAACCAGACCATGTGGTCAGCTAGCGCAATGTTCCAAACATCGCTATCCTTACTCGTGTACGCACATCATTCATGCACAATTGTGGGGTGTTTACCTACAATTGATGTGCAATTTAAATGTGTAATTAATGGGTTTGGCATGTTTTCATGATTCGTGTACGTAGTACTTGCATAGATGTATACAATAGACTTGTGTTGTTGCAATGGGTTACCCTGTAATAATCGTAATAATCGTAATAATGAGATAATCCTGATACTAATCATTAATATCAACCAAAAAAGCAGTTACAGGAAAGCATGTACATACCTATTTTTCTGATGCTATTAATTGAATGTCGTTTGTAGTAAAGGTAATCGGATGCTCTTTTGGTAATGGCATAATCCTAAAACGACGTAGTCGCATTATGATGTGATTGATATGATACTGGCTGCAGTGGTGTGGAACTCCCGTTCTGCTGGAAGCTGTTCAGACCTATCACAGAGCTGAGCTCGTCCGGCGAGGAAGACCCTGTCCTTGACGACCTCGTTCCATCGGTCAATTCACCGTTCTCTGTCCTCCCGCCCTCTGGGACCCTGCCTGCAGCCAGCACCCATACCTTCCTCTGTCAGTTCCTACCACACAAGGTATATACATAATGTGTATGTACTACGTCTCAAATATTTTGTCTGTATCTAAGTAAATTTATGTGTAGCTGCATTTAAGCTCGCAATGCTACTGATGGTGGATGCAAGCATTCAAAAAACTAGCAATGAAGATAGTCGTATTCTGCTGCTAGCTTCTTAAGGTGCATACCATGTGGGATTTTTTTCATTTGGCAACTCAGTGTCACAGTTTATACATGAACAGCGAGCTAGCCTACTGTGTATCAATTTGTGGTGTAGTTGTGTGCGTAGCTCCAAATCACCAAAATTAAAACCCTCGCCAAATGTTTAATTGTCGTATATGGCCACTGCCCTGCATATCCTGTACCTCATGTAATTTGGTCGGCCTTCTCCCTTGATTGATAGGTATGAGAAATGACCTTTTCGTAGGCAGAGATATTCCAATGCTCAGTTAAGCCTTTGAGTATGCTCTTTCCTGGCCCAGTAATTGATAGGGTGTGGTGTGTATTTTGGCCATAAATGGTGGGCGTGGTCAATCTCTCAGTTGGTTTCTCGGTAATTTGTGGGCGTGGTCTCTCTCTCTCTCCAGCCAGGGCAGTATGTGGATGGATGTCACCTGGTCCTATCCCAGGTACCAGAGGTCAGTCTTGATCTCAGTCTGGAGGGAGAGGCGTGGAGGAGAATGGGTGGGGATGACTCTACTTCCACCTGCACTGTGTCCCCAGTCTGTCTCTTCCTCTCTGGAGTGGCGCAGGTGAGGGGAATTGGAGGTGGGGGAGTACACGTAATACTCCTTCACACTGTGCACTTATCGCATACCACATGTGTAATTGACAGTGCTTATTCAATCAGGTTATAATTATCTGTAGTATTGGTATATACACACAAACTAGGTGTGAAAATGTGCTCCCAACCAAATTTCATACTCGGTCATAAACAGAGTGCTATAAGATAATTAGAGATAATTATAACGCAGTATTCTCTCTCATGTGTTGGGTGTGGTTTGATGGATAAAGACTCACACACTTGATCGTGAGGTCCCAGTTCGATCCCGGGTCTGTGGTGTTTTTTTTATAATGATGTAATTGAGTGTTGATATAAGAGGAACGTTTTTTCATCAGCTCTCGTGGCCAGCCCAAGTGGCTAAGTGGTTAGAGACGTGGGGACTGTCACATAAGATGCCCGGTTCGAATCCCGGACCCGCACTGAAACTGACAGGTGGTCCAGAGCATTGGCTGGGAACAGCTCTGGTTCCTCCCCTTACCCACGAATCTACCACTGACCCACATACATCTCAAAGGGCAGCGTATAGTTTGGCATTGCACTGCGTCCATAGACGTCTGTCTGGAGAGATGGAGGGCTGGCCCATAATATTTTTTTTCAACCTCAGAATTTATTGTTTTGCCTCAAACAATACATGGATAAGTTGAAATGGTGAATAACATGCAGTTATTTTTTTTCAACCTTGGTATTTCATTTTTTTTCCTGAAGGAACAGTGTATATACAAAATGCAGTGTTTTGTCAACCTTAGAATTAAGTAACAAGATGCATAACATGCAGGCATCTCATGGCCAGTATTGTTTTTTGCAGAAGCTTCTCAACAAAACTCTTTCATTAACCGTTGCAGCGAAGGTTAAAGCAAGACAGTAAATGAAGTAAATCGACAATGCATAGCCCAGCCAATCAATAAGCGGTACCGCGCAAGTGAATGGATTAGACGTTTTTAGTGCACCGAGGGTTTGCACCCCTGACATAGTGCTTTTGCAGGAATTTGGTCTTTTTTGATGTGTGGTGGTTATGAAGAGGGTTACAAGGTTCCTCTTACTTACACTTATTTACTAAAGGCTCAACAAACAAGTCAACTACACCCAGGACAGCTCTGGTTCCTCCCCTTACCCACGAATCTACCACTGACCCACATACATCTCAAAGGGCAGCGTATAGTTTGGCATTGCACTGCGTCCATAGACGTCTGTCTGGAGAGATGGGGGGGGGCTGACCCATAATATTCTTTTCAAACTTAGAATTGTATTTTTTGCCTAAAACAATCCACGGAGAAGTTGAACATGCAGTTATTTTTTCAACCTTGGTTCCTAAAATAACCCATGTTGCATAACATGCAGTCTTTTTTTTCAACCTTAGAATTTGCCTAAAATAATTCAGAATGTGTTTTTGCCCTGTGTGGTGGAAGAGTGCAGGTTATATAGGGTTACAAGGTTCACATGTGGCGCTAAGGTTACAGCAAGAGAGTATATCGAGTTTTTATTAACAACGCATAGCCCAGCTCATCAATTGGCTGTATAGGTTTGACATTTCTAGTGAGCCGAGGGGTTGGACTTTAGTGCTTTTTAGTTATCATTGCACACACCAGAAAATACACGTATATCCTTTACCTGGACAGCCGTATGTATTGGAACTGGAGCCTCCTGCTCTGCTGATTCCGGTCGCCGTCCCTCTTGCCACTGACGTCAGGAGACGAGTCAAGGTATATATACAGCTTCTATTCACTTACTTGTACTGTATGGGGCAAATCTCCATACTTTGCCATGGGGCAGAGCTGCCAAGCACACATATTTCTACGTAATTTTACGGAAGTAAACACATTAATTTTACTCATTTTCGCATGTATCACACAACAAGCCTCTCCAGCTACTAATACAGCACTTGTTACGGCAATATGCAAAGAGATTACAGAGCAATTACGGATGCTGCATTTAACGGTGCCACTTGACAGTTGTGTAGTTTGCTTCCCTCTGTTGTGTGTGTGCAGCTGGTGAACAGGAGTGTAAGTAGACTCCACTACTGCTGGAGGGAGCCCCTGCTTGATGAAGGAATCACCATCTCCCCTGTCTCTGGATCTCTCGGTTTGTTGTTTTGACTAACAGCCTACATTACTGGTGACATTGCCTTTCTGAAAGGAAAAAACCATTAGTACCTCTTGTGGTCTCCAAGCTGTGAGCTCTTGGAACAATGTTGTCATACACCATGGCCCTGTTATGTTGTTTTCACACTACGTGTACATGTGTATGTGTGTGTGTGTGTGCAGTGGGTGGAGGAGGAGGAGGGTACTGTGAGGTGGTGATAAGGAGAAGTGTGGCGGGAGAGTTTGCCCTAAACCTCATCTGTGACATTGAGCACAGTACACACCCTGTCACCCTACCTCTCCATGGCTGGACACAGGTCAACCTACACTGTATACATACTGTGCCATTGCACAGTGTGGTTTGTCTAGATAACTTCAAAGGAATCTTGGGTGTTTCATGTAGGTGTGTGTGAGACACGAATGGTACGTCTGGTGTGTATTTTCAATCACAGTACAGTAGTATTTAGTCACGCACGAGAGGCAAAATGTATAGACGTACATTTTGTGTACTACAGGGTCCGCAGGTGAGTGTGGACTGTGCCAGTCTGGAGTTTGGACTGGTTCCGCTGGGCACCTCCTCCCAACTCACCCTCACCCTCACCAGTCACACTCACACCTCCCTCCCCATCCTCCTCAGACAAGCCATCGGGACCCAGGCTACGCTACCTTCCACCTCGAGGACTGGCTGCAGAGACAGCGAGACTGATGTAACTGTAAGTGGTGTGCACATATGCTCTCTCTCATACACAACAGTTCCTCTGTCTTGTGCTGCATTGTGTATGGTAGACTTTGAACTCCTCCTGAGCTGCCCTAGTATGTACATATGTGTAGATTAGTGGGGAGAGGACTATATAGTCTAGACAGCAGAGTATATATCATAAGTTCACTCCCACCCTCAGATCAGCTTGAAAAATGGTTTTACAGGTGTTGTTGATTATGCTTTTGCCTTGCATTCAAGCTGCAGAGGTTTGGTTGATAGCGCAGCACTGTACAAGAATAGGGATTCAATGACACAAGTGAAAGTGGGGGAGATGCAGAAAGTCACACAGCACATGGAAGAGCTTGAGTTTTATGGGCCTGCCTTTGATGACTAATGGTGTCTTTTAAAGTTTGGCAAAAATTTTGGGGTGCAGCATGCTTAGCATTTTGAAGGTTTGTGCCCTTAGTGGTTACCGCTCCACGAGTTTATGATAATAAAATTGTCAAATTTGCTAAAAAGCCTCTACTGTTAGTGGCCAAGCGTCCACTAGTGAGTAGATGTAACCCTGTTTTGGCTACCATCTGTGTCTAAAGGTAACTTGGTAGGTTGAACACATTGACTAGTTATGCACGAGCTCCCTGTAGTCCTTTATCATCAGCATTGAGTGGTCTGGTGTGCAGTAGTGGTCTGGTGTGCAGTAGGTGTGCCATCTCTGTAGGACCATGAGTGTATCCACTTCACCCCCTCCTCCCTCACCCTCCCTCCTCACACCGTCACCACCCTCACTGTGGAGTGCCGTCCTCTGGTGACAGGGAGACTGAGGTCCACAGTCCGGTGTCTGGTGGATGACCAAGTCATTAGGTAGGGTTGTACACTACAGTGTTACTAACAGGCTATGTGTGTGTATGAATGTCGTCTTGACAATGTGCCCATACAAAAGGGGAAGTGTAAAACCACAGCTTGGAAAGCTTAGTCAGTACATATGTAGGTATGTATAGCAGCAAGGCAGTATTGACCATAACTGTCCCTAGGCCCAGCACATTGTACATAAGTCTGTTTTGTGGTCCATTATGTTGGTGTAGTTGCTTGAAATTTGACATGGCACTAATCATTTTGCATGGACCAATCATGCATCAAGACTTTTTCCTCTAAGTTGTGCCAGGTTAACGACTTCACTTGGCTACAAACATGCATACAGTGAGTGGACACCATGGAAGTAAACGTTTTTCCATTCCATTTCGTATATATTTTAAAAACCGTCCATGGTGTCCACTATTACGTACAATAATATGTCTACCGTCTACTCCCCACCTGTTGTGTCAGGTGTCTGGCAGTACATGCAGAGGTCCAGAGTCCACGTGTAGTTCTGACAGAGTGTGTGGTCCATCAGGACACAGCGTATGTTGGTGTGGGGTGTGAGAGGAGGGTGCAGATGACCAATACCTCCCTAATACCCACCCTCTTCTCCTGGAGACAACAGGTACTGTGTGTACATGTACGTTGTTATGAATAGACCAAAAAATACCTACTTGTATCAATTGGCAAAGGTAAACCACAGCTATAAATGAAACCCCTGGGCTATTACTGCATCGCTAAGTTTTGTGTCCTTGTGTATCACATCATACGTATACGTATGAAAGTAGCACGCATTATTGTGTGATTATGCAATAGAGCATAATCTTTAACATTATTGCAGTAGCTGTACATAGATCTGTTGTGGCATAAATTTTCAGCTACTTTATGTACTACAAGACTACAAGAGTTTATGTGTGTACGGTCTCAATGTACCCCAGTTTGGTGGGTGTTGTGTTAATGCAGGTGGAGGGTGAGAGCAGAGCCCACTGCTCAGTCTCCATCTCCCCATCCTCTGGTAGCATCGGTCCACGACAGAGCCTTCCCGTCACTATCACTGCCACCTGGGACTCCACGGTATGTGTGCCTACATACTTGAGACACACCCCCACATACTTTGTCTAGTCGGTTGAGATCATGCATGTCCTCTGCACTAGTGTTACATTAACCCTCCATAATGCCGGCAAACTACAGTAATACTGTAGTATGACTGAAATGTCTTGTCTGGATGATCTATACGTGTTCTGAGATCACGTCGTCTGCACTAATGTTTAAGCCTTGACCGACATGTATAATTATATATATCACACACCCCAGAATGAATGAAATGTCTAGTCGGTTCATAGATCATGCCAGCATACAGTATGACCTTCATGCTCAATGGAGGTTAATGTGTAGGATGAAACCTGCCTGACCCAGTTGGTACTTGACCCAGTTGGTACATGACCCAGTTGGTACTTGACCCAGTTGGTACTTGACCCAGTTGGTACATGACCCAGTTGGTACTTGACCCAGTTGGTACATGACCCAGTTGGTACTTGACCCAGTTGGTACATGACCCAGTTGGTACTTGACCCAGTTGGTACTTGACCCAGTTGGTACTTGACCCAGTTGGTACTTGACCCAGTTGGTACTTGTTTCATGACTTCCCGGCAGGGTTCCCACCCAGAAGCAATACTCTGCTGTGATGTGGAGGGAATGAGTGAACCCCTGTTATTAGTGCTATCAGCTGAGGTGCACGGTCTGGCAGTCAGCTATTCTGTCCAGGAGAAACGGTGAGCTCTATACATAACATATTTTTTCTCTTGGCATCACATGGTATTTGTACTATGTACTATGGAGCTAAGGGGACAACCCTGAAATTATGACCCTTCTCTACCTTTTCTGAACACAAAGGGCATCTTACTAATTTGGACACTTCTATCCCACTGGGATTTCACAATGTGTATACATGCTGTACGTGATTGTAGAAAGGAAGATCTGAGGATCAAGTTAACAGAACTATGAAATATGGCAGCCTTCTTTTATCACAATGTTTGTCCACGCCCTAATTTGTGAATGGACAAATGTTACACTCCCCGTGTATTGATTTACTGTGTCCAAACACAACACACACGCAGCCGTGGCAGTTCAGATGAGGAGGAGCTACGTCTGGAGTTTGGATCCGAGGTGTCTCTCTTCACTCCCCACACCCTCCATCTCCTGGTCACCAATACCACCGCTATCCCCACCACCCTCTCCACCAGCCTCTCCAGCTTCCCACCCTCACACCCTCACCTCCCCACACCTCCTCCTCCTCCTCCTCACAGATCTCGGAAGAAGTATGCATGTAGCTCTAATACGTATATGGGGCTATGAGTTTGTACTGTGTTTTCATTTATTCCTTGATCCTCCATACGTACGTACCTAGGTCTCTGTTGTCTCGTACAGTCAACATTGGAGATCCCAAGAGCAAGACATCTCAACAAGCCAACAAAGGTTCCACAGCTTGACCATCTGTACTAACACACAGACGGATATTCCATTAAACATTCCCACTCTATCACCTGTTTTGCTTCATATTATTTTGTTGCCACTAGACTACATGTCAGGCCTGCTGCAAGAGGGGCGTGGCTGTTGTTTTGTGGTGGACCCTCCCACCTCCACCCTCCTCCCCTTCACCACTCACACCCTCACCGTCACAGCCTATGCCGACATGTGGGGTGACTATCATGACACTCTATCGTGCCAGGTCTTTGACACTAGCATACACTGTCCTTTTTATTAGGTCACACTTTTATTTTCATTTGTGTTTGTTGATTGTATACATACATATCTGTATGTAGGTGTCAGGACTGGAGGCTGTGGAGTACCAATCCATTGTCGTGTCACCGGTTGTCCACTCCTGTTCCACAGCACTGCACTCCCACAACGTAGCCTCATCAGGTGGGGGACTGACCTTGCTATGTACAAGTGTACTTATGTATACAAAAACCTGTGAAATTTAAACCTAAGATAACGCTGACTGTGTGTATCTGCTAACACTCTCAGGTTTGGCAGTCATTTGGCCAATGGCCCTCCAGCCCAGAGAGTTGTCCGCATCAACAATACAGGACCTCAAGGTGTGCACATTACACGCGACACAGTCTACACAATGTCTGTATACGTTGAAGTGCAAAATAACGTTGTTGTTCCATGCATATTTCATTATTTAACATCATTCTTCTGTACATTCTACTGGTTCCTCTGTGCAGAGGTGCGTGTGGACTGGCAGATGTTCCGTGTCCCTCGGGAGGACAAGAGTGGCCAGCTGGTGGACCTCATTACCACCATAGGCACCCCCTTCCCCGAGACACACCCCCTCATCCCCTCCCCACCATCACCACGTCACTCCTTCACATCCTCACCTCCGTCACAAGAAACCGCCAGCCGTGCCTGGTCTCACTCCGGAACCAGAGCCGGGCCGAGACGGAACGGAAGCCGGCCTGAGTGGGGATGGAACGGAGTCTGGAGAGGGCAGCGAGGGAGTTGAACCCCGGCAGAGGAGTGAGGATGGGTCCCAGTCCAGTCAGGGGTTGGATGGTCCTGTTGTTCGTGTGTTTCTGCGAGACCACGAGGGAATTCCTGCCGACAGACCATTCTCAATACACCCCACGCAAATGGTGGGTGATTGAAATAAGCCAGGATGAAAGTATGCATCAGAAGTATGTAAGAGGGGACACTAATCAACCTTTTATAGGGACTAAGGCTTTTAGTTCGGGGGTGAAATCACAAAAGAGGAGGGTGATTCCTCGAACCCATCCATGGTGTCATCATATAACTGGTTATGTACATACTATGAAATTGCATGTTTTTTACTACAGGTAGTGCCAGCTCGGGGTCAGAGTTCATTCACAGTGACATTTGATCCTTCTCTGGTTGGTGATTCAGTGGCCAGTCAGTCGGCCTACTGTCTTGGCTACATCAGTCTTGATGGACAGGTGGGCCTATTCACTGATCCACGATGGAACAAAACGTCATTATACATGAATATGCAAGGAATGTATGAGGTGTAGTATGATACTGATGGGGCTCTTCAACCGTTCAGTACTCTACACTAACTCTCTGTTCTCTTTTCCCACCCATGCCACGCGCCACTGTGAAACCTCAAACTTTGATTAAAGGACACCTGGACACTTGGTTCTTGCTACATGGTTATACCTCTGACACTGTCAACGGCCCCAAATGTGTCCATTATTCAGGGGGTTTTAGAACTAATATTATGCTTACCTGAAACCAAGTATGTTTCTCTCTCCCATACCACTGTTCAGTCATCGTGAGGGAGTGTATCGCTCCACTGGCTATGAGCTCTCTCCACTGAGACTGGACGTTGAGGCCAGTCTGGACCAACCTCAGCTACATCTGGAGGAGGACCAAGAAACAGGCCTACATTTCTCCTACCCTGCCTCCGTACTCCTACACGGAGAACACGTACGCTACGCTAGCACGCTATTTTATGCATACGTATACTATTGAAAAAGGAAAGGCCTTGGTACAAGTGGCTTTTGTATGGGGTCTGGTAACCTGAGACTAGCTCGCTTGGCCAACTGTACAAATAGTTTTTGACCATACTTTCACTTTGTTTGCTCGCTCTTTTTCTTGTCATGATGTGTAACAAACAGGTTTTATCGAGTGTGTCCAAGACCCATCATGTGACACTTGTCAACCTCACGTCTTCCAACCTCTCCTTTACCATCTCCTGCTCCTCCCCACGGTTCACCATCACACCCTCCCCCTCCTCCCCAACTACCTCACCCCGTGTCCACACCCTCACTCCCAACACTGGCCTCAGTGTATGTGTTAAATGTACTGGATCAAAACTAGAGTTTTGAAAAAATTTGCTTATGCAGCCATAACACACACTTCACTTTCAATTAAAGTTATGAACCAACAGTGCGTGTGACCGGTGTATGACATGTAATGCAGGTTGCTGTCATGTTCCGGGTGTACCAAGAGGACCTGATGGACTGTAGTGAGGACAAAATGTCATTCTCTGATCCTCTCCTGGTACATTTCTCTACTGGAGCAACTCAGGTATACAGTTACCATCACAACAGTCACAAGCAAGAAACCACTTTGCATTGATCTCAAATTGCAGGAGTTTCCTCTCAGCGGTGAGATATTCATACCACACGTGTCCCTGTCGACGCAGTCACTGCAGCTAGGGCCGTGTCTGCTGGGCCACTCTCTCTCCTCCTCCCTCACTCTGTGCAACACCTCCCCCGTCCCACTGCCCTGGACCATGGAGCCTGCACCTGGTAACCGGTCTTGAAATTGAAGTTTCTGAGTAAACCAAACTTTTGCCTTGCCGAGCAAGCTGCAAAACCACAGTCTAACTTTGATCTCAAGCAAACAGACCGATCCATTAATATTTGCTGAGTCTATATAATAGCTACGGGACTATCCACACTGCAGGTCTGTGTGATGTTGTTAGTGTGAGTCCCTCGTCTGGAGTTCTGCCTCCCCACGCCGGCACAGCTGGACCCTCTCAACAACATATCCTCCTATATTTCACCCCTCAGTATGTGCCCTGTGTGTGCTCACTATTCCGTAACCATAGCTGTTTCTTTGACTTGTGTGTGGTGGGTCTGAGTCCCACCCAGTACAGCTATTTTTTCTTTGAAGAAGTGTCCTGAGCATTGTTGATTTGTTTGCTTAGCACTTGCTTTGCTTTCATTGTGTATACAGTATAACTACACAATGCAGTATGGCTGTAACTGTACATAGCTATAAATTCATGATTCTCTCTCTCTCTCTCTCTCTCTCCCTCTCTCTCTCTCTCTCTCTCAGGACAGAGTGTGAATACACAGGCAGAGTGGTGGTCAGAGAGGGCCTGACTGGATGGTGAGACACACGTTGTAATGACTGCCTCCACCACCTCGGATGAAGTCCACTCCACTGTTGACTTCCTGTAGACTTACTGCCTCCAACTGTTCTGTGTGACGCACAATACTCAGGATGTAAACTATTATACAGAAACAGGTTTTCACGTATAGCGAAAGTTCGATGGATTTCTCTGAGACACAAGCAGTATAGATAGCTAAGTATAATGGTATGACTGCAGAAAAGTAGGGGTAAACTTACTATTGGGGAGCACACGGGTAGCTAGCTATTCTGCATTGAAGTCCCACTGCTCATACACTTTAAAACATAGCTAGCTATATGCAAATAGCTTGTAGGATGTACAAAAGCTATTCCACCCATACACTGGTCAGTCTCTGTGAATTCTAGTTCAGCCAGCCAGCCAGTTTTTCAGCCCTGAGAGACCAACCACACTGCTGAAAATGTATGTTGCTATCAATTTCTCTGAGCATGTGTCCAACAAACGAAGTGAGGTGAGAGTGCACATGCACGACATTCCACGGGCCCCGTGTATTACGTCACCTCAAGGGGGTGGCTCCGCTATACATTCGGTGTGCATCATCTTTTGATTTTGTATCTCTGTAGCGCAATCGACCAGCAGAAAAATGGGTAAGATGTACAAACTTATGGTTGGCTTGCATGAAAAAAGAAGCAGTGTTGTATTCGACCGAAGCCTGCGTGGTCGCGGCACGTAAGATAGCTGGTCTTCGACAGGACGCTAAATGTCGGATTTTTGTCCGACTATTGATCTTTCAGACCCGAGTGCCCCCAGTCAAACCTACCCGGATGAGAAGCAGCCTGAGCAGCCGCCACAGGCTCCCTACCCCACCCAGGCTTCTGCCCCCTATCCTGCCCAGGCTGCCTACCCTCCCCAGCAGACGGGTGCGTATCCTCAAGCTGGCTACCCTCCCCAGCAGACGGGTGCGTATCCTCATCAAGCTGGCTACCAGCCGGCCTACCCTGGCCAGGGACCAGTGCTTACTAGTGAGTTGAATAGAGAAAAGAGAGAAAGGGAGGTATAGTCTCGTGGAGCCAGCTCCTCTATTGCTCTACCAGACCTTCATGCAGGAGGGTCTGGCTAGGGAGGCTATTATTGCTCCGCACAACTAGGAAGGATGGAACACAATGTACGTAACTTGTCCCTCTCTATTCCTATAGCTGATGCCCCTCCTCCATATTATCCTGGACAACAACCAATGCAGGTATATTAACACAGTATTATACATGGTTATGGTATTATATAACGGTGGCATGTGATTCCTATGAATATGGTCAGTGAGATTTCCTGGAATGTGTTGGGAACTCCTATGGCTAACGGCGAGACATGCCGCCAGGGGAAGTACAGAAAGTGCATGGTTGGCTAGTAAGCGGTGAGTATAGTCTCTGCTATTGTGACAGGAGAGAAGCTTGGCACAACACTGTTTTGAAAAACTACTTAACTGCAAATGCAAAAGTGGGAATTGCTGGTTGGCATAAGCCAGTAGACCAAGTCTTCGGCCATCAGGAAAAGTATTGCATGTCAGGCACTGCAAGTATGTTCACCTAGAAAACCATTACTCATCTTTAAAGCATGTTTAACAAGGTGCTCTCTCCCCTCACATTCCCCCTCCCTCCTAATGTAGCAGGCTACCACCAATAACACAGTGGTAGTGACCTCTCAACCAGTGCCTCAGATACACACAGTGTACCGCACTGGCAGCTCGGAGTACGCCCTCCCTGCCATCATCTTTGCAGTGGCCATCACCGTGTGCTTCCTGTCCCTCGGCTGCTGGTACGCCATCATCTGCAGTGGCATCGGCATCGCTCTGGCTGCCGCTGTGAGTTCCAATAGTAAATAGTTCACAATGTGGTCTGAGATGGGGAGTTTTGTTGTAATAGCTGCTAAAGGGCACATATTGTGTGTGTATACTAAGGCATCCCTTTAGTTTTCAGTATGGATTCGCACATAGGAGTGGTCTATATTCACAACTTCCTCAGATGTATTCCCCTCAGTAGTAGACTTGCAAGGTTACCTGGCCTAGTCAACACTAGAAGCTGGAAGGCCAACCAAACTAGATGCACATACCTTGAGTAACTTAATCCCTCAACCGTGCACTGAATGGGCTAATCCCTGGTCAGTGCTGTTGGCCTTTTCGATTGTTATCACACCATTTCTCTTGAACGCAGTCGTTTAGGAAAATTGCCTGTATAATTATTTTTCATGCTCCCGTCATTATGAGCGCTGGTATCACTCATAGGCTGGTTTGTGCCCTGTAGTGCCAGAGTAGTTGTCAACACACACACACACACATACACACTAACAGACAAACCAAGCACTGTAACCTTGCTGTGCATGCACACTGAGGGTTAATAAAGGACACCTCTTTATAAAGTTATATCCACTGCCAATACGGCTATACCTAGGAACAAAGGATTTATGGTCTCAGTGTATCCTATATGCAGAGGCACAAACCATGATAGAGAAAGCTTTTGCCGGTGGTTATAGATGAAGTTTGCATAGATTTTCAATAATGTTCATCACCTCATGAATTTATTGACCACGCCCCAGGCCTCGTCCAGTGCCTCGGCTGGAGATATGGAGACAGCCAAGCAGTACAACACTGGGTCCATGGTGTGCTCCGTGGTCTCCCTCCTGAGTGCTGTGCTCCCATTTGTTGCCCTAATCATTTGGATCATTTCCATCGTCTCCACCTCGTCCTCCTCTTGATCCCTCGAAGTATACTGACTTTACACTAATGCTGACCAGCAGCAAAACGTTCATTAACTACTATATACTGCTCTGCAAAAATGTTTTTTGTGTATTGGTGTTTGGTTTTTTATTTTATTGAAGTCAGCATCTTGGTGCCGAGAGCAATATTATCTTATAGTCTATATAGCCGCAAGCCCTCTCTGCGTGTGCGCGAGCATGTGTGGCGAGGGAGGCTCTACATTAGCAAAACCTGCGCTAGCTATATAGATTGGAGTGAATCGCAAAATCCCAATCAAGTGCAGGTTTGGCTAGACCCTCTCTCAGCGTGCAACCCCACCCCACAGCATGTGTGTTCACACACACGGAACGGACAGAGGATCTGCAGGCCACAATACTTTGGAGTTGAGCAGGTTCAGTCACTCCACAGTTTCAGGACTTTGTGTGACCTCAGTAATGCAGGTTACATTATACAAACAGATAAAAACATGCATGCACAGAAGAACTGCTAACTGTCAGTCCAGCAGCCGTTAAAAAAATAGACACTCAATATAGGCAGAGATCACACACCGTGACACAGAGAATGAATTACTGCTCCTGAATGTTAGAGGCTCCACCGGAGCTGAACCTCTCCCTAGTGTCAGGAGGACTGGCATCAGAGTCTTCGAAGTCGGAGAGGTCAATGGATGCCGCATGGTCGGCTGCGGTGAGTCTCATAGGAGAGTGGACTACCGCTAACTGTCAGTCCAGCAACCGTCAAATAAAATAGACACTCTAAAATAACAATACAGACAGAGATCACACACCACGACACAGAGAATGAACTATTATACTGCTACTGAATGTTAGAGGCTCCACCGGAGTTGAATCCTCTCCCTAGTCTCCAAGTATATACTGACCCTTGTGTGACACCAGACACAACTGAGGTGTCGGTTGATGATTCTCCCTGAACAACAACATACTGTTTTTTGTTTATAGGAGGTAGAATGCAATCCACTGTGTAGAATGTAAGGGTTCAGTAGGTGGAGAAGTAGTGGTACATGCGGAACACTGTCAAAGAGCCTTGGATAGGTCTATATAGGAATAAGAGAATTACATCAAAACCGTGTTCCATATACTGATACACTGAGTTGAATGTCGATAGCAGAGCGGTGACAGCTGATTTCCCTTGAGTAAAACCCCAGTGATGGTAACTTTTGCGCTATATACATTATATTCCATGAGCATGAAACGTTTCGGATATTCCTCTGCGACAAGCTACATAGCTTTTTCAGATGCTCACCAACCTGGTACTTCTTTATTTCACACACCGCGTATTAGTTAGTACACCACTTTTATGCAGCTCCTAGGGTCTGTAAATGCCTCTGGTAGCTATGGAGGATTATGGAGTGGATACACAGGGCATTGAGTATTGGAGGTGGATATTAAGCCATCAGCTATTCACTCTAGCTGGATGTCCCATTTCTGACTACTGACTTCACCAACACATCTGCTTGTTATGTAGACCAAGGATTACGATATCATCACAGCTTACAAGATTCAAGCATTGTAACTACTGGCAAACGAATACACAATAATATGCTGTCCCCCGCATTCAATGGGGTTAGTACTCGCATGTTGTTAACCAGCTGTCTGAACTATAGGCATGGTTACAGATCATGGTCTCAACTTTTAAACCGCAGTGAGAGACAAAAAGATAATCACTGATTATCTACATTAATCTATCACATTACACCACATGAGTTTTTTAACTGCTACATGCTACATGAGAAAGGCACAAAAGTAACTGCTGCAGCCATAACCAACTTGTAGCTTCACAGTACTAGCTATATGTTCGACAGCACTGTATTACATAACTGCTCAGCTATGTGCATGACCACCAGGAATGGAATCAAATTCACAACTACCTGCAGTTTCCTTGGTGACATCACGAGCAATGCTCACACTCAGCAACAGCTTTGGGTGTGGTCCAATGAATACCAGTCTATGCCGTAGGTCTTGGAGCCATGGCAGCACCACCAGTGGACAAGAAGGGCTTTTTAGAGAAAAGACAGAGAGGACTGAAGCATCCAAATACTGACAGATTGAGGTTTCAGCAGAGGTATTTTAAACTGGACAATGAATATCTCAGATACTACAAAGATATAGTAAGTCTTGATTGAAGCCCATTTCAGGGATTAAAACCACTGGTATTATAAAACAGCCTAGGCCATCGACGGAGCCTAAAGGGAAGATCCCGATTGACAAGATTAAAATTATAGAAGTTGTGGATAAATCTGTGTTTCGAAAAGACTACTGCTTTCAGGTATGCCAGTTGCAGTGCAATACACATGGTATGGCTTAAGCTGTTTGCTGGCGTATAGGTTGGAGATAAACAAGAAGTAATGTATCTGGTTTGTTCTTCACTTGATGACAGAACTGATTGGATGAAAGCATTAGAACAAGGTTATGAACAGAAACAAGTGCATGCACCATAACATTGATTCACCCTTACAGCTTGCAAAAACAAGGAAATGCTCCCAACCTATCACGATGGAGTGTATTCCCGTCAGAAAATGCAGTGGTCATGCTGTCGAGAGTCAAAGTTTGCTGATGGATGCACCCCTAAATCTGAACCATTAACTGGTATATATATGAGATCCACCACATTATAATAGCAATCCAAATACTTGTGTGTGTTCTTCCATAGCAACGACTGTGGTTCGAAGAACTAAGGTAAAAGATGAGAGAGATTCAAAAAGAAAAAAGAAGGATTTCAAGTCAGATTTTGATAGTGGATATGGTAGCAGAAATAACTCAATGGATGGCGAAGGGACTGGAAACTCAGACCAAAGCCAAGTGAGCAATGAGGGATTAAGTTCCATCAAACAATTATTGGTTTATTCAACCCAATAAGTTTCATTATAAATGGAAATTTCAGGCTTGCCAAAAGAATTGTACAAGTGATCAGCTTTAATTTGCAGTTTGTAAAAGATCAGTGACACTTTCTGATTGACTGTTTATTTCAGGGTACATGGAAGACAATGGAATGTTTGAGGAACTTCGTGCCACCAGTTCCTCAAGCAATAGTGGCTATGACATTCATGACCAAAGATATTCTGGCTGTAGCATTGGACAACTACTCTGTAAGTGCCACATATAGAGCAGTGTAATGAGATATTATCATTCCAAAGTGCGGTGTTAGGTTTCCTTCCTTGTCATTTGTATGTCTCAGGTCCAGATGTATGACATACCGAGCAATGCAATTATCCACAAAATATGTCTGACCCATCCAATATCTTCAATTGATGTGTGGAGTGGGTACCTGCTCATTGGGAGCTCTCTAGTTCATGTGGTGGAGACAAGACAGAGTGGTAAGTGGAGGAGAACTGTGGTGGTGGACTTGGAGGAGCAAGAATACATACAGGTAAATCCCTACTAATCTCGTTCAGTTATGGAGACACTCGACATCTCTATTGCCTTGCAGAACCCCAGCCAGCATCTGGCTGTGTTCAACAAAACCACTGGCCAATTTGTGACTGCCAGTAAAGCAAGGAACAGGTTATTATTTTGGCCTCAGCCCTCAGATGAAAATGACGGGCTAATTACTGACCCATTAGAGACACTGGAGTGCAGTGGAAATGTACTAATGTAGGTTTGTAACAATTATGGTATGTGATTTAATTCGATCTTTACACACAGGGTAAAATCAGCGAAAGACGCCCTATTTGTGGTTCATTGCCAGCAATCTGAACTATGTGCACTTGATGTATTCCAGTGGTCGAGTAAAAATAGAACCTGCCTCAAAACTATTCATTTTGAAGGTATAGAATTTTCACTTTTTTTCAAATGTGAAAATGCTAAATCATCCTCTATAATATTACAGGAACAGTGGGTGTATCAGTTTCTGAAGATGGAGAGTAAGAGCATGTGATTCTAACACAGACCGTGGACCAATTTCAGCAATGTGTATACTTTTTGAAAGGTACCTGTATCTGGTGGCTGATGGTAAAGGAGTACAAGAGCTCAGTGTCAACACCAGAGATGCTACCTCGATCCTTAATTGTAAGGGGTCATTCAATGGGCCTCATTTTGTATGTGAAACTACATGTTAACCCCAGCTGATACAGATGAGATCACATGCTTAGCAGAGTCTTGTCTCCCTGAAGCAGACCACTACTTCCTCATGATTGGCTTTGCCAGTGGAAAAGTGGAAATACGAGACACCCATTCGCAACAACAGCCTGTTGTACACTGTCTACTACCACAAGTAACGGTAGTCTAATGGGTCGCATCGATGAACATAAACCATATTCACACTATGTAGGAGAGCTCAGGTGCTGTTGCCTCGGTAGCATACAGAGAGGAAGAAAATCTGATTGCAGTTGCTACTGAGAGTGGAAGAATGACTGTATGGGGTGGTAAGATAGCTACATGCACTGCAATGAAGCTGAAGTTGATTATTTCACTGATCTATTATACTGCAGGAAGTGAAAAAAGGATGGGGAAAGGGAAGACCCCACTAGAGCTCCTAGAAATCTCAAAGTTCTCAATCTACATGCCAGCCTCGTTTTCAAGGTACTCCATCCTGAGTGGTGCTTTCAGCTTTGTGGCCGACTCCCGCGGAGGGCTGTTTGTGAATCGGCCCAGCTACTCCCTGAAGATCCCAGGAGGAGCCATTAGGGTGGGAAAGTCAGTCAGCATCCAAACGGGAATCATCACATGTGTCGGTAGCGACCGATTCAAAGTTCCAGACAACTACCATGTGGTTTCACCAGTGGTCTGGTTCTGTGGAGATGGAGAGGAAGAATTCCAGAAGCCACTAACTATTGAGTTGCAACATTGTGCACAGTATGGCCGACGCCTGACTGTATTGAAGGCAAAATGCTCAGATTCATCAGATGTGTTTGTGTTTGAGCCACAAGGAGAAGGAGCGCAACAAGTCAATTACGCCACATTCCAAACTAAGCATTTTTGTGTCTTTTGCCTGGTAGCTGACATTGAAATAACTTCAGAAACCAGAGTGTGTGTAGTGCCGGTACATGGACCATACATTGAACAGAGGAAAGAAGTCATTTTCTGTGTCTGTTACTACCTTGGCACTTGCATTAAAGTGAGGGACTATCACCAGTTGTGTGTGTTCCAATTTCATGTATTGTCCTGCTTGCAGAGCATTCACAGGCAATACAAGAAGAAAGGATATCATTGTACTGATCCAATTGACCTGTCATCACTTAGAGCTGGTGAAGACAGTATCGCAGTCTGCACATCACGAGGAGTGGCACTAACGGGCAGCAATGAAGTACAGTAAAAATATATAAGATATTAATTTGTGATATTTTCTTCATTAACTAGGTCCAACTTGCAAAACTAAACTTTCAGGGTAAGACTGTAAGCGATCTTGCAAAAGAGCAAAATCATAAAACCTACCCACCAAGAGTTCACTACAACATTGACGGTACTGGTGATGAAAAGGTCGTGTTCACTATTCAAGCATCTGGAAGGAAACTAACAGACTATGAAGTTGTACCCAAAGTCGTTGGCTGTAAGTGAAGCCTTTTCTCACGTTTCACAGTTTACCATCCTCCTCACAGCTGCAACAGCTGATGAACCAAGCTGTGAGGGCCAGGTTATACTATAATAGAAGCTCCCTTTATCGTATTTTTATGATACTTTTCCTTTTCTGTTGCAGGCACCTATGCAAGAAAGTGCTAGCATGAACGGATGTAAGTTTGATCTTTAGGTGAAAACGAATCTGATCATCTGTTTTATTTCTCAATTAGATCCTCAATGGAAGCCTGTGTACCACACATTTTCATCCAACTCCGGATAACTTTGTTGTCATTATAGTAGCTATGCTCTAACCCTACATGTATAGATAAAATAATGTTAAACATTCATGGAACTAGTGATGCTGGGTAGATCATTGGCAATGGAAGGAGCTCTCTAGGCATTAGTCTGCTGTCCAGACCCTTCACAGCACCCACATAGACTATATAGGTAGACATAATGCAAGTAGGGAGGGATGAAGGGAAAGGATGATGAGTGTGAAAGTGTGGGTCATGTATGGAAGTGTAAAGAATAAGGGAAGTGCTTAAAAACAGCATCACTACAGCCTCGGGTGAAAAGATGCAGGGATGATGTTGGCTATCATGGTAAGTACAAACAGCAAGCTTACTGACAGTCAATGGAGTGCGAGTGTGCGTAGCCATTGCTGCTAAAGAATGTGCCTACACAGGCAGATGTCACGCAAACAGGAATAGTATCTATGCAGTGACGAGGTTACAAGGCAAAGCAAACAAGAAGCTGCCCTGGGTGGGGATTCGAACCCACGACACTCTCCTTTATAGGCAATTATATCGTCTTCCACAGTCATACACTTTTTGCGTGTCTGACGACGGTTATGAATGACTCTGTCTCAGTGTAGGCATCTTCTTGTTCCCTCCTTTTTCATGATGTGACATCCCTGCATCCCCTTTCATTTCACAGAAATGATTTTTACACTTGTTATAATACAGGCAGAGATCACACACCATGACACAGAGAATGAATTACTGCTCCTGAATGTTAGAGGCTCCACCGGAGTTGAACCTCTCCCTAGTGTCGGGAGGACTGACGTCAGAGTCCTCGAAGTCGGAGAGGTCAATGGATGCCGCACGGTCGGCTGCGGTGAGTCTCATAGGAGAGTGGACTACTGCGTAGGTGTTAAATATCTTGTCACTCTTCCTGGTGGCCTGCACCGCCAGGAACAGGGCTATGAATATCATTGCCAGCCCACAGAAGAAGAACGCCACCTAATAATGAAAGAAAGGGCAGGGCCCCAGTGAACAGATACTTAACCACTGGTGCACTGCATGAATTACAGGGTGTAAACACAAGGCACGTGCATATAAAACAACACATATAATTATACTACACCTAGGACAACACTTCAAAGAGCTGTCCCAGGTGCACATACAGTATATAATACCTCTTGAAGTGGGTACGTAACGAGATATATCCTCAAATTAATAAATCGCCACCTGCAGAGAGTCAAACAGAGAGAAAACAAATTAACACAGCCTATCAATTCAACTAGTATACCTACTTCTAGTTACACACCTGCTCTCGACCCATGTGGAATACTCGTGACTGCTGTAGTCTTTTTCCACGAATGCAGGAGACACGGCAGTGTGATAGTGGACAAAAGACTTGACACAGAAGCACATGTTGTCGCTCCCATTCACATACTGCTGCAGCACGGTCACTTGCTGTTTTTGTAACAGAGATCGTGTTTCATAGTGTTGGGGAGAGGGAAGAAGAGTTTATCATTCATCCCTAAATTTATTGAGCTGCTAAAATACGTAGAATCACTACAACATAGTCTGCTTACACAATTTTACCGCACACACATCATTTTAACTCGCTCAGGATATTATGAAAATAACGTACGCTGTTGTCCTCGCTCAGCTGGCTGGCGATACTAGAGCATTGGCCGCAGGGAATCGAGTCGTTGACGATGTCACCAGATCCATTGATGTACACTCCGGTGAAGTCAGCGGCCAGGGCGTACGTTATGATTGTCTCAGAGTTGGTGGTAGTGTCCACCGTGACATAGCGGTGCAGCGGCCTGTTCTCTGTGGGCCAGAATGACAGTAAAAACACAGCAATGAAGACTGCAAGAGCTGTTGCACATGTACACAATATGATACTAGCAACACATTCCTGGAGAGAAAAACGATCCTTTAACTACTATACAATGTCATGATGTTCGTGCATGCATATTTTCATGGCTGCTAGTATACACGTGTAAAACTGTACTATTCAGACGAATAGGTATACGTAGCTTGCTTCACTCTGTGCAGCACTTTAGCCAAAAAGGAAAGATACACAGGAGAACTTACAGGCACCTTTTAACAAAGAGCTATAGCAATCACGGTTGAGGATTGACTATTGCAAGAAACAACCAACTGCACAAAACAACCATTGCCTAGAGAGCCAGGGCTATTTTTGACTTTCGTGCTATATATGTATAGAGCATGTGCAGTAACCTTTTTCATGGAATGTTGCTTTTTACCAATTTGGGAAACTCTTTTCTACAAACGCCATTAGTGGCATGAGTTGACAGAGTACCTAGTTCGTTGGCCTGACTCTGAGTGAGGACTCTCTTGAAGGTGTCACAGTCCGTGTTCACCAGGAAACACTCCAGGATGTCGTTAATGGTGTTTGCGTCTGCCTTGTACGTGTCGTTGTTGCCGTCTGAAAAGTTTGCCCCGGCCACGTCCAGTAGTGCCTGCAAAATTTGAGAACTTTGGGCATACAGTCAGTGGTATTGTATTACAAAAGGGCATGTCTAGAAAGTGTGGGAAGGGGAGTATATATGTCATATATACGCACACAAAATTGTATATACCTTGGACACACTCAGTCTGAATTGAGTGCACTGTTACAATAAGTTAAACATGCCGCTATGCATAGTTTCTAGCAGCTAGGTAATTAAGACCGAACCCTTGATTAGACCTGCAGATGATTTTACACACAATAGTGTAATAGTTGCATGTACCCATGTAATGGAGGTGGCAAGATTAGCCAGCTGACGAGAGACTGTGCTCAGGTTGCTCCCATTTTGGTTGAAAATGCCCTCATTATCGTATCGACTGCCGTAGAACCTTTCAGAGGGACGACATGACGGTCACAAACTGTCAAACTGCAAATAATGCACTTAGCACGTACTTGCTGCGAAACTCTTCATTAAAATCACTCAGGATAGCTCCAGAAAATGTGGAATTCCGTCGCAGAAACCTCTGCAGAGATGCTGCAAATTGTAAAGACAACGCCATTGAAGAACACATGATACGCCGCAAGTGTCAGTAAAGAGCACAAGTTACATATGAGATGGTGATGAATGTACATATGTATAATACAAGATGGTGGTCTCACCAACTGGCAGGTCAACTCGGTCGCTGGGAGCCAGAGTCATGCCTGTGTGTGTCTCAGAGGATATGGCCACCAGTCTGCTCAGCAGCACTGACGACTGGGTGGTAGAGTACCGTGTGTGTGTGGAGAGACCATTGGGGAGAAAGAGACCAAGATGAATAGCTAGTTGCAAAACAGAACTTTGCCGCCAGGCCTTCATTGCAGGAGTGAAATAGACTTTCAACACACTGTTACACGCTAAAACACACACACACACAAAGACTCTCTTTGCACGAGTGACAAAGTTTCACATTAGGACATAATATACACATGTACTCTGGTTAAAATAACATACCATGGGGTGGGACTAGTAAAAATACATTGGCTGGACGGTAAAGTGGTTGATGAGGGGACTGTATTGCTCACAGTTTTGTTGTGGTAGTAGGTAACGGGGCGTTCATTATCAAAGAGACCGAGGTTGGTGAGCTCCAGATAGTCCATGATGGAGTCATGACTGAACTTTGGCCCAAACTAAAAAAGAGAGCGACAGAACAAAGTACAAAGATGAATAGAACAAGTAGGAAACCTTGAAGATGAAAACTTTTATAATTCAGTAGCAAGTGACAATCAAGCGATCATTAATTGGAACTTTCACAGATTGCTCACAAACTGAAATTCGCAAAAGGTTTTATCCCTCAAAGCAGCAAGGGAATCACACGATAATCGGGTCTCCCCACATACATTCTCAGGGAAATTGTTTCTCTCCATGTCATAGACCATTCTGGAGGACCCGATGTAGTCCCAGCTCTCCTGCGAGAGGGTGAGAGAGAGAGAGAGAGAGAGTGAGTCTGCTGGGGGAGGGTAGCTGGGGGGGAACTCACTCCATGGAAGAAGGAATAGAGGATTGGGTGCTCCAGACTCAGCAGCGTACCCTGCAAAGTCAAATGAATAAACCTACATTATGAACACACAGCAGTGCATTGTACCTATGTACAAGTGCACTGTGCACCTTATTGACTGTGAATACATCTACATAGTGGGAGTGACACAAGCTAGCTACATACATACATAACTGGCAACATACTCTTTGATATGAGTCCAAATTAACAAAGTTCTATGTAGACTTTTGTATTGTCATTAGCTACAACCTTCTTGGTTAACTTAGTATCTACTATAATGTAACTGAACTCGCAGGTGTTATTTGCCACTAACTTCTCGTCTGAGATTCCCGATGGTCTCCAGGACGGCCATGAGTGTGGCGACACCGGCCAGCTCGTTGTTGGCTCCCCACGACAGGTACGGGAAGAAGGCAATGCTGTCCAACTGCAGGGGGTAGGTATGTATGTGGGCATGTGGGGGTGTTTGAATATTCACTCTCTATGAAGGTAACTTTTGAGGGACAAAATTCTCACGGATCAGCATGATCTCGCCAACTAAAGCTTCGTGGACTGCTTGTCCACATGGATCCCTACTGAATGTGGGTTTTAACTTTGAAAATGCAATTTAGCTTAACTACTCATCTTTTCTAGTTTGACTACCACTGTATATTATAGGGCTTTGAACTAAAATACAATAAATGGCTGGACCTTGGTGGCCAGCAATATGGCCTTTTGCCCCAGTCTCTCTTCGTTCAGCTCAAAGATGGAGCCCCACACGTTCTTATCCCCCAGAGGATCGCACAACTCCACACCGTTTACCTGCAACGTCAGCAGCTTCGCTGCAGTGGGAGAGCACAACCAAGACGTAGAGAACAGGGATTACATTTGGAGGACAAGAGAAACATATTTTGTGAAATAGGAGACCATTTGCTACAATATTTTCCATCACCATCAAGGAGAATGACACAAGAAACAAGCGTAATCAACCAGAGCCACCATACAGGATGTACACAAGTGCCGAAACTGTGTCTGACTGTGTGGGTCTCTCTCTCTCTACACGTAACGTGTGCTAATCTGTGCACACACACCCATACCCACGTCCCCTACCCACACAGACCTCTGCGGAAGCATGTCTCGGTGTTCTTGGCAGTGAGCATGTCGGCCACCATCTCAGCAGCACAGAGAGGATAGTCTATGATCCCACCGTCTCCCCCTGCGTTGTGGCTCTGGAAACACTGGACACACCACATCATTGGAGATCATACACAATGAACAGAGCCACTACGATAACAGTGTATGTAATACAGAGTGGCATTGGCACAGATGAATGTACAGACAGTAAACGTGTCTATGTGTGTCTGTACAATGTAAACAGCAAACACTGAACATTTTACAAACAACATACGTACCTCAAGAACCTCCATGAAGGTATCATTGGTAACGGCAAAAATGGGGAAGTCTCCAAAATCACTGAATGACAGACTGGTACCCTGCAGAGAGCAGTGACAATCAGTCCGAATTGTGTGATTATTAGTGATCCTTTTCCATGCCCTGATCGCCAACGGCTTCGCATTTCCCTCTAACACCTCCAACATGTATACCCACTAGCATTGAACCAGTGTAAGATTGGTACGTGACTGTTGGCTTGCACATATGTATGGGAGCGGAGAGAAGACTCGCATATAATATGTGGTGCGGAAGTTTTTTTGTGTGTATTAAGTTTTGCAATCAAAATAGAAACTTGCCGAAATTGAATGCACATGCCATTAGTTGTTGCAGTACAGCTTACATTAGTGTACGGATTCCAGGGTGAGCTATCATTGCAGCTATCAACTCCAAAGTCTTTGTTGGGACACTTGCGCTCGGCTGAAAAGAACTCCACGTCGTCTGTTGGTGGGTGTGCATGGGTGGGTGGATGTGTGCGTGGGTGGGTGTGTGTGGGTGGGTGGGTGTGTGTGGGTGGGTGGATGTGTGCGTGCGTTCGTGTAAAATCACACTATCAAGGTACACAAGAAATCATGCAACACATACATAAACATAGAAATCTCATTGTATGGGGATGTCTTCAACCTGACATGGACTGAGTGACAGTGAGTGCCCAGCAGTGTATGCAGGGTCTGACCTGGATGAGTGTTTCTGCTGTCATATTTCAGTAGGATTCCGTTGACTCTGCTAGAGTCCCTCAGCCGGGGAACATTGACACTGAGTGGGAGGAAAATAAAGTCAGATGGCAATAGCAGGGCTGGCGACAGAGTGCACCAGGGGGACATAGTCCCTCTATCTCTTCATTGTCCCCCTGAATATACTTCCCAGGGGACACTTGACCCATAAATAGTAGGCGTCCAGTTACTGGAACCATCTACATTAGTTGCTAGGGGGCTGATTGTCCCCCAGCATAAATCTCTGGAGCTAGCTCTGAATAGACTGAGAGGGCTCTGGCCACACATTGGAGGCAAGAAGAGAAAGGGCGAGTGATGCCCAGTAATGCCCTAGTTGTGGAATTATTGGACAGGTATATACTGTATGCGTTATGTTCATTTAGACGGACAAGAGAAAGAGAGGGAGAGATGTGTAGAGAGAGTGGCTGACCTGGTGAAGGGGGCAGGCTCCATGAGAGCAATGTAGGGAGGGTGAGGGCTGTGATGGAGCAGCCACTCCAGGTCACTCTGGCTCTGCACATAGTGGACCACCCCACGAGTGTTGGTGTCCGATCCTATACATACATACACCACTTCATAGCAATGCCAGTCACATATACAGGATTTACATAACACTGGTAAAGTACGTTGGTCCACCAGACTACACACCACAATGTATGACATTTTAATTTTTGTGATCCACCATCCACCAATGGCACCGGTTCTCTCCATAGAAACTACCCTACGGTGACTACCTGAGCAGCCGATCTGACTGTCAGCATTGGTGAGTCTGAAACAGGGAATGCTGTCTGTGAGAGTGAGGTAAAACCTGTCGTACAGGTCCCGGACAGCTCCTCCGCCTGATACTGAGCACAAAGAAATGATAGTACTCTAATTACAGCCCACCAGAGTCGTCGATAACGAAGGCAACTTACTGGCAAAGGTGGACAAGCTACATAGGAATAGGCACCGTACGTAGAGACCGGGACCCTTCCCTTGCAGCGACTGTAATGTGAACATGGCGATCACCGACGACAATCAAGATCACACAATTCGATGTGTATCCACTGGAAAGGGGTGTGGTTACGCACCTTCCCACAGCGCGCATGCGCTATTTGCGGGGTCGCATGCAGTAATCTCGGTGTACACGACAGTGACCAGATCACAGGTGTTTGGGGGAAAAGATATTATGCACACATGTTTGGGGAATATCAAGGGACGAAGAGTGTACTATAAGAGGTCTACCAAGATTATAACCATACATACATAAATGCAATGCACCATAGCCAAAATTTCTCATATCTCTGGACAGAGGACACCAACAATCTTCTCATACTTCCCTCGAGGTCTAGAAGTCTTGTTCTGCTCACAGCCTCCACTGAAGCTCTCATTTCCACTGCATTCGAAACCATCTGTCACGTTCCTCTCAACCTCTGTAGGTAGGACTTCAGCTTCATTGAAATACACTGCCTGAACACCTGATACGATACAGGTCAACCACACAAAACTCTACGGCATTGTCTAACATACGATCAGATGTATCCAAGCCGAGCTGTCTGCAGGCAACAACAGCATCACTCCGGGACCAGTTTGAATCACACACTCTGTGCCATTTTCGGTGCACACAGATCTCAATTGGTCCCATCAATAGCACATTTGCAACGAACGTCATGACAATATCTCCCTCGTCACACTCTGTAGAATAAAAATCTCGCCTACATACACACAAAAAGGAGCATTTCCTACTGTGCTAATTCAAGTTTGTACTTCACATATTTCTAGGCAAACAACCAGACTGCCTTGAAGAACGCTTCTGAATCTCAATGCACTATTGCTGCAATAGTTGCTATGTACAATTCTCAAGGCTTCTGTAGTTAGAAAAAACCCACCATAATCTGGAGCAATTTTTTCGCATATTTTCCTCCCTCCGCCTCTGATAAACATGGAAAAATTGCTACGCAGCAGCATCTTGAGTCCAACATATCCTGTAGTGTTAACTCGCTTTCTCCCACTGCCATCCAGTGTCCCAAAACGACCCGAATAGTCACCCACTGCACATCTATACCGTGGAAAAGAAGTATTATTCCACTGCGAAACTTATTGTAAGAAGGCAGGAAAGGATATTAAGAGAACATCTCCTACTTACTTTTCAGGAGAGTCCATATTACAGTCTTTCTTATAGTTGCAACTTTTGGCTATTGCACTGGTAGGATCATAGATTTCAACATCCTCTTCACATGTCATGTCTCCTGTACCATTGTGAATACCCCAGGTGTACCTTTCTCTGGCTGCACAAATAACGAAAAAATAATAATATGATAGAACTGCAACATGGTCATGTGATACAAGTATAATTCAAGAGTGAATCACAAGCATTTCCATGTTTTAGGATTGTTAATACGTAGGTAGCTCGCTTCATTCATGATACTCATGCAATTATGTCTCCACAGACCATCTAGTCCCAATATGTCCACGTCCACCATAAAAACAGTGCCGTCCTCGACTTGAACTGGTTTGAATAGGACAGTGCCACTGATCTCATCCCCCACAACATTAGCAACACCTCCTATTGCATAATCTAGATGTGGAGAAGTATTATATAGTTACTACCCAAAATGTGTTTATACAATGACAAAGTATGGTCACATGGCATGGTTGAATATGGGTGGCCACACATGATTTTTTGTTGTTTCTTTGGAGCTTGATTTAAAATGTGTAACCTCTGATAAAGGACCCTTTGAACTACTCTAAACTTGCTGCTACCTTGGAATAAGGGACACCTTTGAATAATACTTTCACAAAAGTGTCCCCCATTCTGGTTTCAACACAATACACCTGTAATATCTTCATATCCATGTTTATGATCTCCAACAATTTTTGTGCCCTTCACAGCCACTGTCTCATTCCCTGCACTGCCTTGACCTGTAGGTTAAGTAGTAATAAAGAATGACTCCATCGTATCGTAAGACTTACATGCAACACTGGCTCTATCGTTGTATCCACAGTCATGAGAACCTAGAGCTGCGTGTTGACAGTCTAACAGTGATTCCTCGTCTCCATTGCACTGTATGTCATCCAGCCAGTAGTGGACCAACGAGACATTCCGGGACTGGTATCGCCTCCTAATTGGGACAGTCTCTGTAATGAATAGAGTGCATATAATTATGATACGTGGTAGTCTGTAACAAAAGAGCTTTCACCTTCAGTGAGCATGCCATGTTCTCTGCAGACAACCATTGTGGCATTCATATCCCATCCATCATCACAAACAGCCCTCCACCGACCCATCACACAAATCTCTACAAAACCTTCACCAACTCTCCAAGATGAAAAATCCTCTCTCACTAGTCTAGTTGATCCCACTTCACACTCTCCATCAGTGGAAACTGTGCGAGTGAAATACGTGGTCGTGGGTAATGCACAACAATGCAATGGTAATGGCTGGAGTTACAAACTCGAGTTTTTATTAGTTCATTCATGAAAGGCTCATTTCTTTTCCCTCACAAGAGCAAGAACATACACGAAACAGAGCACTAGAGCAGAGGTTCTGGAAGAAATACAGGGCACCCATGATTGAGAGTTCAGACTACTGGCGTGCAAGTATGTAACTGCTCTGTAGAAACTACAGCAGTAGCTAGCCCCATGAGAAATTTCATCATGTGAGCATGTAGGAAGACTGTGAGTGTGGTAACGGTGTGCTTTTTGTTGAAGGGCATTCCTGTTAAGTTTGTAGGCGTTTGTACAGAGAAACAAAACTCAGGGACTACCACAGACAAACAAAAAGACAATGGACAAAGTGTGCTCAGTTTACCTTGTTTGCGCTGACGGAGTTGAATTGAAGTTGATGAGGCTGACCCTGGGTAACGATACGGAAAAATGTACACATACAAGATGGCATAATTATGTGGTATGTGGCAGTGGAAGCTGATCGGGCATACAATTGCTTAATTTGCTCATAAGTACATGTATAATATTATACAGGCCTCATGAAAACTGCATACCTTCACAAATGACTCCAGCTCTTTTATTTGGACCACAGTTATGAACTCCTTTCCCCGAATGTGAGCAGGCAAACAAGGATTCCTCGTGTCCTTCACATTTCACGCGATTCAGCCAATAGACCCCTTCTCCATGTCCACCTGTACTTGCTTTGGCATCTGGGCACAAATACATGTATATACAAGTGTAATTCACTGGCTAATATGTGTAGCATCTGTAGCTCATTACGTAATCTCTCAATAGTGTATGCATGTGGAGATTTGTCAGACTCGGTCAGAGTCAATACAAGAGATGAAACGAAGCAAACCGTAGCCACGTGCAAAAGGCTGGTAGTGTGGCATATGTAATATGCGACTGGCACTAAACACACCGTAATGTTTTACATGATTGTCCATGTTGAACTGCTGGCTTCGCTCACAACAAAATCATTCCATTTTTTCGAAGTATATATACATGCCATTGCGTGGTGTTCTTCATACGTAAGCACTCTTAGGGTTTTTACCTGCCAATGAGTGAGTAATTCAAGATGTGCTATTGCAAAACTTGCCATCAAATGGGAATCCAAGTTCTCTGCATGCCACCTTTGCGTCTACATCACTCCAAGCATTATCACACACTGCCCTCCATTCACCCCTAATCCTCACTTCAATGATCCCGGAGGTATCGTTGACCATCAGACGTATACCAATGTCATCCTCAGCTACGTAAATATAACATTTCAAACATTACGGTATGTTAAAACAATAACCTACTGAGACAGTGAACTCCAGCTCTCTCTTTTGGGCCACAATTGTGGGTTGCCACCTTATTATGTGGACAGTCAAACAAAGACTTCTCATCCCCTAAGCACTGAACGTCGTCCAGCCAGTATTTTGCTGGTTCCCCAGGTTTAAAACTCCCCTTTGTAGTTGCATCAGCACCTGCATGGAGATCTTAATGACAGTTAGGTTCCCTGGTCTAATTTCTGTAGTCATTGACTCCTACACTCACCAGGAGATTGTGGTCAGAGTGAGAGAGTCAGTAAACATGTTGTGCAGGGATTGATGGAAGTATTACTTAGTATATACGCAACTTATGTAACCTTGCATGTAAAGTTTATTGTAGTGTAATAAAGTATAGTGAAGAACATAATGATAGCATAGATCACAAGTACTTACAAAACGGCAAGAATCCAAGTTGTCCACATGCCACATTAGCATCGTTATATGACCAGTAATCATCACATACTGATCTCCATTCACCGTTGTAATACACCTCAACAAAGCCAGATGTCGCATTACCAGCCAGACGAATAAGTGAATCTGTGTGAAGTGAAACGCTTAGAAGGCATGTACTGGATTGATGTTTCAAAATTGCATGCATTTTCTTGAAAATATTTGATTTGCTGTGAACATGAGTTTTGGTATTTTACACCCCTTAGCCCGCCAGTTGTTTAGAACAATTAATGCAGTGGTATAACATTATTACCTTTCTGCACAATGCACAATTAAAATGCGTGCAAACTTGGTTTACCAATGATACTTTTCACTCCCCTCGAACAAAAAAAACAGTCACATGCAAATAATTGGTAACCATGCTTACCTATACAAAAGGTTCCATCACCAACATATCCGTTGTTGCACACACACAAGAAACTGCCAGGAACATTGGTGCAGTTGGCGTTTTCATCACAGTTGTGAGTGCCTAGATCACACTCATCAATATCTGCATATTTTGTAAAAGATAGAGTGAACCAATTCATATCCCGTCCAAGATATGCTTGGGGGAAGTTAAGGTGTATGGTGGATGTGGTATATGATTCAGCAAACCTAACCGTTTCCTGCTATATACTACGTAATATCCCATGCTACTTCCGAACTGTTGCCTCGATCGACTACTTGTAGCCAACATCTACGGTAAATTAGGGAAATGTCCTGTACACTAGTGCATATGATGCTACCTTCGCAGTAAGTTCCATTTCCAGTAAAACCAATTGGAGAATTATCAGGGTCACATGATTCACAATGAGTTCCATTGCCGACATAGCCATACTTGCACATGCACGAGAAACTGCCTGGAGTATTGATACATTTAGCATCTTCTGCACAGTTGTGAATCTCCAGAACACACTCATTGATATCTGCAGGGAGCCAAAACATCAAGGGTGACATGAGAGTGACTTTTAAAAGATGTCACCTTTGCAAACGGTTCCGTTTCCACTGTAGCCGTGTTTGCATATGCAGCTGTAATTGCCATTATTGTTGACACATTCAGCCATTTCTGCACAGTTGCACACATCTGTGACAGAAAATGGGCATATTTTTCACACAATGCTCTCCCAAGTATATTTAGCCTGATCCCGGGTGTCACATTGGATTTGCTGGCACAGTGAGTAGGCAACGACATATATACATGCGACGCATGCGCATCCATGGCTACATACTTCCTAGGGACCTTTCAACAACTACTCTAATGCTATTAATCAACCTACATGCATGAGCTACAGGATTATTTTGATACACTTGGTAGGGTCTCTATAGTAGGCAACAAAAGTCATTGTTACCTTCCCTGGCTCTGGCCCATTAGCCCAGCCATACAGTAACCATCCATTGTCCTGCACTAGTAAACCTCTTCTTCTGAGAGCATTAAATCAGCTGTTTTTTTTATCTTGGATACTTTATCAATTTCTCCAAGAACAATACATAATTGAAGCTTGGTATGTTACTCCTGAGCCTTATCTTGCATTGCATTGCCAGAGCTGGTACATATTCCATTATACCACAAGAACATCCTGTCATTTTAAACCTTTTTTAATGGTGGTAGCTAAGCTATATAATAATATTGCCGTGCAATAAACCTTTGCATTCCACAACTACAGCTTCTTCATCGACGCAGTCTGTGACATCATGCGAATGTTCACACATCAATAGAGAGTCTTCTGTTCCCAAGCACATTACACGATTCATCAGGAACGACCCAGTCACATTTAAACCTCTAGCTGGACAGCCTTTTGGTGTTTCGTCTGAGTGTCAACAGTGTCAATTGTAAAAAGATAACACTACATTTTAGTGTATGTAATACCTTCATATTCCAAGCCAAGTTGTTTGCAAACAAACTCAGCATCAAAAGTATCCCACTCATCATCACACACAAGTCTCCAAGTGGAGTTGTAGCATATACTTAGTACTCCACTTATGTTAGCATTGTGCAGTTGAAGAGCTCCATTTTCTGCACACTCTACGATAACAAAAGTAGGTAGGATCTGCTTATGAATCAGTGGGCAAAGGGTCATGCTCTTCGGCGTATAGCTATACGCGTGCACTCCCACAGATGTATAGCTTCGCTGGATGTGCGCCCCTGCCAGTTTGGTGGTAGGAATTGTTAATGCAGTTACCTTCATAGCTTTTAACTCCTACGAGTAAACAGATGATGAGAAAGGCGGTGAAGTTGGAAGTCATCTTACAACACTTGAACTCCTCCATCCATGCGCATACAAATCCCGCACGCATGCGCAGATGTGGAGGCGGTCTCGCGTAGCCAACCTAACGCGAGAGTGGGTGCTTCCACGATTGTTGGACGGCATTCGCAAATTTGAAATGTGGGAGGTGTAGCTTAGTCATTTACGGAGACAGTGATCTGTGCCCAGCACTGCCGCTGTGCTCTCAAAGGGCAGAGGAGGTTGCGCACAATAAACATTCCTGCATGCGGCTATAATGTAATCAAGTATCGTAGCTGCGAGAGGAAGTTGCTCTGGCTGGGGCCAAGACCTTGCTATCTCTCGATCGTTTTATCGTGTTATATACCACGAAGCTGTCGTAC